TTTTTTTATTTTTAATTAGTTTAATTTTTATTTTCACCATCATTTTCTTAATTTTGAAAGAAGATTCAAATAATGCCTCAGTAGTCTATGCCTAATAAGAGCCCTTGAGGTCATGGGCATTTAATCACAATAACTATTTTGAATACAAAATTCTGACGATCATTGTCACAAGGATGTAATTTTATATTTTCTACTTTCAACTTAATTGTCACTTAATTTAATGACATTTTATGTGATTTCAAGTTTTGAAACTCTTCTTCACTCAATTACAATTCTTCTTACTTTTACATATCTTAATTTGACTTCTTAAATCGTCTGTAATCACTTACATAAGAATCATTAGGTTAAACTCTATTCCTACCTAAATTGCATTTGTCTAAACACTAATGTTATTCGAATGCTTGCATCCTTATTTCTCTTTTTTTTAATTTTAAATATATTTTAGTTTTTATGTTTTTAGTCTTCTCACTATTTTTAGAATTTTATTAAATTAGAATTAATATATTTATTCAAAAAGACTTTTAAATAATTAAAAAATAGTTTTTTCTGGTTTTATAGATATTTAAATTTACGTGATTTATTATACAACTACTAGGTCATGTTAGTGGTATATTCAACAATTTAACATGTCTAAGGCTTTCTTCATGATCACCTTGATGAGATAGCCTTAATAGATCAACCTCAAGGCTTGAACACCCCCTATTTCCACATCATCATGTTTGTCATCTTCATAAATATTATATGGTTATGTGATTTCTCAATCAAAAAAATTTGAAAATATATTTCAACGAGCCAAAATAGATGGTGTCAAACTAATTTCTACACCCATTGGTATGTCTACACATACTAACAATCATGATATGGCTTGTGATATGGACTCCTCTTTATATAAGAGCATTGTTGGTGTAGTTTAATATGTCACTATATCTCATCTAGAAATTGGTTTCATCATTAATGAAACATATCAATTCATACATAATCTACAACAAGAGTATAGTTTGCAGACAAGTGCCTCTTATGATATCTCAAAGGAATTATTAGGCACAATTTATTACTTTGAAGATCCTCTTGTCTTCAACTTAGTGCCTTCAATGCTGTAGATTTGACTGACTCTTCAAATAATCAAAACTCCACTAGTGATTAGCTTATCTTTCTTAGATGTAATCTCATATCATGGAGCTTGATGTGACTTAGTTGTTGTGTAGTAAATCACACAAATTTAAAATTTTTAAAAATAGAACTTTTAGATATTTAGAAATTTTTCTCAACAAATATATCAATTATAATTTAATAAAAAAATTCAAAATAGTAGAAATTTTCCAAGTCGATCATAAAGATGTAATATAATATCAAGTAATTTTTCAGAATTTTCTTCAAAGATAACATCAGTGCCCGATGAATGTGAATTCGGTCATTCACTTCACGCGCGGGAAGGCAACGAAGTTCAGTTCAAGAGACCGCTACGGAGTGGAGCAGCCGTGACACAAAGTTTCTTACCTTAGCTAGATCTCACTGGTGCCATCTAAACAGTAGGTGAAAACAAACGATTCTTACGTAAGTGATTATAGATGATTTAATTAATCAAATTAAAATCTATAAATATCAGAAGAATCGTAATTAAATTAAAAATAGTTTGGTCCCACAAATCTAAGGGGTATTTGAGGTATTAAAATAAAAAAAACTATTTCGGGGAAGATATGACATCAGTTTAGCCCCACATTGGTTTTACGTCGAAGTTTTGGATGAATATATAGTAATATCACATTTCTAACCAATTAGTCATTTTCTCCTGCTTGTATGACTACTCCTTTCCCCACAACCGGTTGGCCACCGGTGACGTGGAAAGGGAGTGGCGCACTTGTGCCCCTGTTGGTCCATAGCTGCTCGAGCCCATACTCACAACTCCCCCGACTGCACTTCCAACCCACTTATGGGCCCGGCTGGCTAGTAGTTCCCCCCCTTTTTCTATTTTTTATTTTAATTTGTTTTTCTTTATTTATCTCAAAAATATGACTATAAAAATCATATAAGTTCATATAAAATCACATAATTAGCTAAAAATTCACATTAATCAATTGAAAATTACTTTTCATAATTTAACACAAACATAAATCTAATTTATCGAGTTAAGACTAAAAACTATATTAATTATTAATTATTAGTTCATGATAATGAAGACTTATTAGAGCTCAAAGAAGTAAGTCATTGTAGCTTGATCTAACACACAAATAGAATATATAGTCATTGTCAACAGCACATCATAATTAATTTAGTTGCATTCTCTCTTACATGAGCTTTGTCTTCCTACTTCATTACCACCCAATCTCTAGTGTGATAATATTGAAGCTACCTATCTTAATGATAATCTAATCTTTCACTCAAGCACAAGATATATTGAGATTGATTTTCATTTTATTCATGAGCAAGTAGCATCCAAGCAGCTTCTCGTATCCTTTATTTCTAGAAAAGACTAATTTGGAGACATTCTCACCAAAGGACTCTCTAAATAATGTTTTGAATGGCTTAAGCACAAGCTCATGTTTTAGAACACATGAGCTTGGGGGGGCATGTAAATGATTCCCCTTTTCCTTTAGAAATAGTTACATCATAACTACTACTTAAAAGAGAAGGTTGTAAATATGAGCGAAATGGTAGGGAGGTTTCTCCATGATCATTACTCATAGAATGTATGCCTCACCTTCCCCAACTAGTGTATGTTGACAATCCTAGAGGCCTGTGATACTTCAATAAAAGGAGAGCCCCATAATCTTTTGTACCAAGAAGCATTAGTGGATCAAAGGCTTAGAAGGCTGGCACTTTCTCCACTCTACTCTCCTTCTCTACTCCATTACTCTCTCAATACTATTCTCCTCTTATCTATCCTCCTTTTATTATCTCTTTTTATCTCTAATATTCACACTACACCCTCGTGCTAGAGTCCTATGTGGTGGACATCCCCAAGGGAAACACAAAGGAGGACATGAGGATGTTCATTGACACTATTGTCAAGCTAAAACTTCAAAAACTTGCACTGTCGTTGCCACTCCCATTTCCTCCAATTGAAGATGAAGGGAACAAGGGGCCATATTCAAAGGTAGTGATTTGATAGACTAATATCTTACAATCCTCTTTTTTATCTTTCTCCTTGAAATAATTTTGAACAAGCAGTCTCGAACTTGATGAGCTTTAGATTTTTGAACTTGTGGGTCATATATGTTATCTTCACTCCTTTGGGAAGCTCAAAAAAAAGGATACACTCATTTAGGTTTGACTCTATATTAACCTTTCAAATAAAAACCATTTTAGCAGCTTCCTTGCCCAATACACAAAAATCATGAAGTCTTCTCTATATCTAAAAATTTACTAGCCCATTTGAAGATAACTCATCATTGTGCCATCTACACATGCAACATGGATGTCATAAAGTGAACAACCTAATCATTATCCTACATGAAGCATTTATGATGGCTTAATAATTGACTGACACTCTACAAGAAGATCATGATTTAATCAAATAACAAATATGAATCTAATAAAAAAATATAAATATTAGCTCTAGTGAAATTCAAACCTTCGTCAGACAGTCGGCTGTGTGAGAGAGATAATGTGAATTACCCTCATACCCACCATTACCTAATGATTTTATAGAGGCATTTTCTTTTTATACACTATGAGTATTTTAGCTATTAAAATCATTGAAAACCTGCTAATGAGTGATGGTACAGGTTTAATCCCTTATTGCCCTTGACTGACCACTATTGACATGGAAGGAGAGTGACACACATGTGCCCCCAACTTATCCTTAGCCACACAAGTCTCCTACTTGTGGCTCTACTCGACTATGCGTTTCTCTCATAATAAAACAAAATCAAAGGTCGTTGAAATACTTCGAAATCGATTGACCAAAAATATTTAGAATCCTAAAGTTACCTAATTAAAATACTAAAAAAAGTAAGTATTGTGGTAAGCTCGTGGTCGATCCACAAGGAATGAGAATTAGGAAATAGGTAGCTACTATTCTATTTAATTGATCTACTGAAATGAGATGAAGGCTAAGAAGAAGAGGTGGCGATAAATAAGAAGGATATTTATTGTTGAAAAAAGACAACATAAATTCGACAATGCAAGAGACAATTGAGAGGGAAAACACTCATGAAAGAATAATACAAAATCAAAGTGTATCTCTATCTATTTCAAACCTATGAATGCCTAGATGATTGTTCATACACAAAATGCATCATACTTGGAAAAACTTACATCAGGCCTCTATATTTCGCCATGGCCATGTAGTTTCTTCTTCAAGCATGCTTCTCTAATGATCTAAGCTGCAAATCAACACTTGAATCAACCAAAAACACATCCAAATCATTGTGAAACCTTAATGTTGTTTCATTTGACCGACTAAATGTCAAGGCATTCGAAGTTAGGTTTTTCATCCCTAACGGTGGCTTAAATGTGTAAAGGTTTACACAAGGGTACGAGATTACACATGTAGGGCTGATATATACCTTCTCATGAGCTGGTTTATCCAAGATCATCTGATCTAAGGTTATGAGTGAGTGAGGATCTTTCTGTCTTTTTGGCCATGATAAGATGAGGCAAGTGTCAATTTCCTCTCGAATTGATATGAAGTATTGGATTTAGAAGTCTTGTCATAGTCATAAGATCTTTTTTAATGTAGAGATCCTCTGCACCATCAGTAAGTATGCTCCATTTGCCGTCAATCATGTAGAACACTCTCGACAACTTCTGACCTCCTCATTTGGTGATGCCGCATGTCAGCACCTTGGCCCCTAATTCCATCGCATCATCTCTAAATAAAATCTCATCCATAGAAGTGTATATTGACTTCCTAAAAATCATAAAAAGATATCAAAAATTTCTAAACTTCTTTCATATTATTAAAAAATCAATTGTAACAGTAAAATTCAGTAAAAAAAATTTAAAAATTTCTCTCAAATATTAAAATTTATAAAAAATATCAAAGAAATAGGAAATATTTATTTTTTAGTATGATAACATACTAGATCATAAAATTCAAACCCCTTAATAGAATAATTCTTACATTTTTTGTATATAATTAACATGTTATCTCACCCCTCAACTTGAGTTATCGCTAGACTCTTAGCAAGAAAATACTTCAAGTTTCTACATATAACTTAGAAAAAAATCATATTGACATTCACACACACATCAACTAATTTGTCTATCATTTCACAAATCTTTATTGGAGAGTTTCACCTGCTCTTGTTAAGACACTCATGAGTCAACATTTAAGTAGAGTTCATGTTTGCTCATTTTTTTCAATCTCAACAACTAAATTGTCTAATCATCAATTCATCTACTCTCATTACTAGCTAAATGTCACCAATGGATTCTAGATTTTGAGTTTAACTCAAATCACTGCAACTTATTCTACATAACTCATGTGTTGTGCAAGTAGCTTTTCCAAATGAAGTAATAATTATCCTAGTATCACATATGAAAGCTCCACAGGATGAGGAAAATTTCTCTTTCATTTGCATTTGGGCTTCACTCTGCATAGAAACTCTTTTCTTTTCTTTTCTTTTCTTTTTTTATGCGCTAGCAACTCGTGATCTAAATGGAGTATTCTTAGCTAGAAGATCAAGTCACTTGAACTAGTTCTATGACAGTTAAAGAAGTATTTTGAATTGAAAAAAATAATTAGATCTAATTACTACAAACTTTTGTTCATGAATATCTAAACACTACTCAACATGATTTCTCTTTTTAAGACTCATTTAAAGAAGGCAAGTTTGTGAGCATAGAGATTAAACAATATGACAATTTGAATTATGATGTTTTGATTGGGTTCTTCTATAATGCAATCACAAGATAAATTCAAAAATGTGTGAATTCATAATATTATAAGTATGTATTGTAGGAAACTTATCTTCTCACTCCCCAACTTAATTCATGCATTGACTGAAGTGCATGAAAAAGAAAAAATAAATAAATAAATTTCAACAAATAAGGTGTAAACTAAGTAATGCATGACAATTTGTATTTATTGATGCTGTGTAATATATGCATCACCCTGTTACCATGATTGTGTATTGGACCCATCTATGTACTCCAACAACATTAAAAGATAACTACAAAGAAAATTGAAAAGAGGAGAAGCCACTGAATAAAAAGGTGGTTATATTGAAAACTCAAAATTGTAAATTTAATGATCAAGATGATGTCAACGGGAGGTTTGAAATAGTGGCAGATCCTGCAGTTGAAGAAAGCTGTCTAAAGGTTGTTGTTTGTGCTCCATGTATAGTTTGAGCCTTTGCTCATTCACTTTAGGTTGCTGACCTGTCTTAGGATTTACAATTAACATTGCTTCACAATCAAATAACTTAATAACAATGAAAGGTTCATCCTTTTTTAATGGGTTTCTTAACCTTGTCATGATCATCCTCTTTCAGTCTGGGTTTGTTCTTCTCCAGTCTCTTTCCACTTTCTGGGTTGCATCTGCGATTTGGATTCCCAATATGGGAAATATCACACTGGTTGGTGCATACACGACGTTATCTCTCCTGAGCGGGGTCGCCATGTGCACGAGGAGTCTTCTGGCTACTCATTTAGAGCTGAAGGCCTCCATGGCCTTCTTCTCTGGATTGATGGAATCCTTGTTCAGAGCTCCAATGGCGTTCTTTGACTCGACACCCGTCGGAAAGATTCTCACCAGAGTAACATATCACCCATAATAGCTCCTACTACTCTCAACTGACGTATTGCAGGCCTCCTCAGACATGAGCATCTTGGATTACGACATCCCCTATGCCCTCTGCTTCTCCCTGTCGGGTATACTGGAAGTGATGGCGACGGTGCTGGTAATGGCGGTAGTCACATGGCAGATCTTGATTGTGGCTGTTCCGGTAACCATTGCCGTGAGGTATTATCAGGTGCACCTTCGCCTTCTCTCTGTACCGCGCGACTTATTGTTGTGGAAACCCTAGAAATAGCGGACATCATCTGATTGTGAGGTATCGTCTGTCTTCTGCTCGGAACTGAAGAGGTACTATCTGTCCTCTGCGAGAGAGATTGTGAGTATCAACGGGACGACGAAGGCTCCCCTCACGAACCACGCGGCGGAGACCTCCCTCGGCGCCTTACGATCAGAGCGTTCTCCGACGGGGAGAGGTCCGTCCGGAGGAACATGGAGCTGATCAACACCGACGCGTCGCAGTTCTTCCACTCCATCGCCGCCATGGAGTGGCTGCTCTTGCGAGTGGAATCTCTCCAGAACATCACCGTCGTAGCCGCAGCCGTCTTCCTCCTGCTGCTTCCGAAGGAGAGCGTATCACCGGGTGAGTATTGCAGAGCAATGAACTGATATGATAAACCTGCGACTATCATCAGCTGTATAGTCGTCAACTTCTGGCTGAATTCCACGCTGGTGAATGGTGCTGTTAGGGTTCGTGGGCCTCACCTTGACGTACGCCCTAAAGGGCCTGCCAGGCGCCCTTAACTCGTTGGTACTCCACCTTGGACAACTACAGATTCCATCGGAGCAGTTCACGCAGATTCCATCGGAGCCCCCCGCCGCAATCGAAGCTCGCAGGCCGCCGCCGAAGTGGCAGGCAGAAGGGAGAATCGATCTGGAAGATCTCAAGGAAAAGAGGATACAACAAAAATCCTTCATTCAAGATATTTCCAAAATTCTCACACCCTCTGTGGTGATGATAATTTTAGGGTTATAGATCAAGTACCGCCCGAACGCGCCTCTGGTCCTCAAGGGGATAACGTGCACCTTCGCCGCCGGCCACAAGGTGGGAGTCGTCGGAAGGACAGCCAGCGGGAAGAGGACACTGTTAAGCGCACTGTTCCTCCTGGTGGATCCCGCCGGCGGGAGGATACTCGTCGACGGTCTGGACATCTGCTCGATCTGCTTGAAGGACCTGAGGATGCACCTAAGGATCAGCCCGCAGGAGCCGGGTCTCTTCCGCGGCAGCGTCCGTAGCAACCTCGATCCTCTCGGTCTGCACGCTGATCACGAGATCTGGGAGGTGATACCTCGATCTAACATTCTACTCTGCTTGCGTCTAACATTCCCTTAAACACAGCGTACGTCGCTGGTCAGGGATTGGAGAAATGCCAGCTCAAGAAGACGGTCGCCAGCTTTCCGGACTTCCTGGACTCCACGGGCTCTCCATAAACCCTAAAACCTTTACACACCTCAGATCTAATGTTCCATTCTTTCCTTGGTCGCCGTAAAGTGAGCGACGAGGGGGACAACTGGAGCGCCGGGCAACGCCGGGCAGCGCCAGCTGTTCTGCCTCTGGCGGGTCCTCCTCCGGCGGAACCGGATCCTCGTCCTGGACGAGGCCACGGCGTCGATCGACTTCCCCACCGACGCGACGCTTCGGAGGATCATCAAGCAGGAGTTCGGCCGGTTCACCGTCATCACGGTGGTGCACCGAGTCCCCACCCGTCGTCGAAAACGACATGGTCTTGGTGCTCTCTTTCGGTACGCCACTTCCTCTCCCCCCACACGGGAAGAAGAACTGATCCAGAGTATCCTCATCGTCGCCCGGTGTCGGTTCCTGATCTTGCAGGGAGCATCGTAGAGTACGACGTGCCCTCCAGACTCATGGTGGAGAGCGGCTCCGCCTTCTCGAATCTGGTGGCGGAGTACTGGTCCAGTTGCAGGAGTGACTCCTCTCGGAACCTGTCCAGCGGGTAGAAGGCGGAGGGGGACCACCGGGAGAGGAAGAGATTGTCAACGCACTCAAGAGGGGTCCTGCTCGACCGAGTCGCGATAACTAGCTGTTCAACTGTCAACGCACTGGTCTTCTCTCTCTCTTTCACTCTCTAGCTCGTGATAGAGCAGGGAAAGCAGACGGTCAACGAACTAGTCTTCTCTCTCTCTCTCTCGTGAATAAAGAACTGGGAAACCAGACGGTTAGCGCACTGGTCTTCCCTTTCTCTCTCTCGCTTGCTCGCTCGTGAAGAGCAAGGAAAACAGACGTTGAGCGTCCCACTGACGCTGAGCTGTACGGCAATCTAACAGATTTGAGTATTAATGCGGAACTAATAATAAAGCGTATTGCTGCATCTGCCCTTACGAGAAGCCCCTCTCTCCCTCTACAGCAACCAACGGGTTTATTTATGCCGCAACCAACGGAGCCACCCACGGAAGCCTGCCTCTCTCTATCTCTCTCTCTCTCTCTCTCTCTCTCTCGCTCTTTTCCTAAGATTTTTTTTAATCTCTCGCTCTTAGCAGGGGAGGCATGGATCCCTCCAAGAGGGAAAGCCTGCGGCGGGGGCTGTCCGAAGAAGAGCTGTCCGTGCTGGAGCCTCTAATCCGCAGGCATCATTACGAGCCCGACCAGCCGGCGGGGACCTGCACCTCCCTCATAACCCAGCGCATCGACGCGCCGCTGGGGGCGGTGTGGTCCATCGTGAGGAGGTTCGACCAGCCGAAGCGCTACAAGCACTTCATCAAGAGCTGCGCCGTGACGCAAGGCGACGGCGGCGTGGGCAGCGTGCGGGAGGTGGCCGTTGTCTCCGGCCTCCCGGCCTCTACCAGCATCGAGAGGCTGGAGATGCTGGACGACGAGAGGCACATCCTCAGCTTCCGGGTCATCGGTGGCGACCACCGCCTCAAGAACTACAGGTCGGTCACCTCCGCCACCGAGTTCTCCGGCGGGGGCCCGGTCTACACCCTCGTGCTGGAGTCCTACGTGGTGGACATCCCCGAGGGAAACACAGAGGAGGACACAAGGATGTTCACTGACACCGTCGTCAAGCTCAACCTTCAGAAGCTTGCTGCCGCCGCTGCCGCCCCCCTTTCCTCCAGTTGAAGATGGAGTGAACCGGGGGCCGCATTCGAAGGCGGTGGATTTGATAGATAGATATCTTACAGTCTCTTTTCGATCTTTCCCCTCCTCGAAATAGTTTTGAACGGGCAGTCTCGGACTTGGCGAGCTTTAGATTTTTGCGACTCGTGCCTTATCTGTGTTCTCTCCGCTCCTCTGGTGAGCTGCAGAAGAAAGGACACTCTCAGTCAGGTCTGCCTCTTGGCGGATCAACTGCTGCTCGTTGTCGCTGTGCCGACGGGCAGGCGGAAAAGGTGGAGCACTGCCCCCCCGCCTATGCCGGTCGTATCTCGGGGCTCGGGAGGCGCCTCGGGCCCGTTTCTTTCTTCACGGGGTCTGCGTTGGACATCTCTCATGTCTCCTCCGATGGCCAGCGCGACCAGATCCGTAATTAAAAAGTATATCCAGACAGACAAGGTGACCTCTCCATGGAACTTTCGGCCACAACCATTGATGGTTATTCACGTGCCCCTCGCCTTCTAGAAATCCTTATTACCTAAAAAAATGAAATGTTGAGAGATGATACAGGCATGACTCTAAAAATGGATTAAAATGACTTAATTACAATGACAACACTTAATTTTAAATGGGCAACGTTCTAGATTCATGGTTGTTGGACCTTTAACAGTCGGCATTCTGGTCAGGATTCTCCAATTATGAGAATCATGTAGTTTAAGACTAGAGTCTAGCAAGTTGGGAAGTTCATGTATCCTCAAGTACACTTGCTAGAGTCTTAACCTTCCAAAATAAAAGCCCTTCTAGCAGCTTCCCTACCCAATATACCAAAATCATGAAGTCTTTGTCCATGTCCCAAAATTTAGTGGCCCTTTGAAGATCTCTCATCATTGAGCCATCTTTGCATGACACATATCATCCATCTACTATACATGTAACTATTTGCACACCACTCTAAAGTTCATGAAACTCTCATGTGAATGCAGCTTTGCCATTATCAAATGTTTCATGCCTACATCATACACTCTTAGACATGTGTCATTTGTCTCACACTTCATCTCTATCTTGTAATTAATACATAATGTGTATGTAAATCAAGGTAAAATGATAAAAAAAAAATCACATTAATTGGTGTTAAATGTAGTAAACTGAATGAAAAATATTAAAATACATTCTAAAATACATTTCATTAATTTCTACTTAAATCTGCATATTATTTTTGAGAATTTTTCATTTTATTTTATAATACATATTCTAACATAATTATCTAAGGCATATCCCTTGAAAAGTATTTGGCAGTTGACACGAAAGCATTATGAAGTTAGACTTAGGAAAATATAACATTTTCTATAATTTCTAGTAAATTTATGAAGGGTGGCAAGGTGGAATTATAAATGACTAGTAATGTTGGGCCCAATGTCAAAGTTCATTATCAGGTTAATTTGGTCTCAAAAGAGAAAAAGGGGGGTGGACCCTAACACATGTGGAGTGTGTGGTGGAGCCTAGCAGCAAAACGAAGAGTTTTGGTTCTCAAAGGTCGAGCTCTCTCTAAGTGCTTACAAACTTAGTTTCTATTTGAATTGTGTTCTATTTTTGTATTAAATACCTTGGTCACATAGGTGATAGGCACAAGATGGGATTAGACTTTCTTCATGCTTGTTTATTTTATTACTAATTTCACACTCAATTTTATTTCAGCATTCATGTTTTCATCCCTAGGTGGAAGATAGGGACAACTTTCACTCAAGCTATGTTTAGGTGTTGTTGTGTGATCTAAATGCTTTATGTGAATGTTAATTGGTGTCATCATAAAGCATTTTCTCATTTTACTCCCGGCAAAATAAAATCAGCTAGTGGGTGTTTTTCTTTTTTTCTTTATTTCCTCCCTTGCTTATGTCTTGTCCTGTATTCACTCTTTGTTTTCAAATGTTCTGCTTCACTTCTTAAAATCTTTTGCTCTTAGCTCCCACTTAATGTATTACATGTTCAGATGGTTGCATCAGATCTTCAAGTGGCTGTGAGTTGTGGCCAAAGACATTAGTACACATAACTATTGGTGATAACATGAAGCAACAAGTGAGACCAAAAAGTAGACATGATGATTTTTTCCTTGTTCCTCATGTTCTTTTTTTTTTTGCACCAATGGATGCATGGAACATAGTTAATGCCAAAATTGACAGTCATTCATGTGAATCAACCTAGATTCACTGAATTTTGATTTTGACTTTTTGAAACTAATTATAAATATTAAAGTTTGACATATTTTACACATAATGATTAGAACCTATCATTTGTCACAGCACATAATGATGGACACTTCCACATCTATGTTGGTTGTGCCAAGTTATGCATGGCATGCAAATGTCATATTGTTGTGTTATTACACTACATGCCAGCATTGTGTTAAAATCACTAGTCCAAATGGTGTAAAAGTCGTACATTAGTCAAATCATGAAATCTATTATACATTCCTATCAGTAGTGAGAATCATAGTATGTGCTTCCTTTGTGACAATGTCAAGTTAATTTTTGACATTTCTTTTTATCAGAAAAAATTGTGGATACCCCCATTGTTGATTAAATAAGTGAGATAGAAAACATTATTATTGAGTCTTGTGCACTATTCTAATGTGTCTAATAAGAGTAGTAGGTTAAGGGTCAAAGCTTATCCTCTTATTAGTGTCTCATTCAAGATTATGGCATCTAAAATGCACATGAGAGATTGTCCTTTGTCCAATGTGGCCTAGCTCACATGTAGTAGACTTTTTCAATGGTCTACCTTATATGAGAGTAGAACTTTTTTGAGCCCTTGTCTCTTGTGCAAGCGTCAGTCATCACTTTAACAAGATTGAGTGGCCTCACCACTATGCAAAAGTACATAAGGACTAAAGGGAATGTATATTATTAACTCCCCTAGGATAATACACTATACAAATAATATCTTTTCTCTAGCTATCTCTATAATTTTCTCATATAGTTATGAAGTGGTGTTGTTGATGTCAACAATTGGTGACCCCTATGTTTACTCTCCAAAATGTAAAAAATGAGTAGTAAGTTACTTGTAATACAAGAGAATGAGGAATCTCATCAAATTGACTTAAGGAGTTGAATGCCATAGCCAACTTTAGCTTATTGATTTCAGCCCTAACACTTCATTGCTACTTGTGTACTTGCCTCTAAAGTTGAGATTTCCTCTAATGATTATGAAGTAGTCAAGTGGGCTTATCCACTAACGTGACTTAGTTATTTTATAATAAATCATGTAAATTTAAAATTTATAAAAGTAGAAAAGACTAATTTTTGGATATTTAGAAGTATTTTTAAACAAATATATCAATTATAATTTAATAAAACTTACAAAAATAGTAATAATTTTCTAAGTCAATCATAGGGATGTAATATAATATCGGATACTTTTTCAAAATTTCAAAGAATATGATTTTCTATAAATTTTATACTAGAAAATAAAAATAAAATATATTTAAAATTCACAAAAAAAAATAAGGGTGTGGACGTTATAATGACATCAGCTCCCGACAAACGTAAATCACACAGAAATAGAGTTCCACTTAGTGATTCTTACGTAAGCGATTACAAATGATTTAATTGATCAAATTAAAATCTATTAAAGTCGGAAGAATCTTAATTAAATGAAGTATATCTTGGTAAATTTAAATCACACAAATTATCACTAAATGAAGTGAAAATTAAGTTGAAAGTAGAAAAACAGAGTTTCGGTGTCGCGGCGGTGATACATCAGTAACACACTGGAATCTTGAACGTTCAAAAAGATTGTCGTGTAGTGTTCACGACCTCGAAAGCTCTCCTTAAACAAAGAGGACGTGAGCAATCTTTAGATCTCCTTGTAAAGTATAGAGATCAATGAAATGAGTCATCGAATCATCTTTAGTTGATGTCACCCGGTAGAGTAAAAAAATGGTGACTTTGCGGCTCTCTAATAGTTGTCACCCGATGAAGATCAGCTAGATAGAGGTGGGGCGCGTGTCAGAGAGATTCATTATCAGGTCCGCATAGTAAGAGGAGGCTCTTCATCGCATCCGATATGCTTTCAAGAGGTGACAACTTGTTTCCTAATGGATCATCCTCCTCTCAACGACAGCTTGTTTGTCGATCAATCAAAGATCATTTACTCGATAGATTCGCGATCATTTTATCGCAAATCATTCAGTAGTTTTAGTAACAATGCTCTGCGAATTGCGTTGACAAGATTTTTACCAATAATCTAGCAATTATGACGACTTAATCCTTCACCGCTGATTTGCAAATAAATCACGATAATCAAATAAAAATACGAGTTTTGGCTCTAAGAGGATTCAAACCCGCGTCAGTTGTTCACCTGTATAAAAGAGATTGAAATAAGAAGTACTCTAATGTCCTTATCAATTGACATCATCATGGTATATCTCTGTTATAACGAATTAATAGTTTCGATATTTAAGTCTTCGAAGCTTTTAGGGAAAAGGTGTGACACGGGTTTAGTGCCACATCATTTGTGCGTCAAAGTTTTAGGCAAATATATAGTAATATCACATTTTAGAATTAATGGGTCTATTTCTCTCACGTGTACGACCACTCCTTACTTTACAGTCAGCTAGCCACTAGTGACGTGGAAAGGGAGTGGCGCACATGTGCCTCCACTATCCTAACCGCTTGAGCTCCTACTCACAGCTCTCCTCGACTATGCTTCCAACTTATTTGCGGGCCCGACTGGCCAGCGAGTCTTCTCGTTTTGCTATATTTTTATCTTGCTCTATTTTTATTTATTTATCTCAAAAATAGGACTATAAAAATCATATAAATTTGTAAAAAATCACATAATTAGTCAAAAAAATCACATTAATTGACTAAAAATCACTTTTCATAATTTAACATAAATATAAGTCTATTTATCATGAGTTAAGACTAAAATTATATTATTTACTAATTATAAACTCATGATAATGAAGACTTATCATCTACTCATTTGGACTTTCTCATTAACCCTATCACATTGATCACAAGTATGTCTTAACTCATTTACAATGTGAGCACTATAGGTTGTTTCTTTAGTCACTTTTCTTCACTTTTTGGCCATGATATACTGATGATCATCTCTTATTCTTATATTTTGCCTCAAATGCAAATTTATTAATATTTTGATTCAATCATAAGACTCTTCTTATTCTCTTCAGTTCTTATGATTGCAAACACTTCCTTTAGGCCTTGTATTATTTTTCTCCCTAAGATATGGGGTCTAACTTGGTCATACTTATGATTGAATCTAATTAAGAATTTGTAAATTTATCTTGCTTTATAAATTATTATAAGAATATATCACCATCCAAATTGTTGTTCTTAATAGGTCTACATCTATCAATTGCTTACCATAAGGACTCTAATTCATTTGCATACTATGTGTCATATTTGTTTCCTTGTGTCAAGGCCATCGCCTTAGTCATTACTCTAAAAATTTGGGCTTCATCATTTTCTTAAGAATGACTTCTTTTTCTCATATATCCTTTGTTGTTTGCAAAAATAGATCATTTGTGTTGACTTCAACTATCATAGTGCTCCAAAACCATATTTTTATCATTACATCATATTCCTTTTACAATCTAAAACTTAGATTTGATGATTCAAGTGCTAATTTCAAAAAATAATTATTTTTTCTTCTTCTAGTCAAAACAACTTAGATAAATTTGTCCTTTTAAATTCATTTGGGATATTTGGCAACTCTAAGTATAATCTAGAGAGCTCTCATGAGGACAATGAAGGTGATGTCATAAACAACATCTCACATAAAATTACCCTTCTCTCAACCACCAATAACATGCTCTCTTTTTCTAAGTAGAGAAAATGAGACCAATTTGAGGGATTAAATATGGGTTTGATAAGAAACTGCATATTGCCTAATTGCCTATACCCAAAGACGCTTTGGCCATTACCATAATAAATTCCCACAAAAAACTTCTTCAACAAGACAGATCATGAATTAGGGAACAAAACTTTGATGACCAACATCTACAGGTAAACCAAGGTTGTATGGCTAGCGAAACACTCCAGTATTTAGGAGAAGTTGGGGCTACACACACCTAGTTGGCTCTGATATCATGTTAAATCACTCAGACCACATGAGGTTCTGTCATCTCTGCCTATGGTCTTGCCACCATTGGAAGGAGTTCGTTGCCTTCCTCATGATCAGACCACACTATATTAGATTTGAGACTCAAAATCAGCACACAAGGGGGGAATTCCTTCACCTCATGATCACCTTCACAAAGTGAACCCTTTCTTAATAGTTTATGATCTTGGTTGCATTTCATATGTGACGTGCATGGCCCACGCATGTAACCATACGTCCAGTGCCTAACAAATGTTCATAAACCACACAATGTCGCTAAAAGTCCGAGGATGTTTCAGACACAATGCCCTGTTCATCTTCCTAACCACATCGAAGATTACAAAGATCCTTGGCATATAATGGCCGGAAAACTTAAAACCTCTCTCTCTCTCTCTCTCTCTCTCTCTCTCTCTCAATGGGAATTGGGACTTATGAAACTACCGCAGAAGCGGATTTCCAGAAATATGCTTGAACGCAGCAGCAGCGGCACTTGGATGGACATTTGTATTAAGAAAAGACCCCGCCAAGATATTCAGGAATCGGATGGGCAGGGGGAATCATTCAAAACGTCGATTAAAGATGCCCATAACCATCGTTAGCCAACTCGCTGGCCGCCGGCGCACGGGCGGCCCCTGCGATCCCCGGCCCCCTCCTGCGCTTGGTTCTTCTTGCTGACCTCCGAGTGCATCTCCTCTATCATCGGCTTCCACAGACGCACCCGGGCATTGATGAACCAGTTGGACACCTGGCAGGAACCCAAGAAGGATCAGGCAAAAGATACAGAAAGCCCCGAGCCCAGAGACGAAGGGATCGATCGGTTAAAGAAAGATTCAAGGCAAGAGAGACTCGGCGAGATGAAAAGCACCTGGCTCCGAGTCAACCCGCTCTTGATGGCGAGCAGATGCTTCTCGCTGTCCTTAGGATATCTGAGAGCAGGAGGAAGAAGGGTGAAAGTCAACGCTGCGTCTCAGAAATATTTTTGAGGCGACGAAAGATGGACGACTGGAGCTACTCACGGGTGCAGAAAATTCTGAAACATCCACGCCCGCAGAACTGAGACGGACTTCTCGGGCAATCCCCGCTGAGGCCTCCACGTCTGCTGGTCGTTCCTCCTCAGCTGCTGCGAGGCCCACTGCTTGTGGATGGAGGACTCGATGGACCTCTCCTTCTCCCCCGCTGCCCCTCGCCCGCCACCGGCATGCTCGCCGGCTGAGAGAATCTGAGTGGTGATCTTATCCCGCAGGGACCCGTGAAAGCGGGAGATGGCTCTCAGCGCCAGCCGAGCGGGCGTGTGAGCCACACCAGAACTGGTCGCAACTTGGAATTTGGACATGACGGAATGCATCTGAACCAGGCACCGATTGTAGCCGCCGTCAACCTGCCATCAACAGAGAGAGAAGCCAGCGCAAGCTCATCACGGAGGTCAATTAATTCCAAACGACAGCTTTCAATGCTTCGGCAATATGGAAGCAGTGATGAGCAGCATACCGCCTCCAGTAGGGTGATCAGGTCCGTCTTCTCCACGTAGCCGTGAGATCTGACGTCTCCAGGAGAATGAGCAAAGTCTTTGGAACTCGCGGAGGCGGAGGCCCCTCTCTTAGATGAACAGCTAGAGGAAAAGGACGACCTCGTCCCATCTTCGATCCACGCTGATGGATCATCGAGCTCGCTCAGATTCTCCAGCGCATAGCCGGCCACTTCGGCTAGGACTTGCTCCACCATGGACATGTATCTTGATTCTAGTGGATGCCCAACAACCCTAGGATGATGGTCTCTCGCTCCTCGTCGCATCCCGGGACCTGCACCGTTTCCCGAATGGGAAACGATCTGAGAGCAGACCAGTAGTTCTGAGGCCTCCCCGCACCGGCTATCCTCCGATATCTGATCGGGGACACCGTGGAGGTTCATAACGGACTGGCTAGAACCGAGGGTCAGAGAAAGTTCGTTGTTCAGCGCGGAGTACGAGTAGGTCTTCTCTGGATTGAAGCTAGAACCTGAGAGGATATGGCAAGACGGGCGAACTGTCGCCAGACTTCTACCAGGAAGAACTTGATGTCCCATCACTTCGTCATAGCTTCCTCCATAGCTAAGCTGTCCATTGGCGTCCACATATCTTCTCGGACCGGAGAACTCCATCTCTTCCACGCCGTACGCGCAGGTCACGGACGTTGAATTCGACGAGCTGTTGTTGGAAATGAAGGTCCTGATATCCTCCGAGGACAGCACAGAAACGGCGGGAATGGCGGCCCCCATGATATCATCCTGCAAATTAGGGTTTCCGGGAAGAAGACCGTCGAATGAGGCGGACGGCAAGGAGCTCTCCCTCGAGACTCGGATCTCTGGGCCGATCATGCCTTCATGGCCGGTCAAATGAAGGTTGCCCATGGCTTCTTCTTGGAAAGACAGAAACAGAGGATGATTCCCCATGACTACTGCTCCCCTCTGACTGGTATCCTCCAGCTCATTGGTGTGAATGAGGGAGCTCGAAAACCCATGCGCATCCAAGCCCATGGCGCCCCGATATGTGATCGGCAGTGATGCACTGAATATGTCGTTCTCCATATCTCAGGGCGACGTAAGCTCGGTGGCCGTATCTTCAGGACTGGCCGGATCTTAACAAGGCCGCGTTGACCGTTTCCTCTGAGTGGCTCAAGCCATCAGTTCCACGGCTTTTCCTGAATAATTCACCAGCCTTCGATAAAATGTGTAGACAATAATCCGACCTTAGGTCGCAAAACCGCCGCCTTTCCAGCTATTTTAGGCCCAAATTAGAAAGTTTGACCTCCGTTCCAAAGCTCACTCGGAAGCTGTAGATTGAGTGACAAAGGCTTTGCTCAATGATCAACTGCAAGATTTATAAAGCACAAAGCGAAGGAGCCAGTGCAGATATCAGAAGAGGATGAACGAAGTATGCATAAATCAATCCTGCATTCAAATAATCATCACAGTTGGGGACTAGTACTAAACTGGCTTTGGTGATCCGTATTGAATCGACAGAGAGAGAGAGGTCACAAAAAAGGGCTTGCGAGATGATAAATTGGCACCATAAGTACAGTCTAAATATCAAACTAGAATCTGGTTGGCGATGGAGCAGAAGCCCAAGCTCCGGGAAGGCGAAGGGAACTGGAAACGCAGACGACGTATTCGACCTTCAAGAGGATCGAAGTAAGGTGAGCAATATCAGACTGACGGCTACGAAGACGGAGAAACCCAGAAAACGCCGAAGGCGAGGTTGACTGAAGATCCGAGGGAAGAATTCAACCAATCTACGGCTGTTGCTCGGGAAGAACTCAGAGGAAGCGAAGCCCGCCATGGCGGTAAACTGGAGACATCCAGATAACAAAAGGGGAGGAGGAGGAGAAAGACAAGGGGGATATATAAGAACAGGACCGACTAACTGATTGCTCTCTTGTCAGGCCGAGCCGCCAGGGAGGAAGAACACCGAATAATACCCAGGCAGAAGTGGGTCATCCTTCTCAGGCGCTGACGGAAGAAGAGTGATGACGGCGGAGCTCGCGGGGGAGCGGGCATGGGAATCCAACCCGCAAGGCCCTTTCAAAGAAGGAAGCGGCGGCCTCGTCGAGTGCCCGCCAAACGGTGAGGCCGCTCGCCACCCAAAAATAGGCAACAAAACAAAAGCGCGTACTAACTTTGCCAGGCATCTATCACCTCCGCTGCTTTCCTCCCAGAGGAAAAGAAATATGCAAACATCAGATGGAATGGGTAGATTTTCTCCGCTGACTCCTCCAGAGAGAAATTTGCCCTTCCTTTCGCCCTTCCAAGAGGGGTCCAGAGCTCAAGGGGAATCATGAGGCCAACTCTACCCTCCCCCCCCCCCCTTCTCTCTCTCTTTCTCTTACTCGCTGTCAGTCTAGCCCTCTCTCTCTAACTCTCTGTGAAGTGGGCATCGTCGTGAGAAGAACAAGGACAAAAAGAGATTGATCGGCGTAATAAAGAAACCTGGGTTTAATCGCCCTATGATTGATCGGAGAATAAAATAGCCCGAATCTGCCATTCTCACCGCCCGGCCAGGAGCGCTCCATGCAAGCAGAGCAGGATGCCAGAGGGCTAATATTAAAAACCAAGAACAGTGCGAGACACCCAAAAAGCCCATGCATGGAATGCCCCCGCGGCAGAGGAATCACGGGAGGGATGCTCCTCCTCCCGGTCATATGATTGATTAGGAATGAGGTTCCAAGCCGAACACAGAGGACCGGTCATTTCCAGGTCACTAGATGCCCAGCTCCTCCTCGCCCCGTTCATGTTCTTGTTACCTCTCGAGGACGCAAGGAGAGAGTAAGACAACGGAGAGAGTAAACAAACCAGAAATTTTGAGGTGACGGGCTGCGCTGTGCCGACTTTCCGTGGAACCAGAAGGGAGCTGATTTTTGGCTTCTTCTCGCGAGGATGAAACCGGCGTGATTCTCCAGCGAAATGAGCCAAAGCAGGGAAAGAACACCTGCGGGAACGAGCCAGGAGAGCTTTAGCAGATAGCGATGTACACGGCCCACTCCCAAAAGCTCGCCTCCGAGGGAGAGAGAAATATACAGGGCATATAGAAGCTGCACCACCAGTCGGGGAAGAGAGAGAGAGAGGGAGGAAGGGCTGTGGGAGGAGGGAAAAGAAACAACGAGGAGAGGGAGCAGAGCCTCACCCGTGTTGCAGGCTTTTGGGGGTCCATCCCTCCTTTCCTTCTGAACCCCTGCCCTCCCCATCATCTCCATCTGCTTCTCTCCGCAATTATCGTCGCCACCAAAAAATCCGGATTCTCCATATACTGCTGGCTCGCGTCTCTCGCAGCAGTTTTTTCTCCCACGCTGCAGACAAAGAGTCCTCGCTTTCTTCCCACCCTCGCGTCTCTCGCACCTTTTTCCCCTCAAGAACCCGGCGGGCAAAACTGGGAAAACCCAGCCCTTTCTGAGCGGAGAGGTCTTAGCGGCAAGAAACTCGGGAGGAGACAGAAGACGGGGACGATCAAGGATAGAAACTGGTCATTCCTCGACCCCCTTTCCTCCTGCACAGTTCCAGGGAACGCAGTGTTGGGAAGGGGAGGACTGGCTGATGATCTCAGCGAAATCTATTATGAAGATCTCTGACAAATCTCGGGATAGATATTGTGGCACTCCTCTCCCGCTCTTTCTCGATGAGAGAGGGCAATGAAGAGTCACTCTTCCATAAAAAATAATAAAGCAAAAAGAAAAGGCGGGGGCATCTCTCCGTCCGGCTATTCGCCCCCATCCCTACGGAAACCAGCAGGGTTTTTAAGGGCAGCCTAGCCGCACTCGATTTAGGAAGACCAGTTCTTCAACTAGACTTCCGGATCAAACAGCTCCTGCCCCGGACATCATAGCGAGCTGCCGCACCCTGCAAGATTCGGGGCCTCTGTGCATAGCCTCGGTACTGTATCCTCGGCAAGGGGGCAACATATCCTCTAGTGATTGGTAAAGCGTTATCTTTTGGATGCTCGACAGTGCTTTCGGGTTTTCTGCCACTGACCCATCTCGTGTTCTTGTAGGGCACGGAGATCCCCCCGACTTCCTTTTCCCCCACAGAATGTGGCTGGGGGGGATTCGGAAAAGCCCGGAGAGGACGTTTCATACGCTGCTACTCCGCCCCGCCCCAAAAGTGTGCTGCTCGGCAGCCCACTGGTCTTTACAGGATCCAGACTGTTAGAAATAGTATAATTCTAATGGAAACCTTCTGTTGTTCATCTAGCTGTTTCTACTGCCAGCTTTGTCTCAGTTGGGCGAGAGTGGAGGCGGTCGGATCCGATGGCTTGTACCCTTTTGGTCTCCGAGCTCTTTAAACGCCGCCTCCCTACGCCATGCCCTTCAGGTCCTTCAAGCTAATTGCCCACTCCATTAACCTCCGCTTCTTCCATGCTCCGCACCCAACTCCACCTTCTGGTTTACTCGGCTTCTCTCGCCTGTGACCTCCAGACGCGCCTTTCAACCACAACCTCTGCCTGCCGCCAAGTCTGCAGGCGAAGTCGGGTACGACGTCTCCTCGAGGGACGCTGTATTGTGCTTACGCTGTTCTTTCTCTTTTGGTTACAGGCGTGGATCTCTCCTCAGACGGCGTCATGCATCGTGGCGACGTCCATGGGGAAGGAAAGCAGGGCTTCAACGGCCTTTGCCCTCGCTATCCTCTGAGCATGTCCGGATCTACTCGGAAGTCTCCCACTGGGAGATGAAAATTAGGGTTTTCTCTTCTGATCATCCTCCCAAGGAATGGCCAATGCGTGACGAGGTTTATCTTTGTGGGTGACTGAAAGGAGGATACAAATGCCCCTCGTTTAACTCTGAGGAGCAGGGACTGTAGGACGGCGAGGAAGGAGGTCTTCCCCGCGGGGCCTCGTCCGCTGCAAACCCGGGATTCGCTGAGCGATCCCTGGGTTGGGAGAAGCTTTCCTCCAGGTAGTCAGCAGGTCCCCCTCTATTAAAGGCAGAAGGTCGCCATTATTGTTGAAAAACAAGGATGTTATAATTTACCCACATAGCCGATGTTATTTCCTCCAGCAAATATACAAAAATCTAGCGAAGTCAGAAGGACAGGAACAACAAAAGTCGCTGTAAGCAAAACCCTAACATCTTTTCTTCTTCAAAGACTTATAATCTGATTAATAAAAATGATCATATTAATTCGTAAAATTATCTGAATTTCTACAAACTCTGTATGACTATTCATTGAACTCCACTTTAATCAAAAAGTATTACCATTACGTTGGGTTTTCTCCAACACTGGCATTTCATCGAATATCATTGAGCAATGTTTTATGAATGATTGGATTGCATAAATTTATAACTCTTGACATCATGTTTATATCTTAACGCAATACATTCCTTTGATTTAGCATCTCCTTTTGTCCGCTTATTATCTTATATTAAAACATAAGTGTGGCATCTAAAAAATTATAGATAAAATTATTTTACTTGTTTACTAACCAAACTTAATTGTCTTGTATCTAAGTGATGTTTAAGGAGATAAGTTTACTAAATAATATGTTGTGATGACGTCCTCAACTCAAAACTACTTTGAAAGCTGTATAAATGCTCTGATATATTGTGTTCTTTCAAACAATGTTTTTATTTTAATTATCATATTTTGCTGGGGTGTTTGAGTAATAGTCGTGACTAACTATATCTTCTTTAAAATCTTATATGTTTTTCTCTTTATTTTTCAACTTTAGATTTTTAGTCTTTATATGAATCAAGCATTTCTCGCTTGTGTTTTAAAAATAGATCATACTAATCTAGAGAAGTCATCTATAACAATGACAAAATACTTTAATTTTCATAATAACAGCTGCAATGTTAACTTTACATTGTTTACCAAGAATAAATAATGTACAAAAATCAATTTCATAAGCTTCTCATAGTTGTAGAATTCTAGCATCTCTTTTTTTCAAGCCTAGCATGTAATAAACAACATGATAGCATCATCTCTCTAAATACAAAGGCACCACGGATCCCGAGTGACACCTGCGATAAACGAACGCAATGAAGCGAGAGAGTGACTACAAGCCTGCCATTCTCATTCGCTTATTCAAACAAAAGAAAAGGACTTTGGAAGTAACAGAAAGGTTCACAAGTCTACTCGAGGACGAGGCGAAGAAGCCCAAGTATTCACCGAACTCATTCCGAGTTGCAATCGAACTGCTGCCACCCGTTTTCCAAGCTCTTGCTTTTATGGCAGATAGATGGTCAGCTTAGCTATGAATTTGACATGACACGGTCCCTCCTAAGAGTACGATGTTTAGCATGCTGCTCTCCCATCTCATAAGGGTTTCTTCAAAATATGATGTATCTGTTACATCACATAGATAAAACCAATCAAATTGTATAAAAATCTAATTTTCTCTCTATTTATAACAATTAAATACGAATTTTTATTTTCGAAATACAATTAACACCGATGTAAAAATAATCATTTGCATGTAATGAACTTAAAAGATAAAACTTTCTATGTAGGCATATACATACCTTACATATATCAAAGTTTTAACTACTTCATCAAGCATCCTAACTTTTATTATTATTAGCCTATCATTTTACACTTGATACTATTGCTTATGAGAAGTTTCCGTCCATCATGAGATGCACAAGCATCAAATAGAATAAAGAATCGGTGCCTAAGAAAAATTTAGAACATCTCATTCAATTTTTGAGTCAATACTGACAGTAGCTTCCACATAGTATGTCCTCCTATTTAAACTTATCACAAAGTTTCTAAATAGTCAATTTTCCAACAACCTTATTACTAGTCATAGTGACATCTACCATTACCATTTAAATTGGGTTGAAATGATTTTTTGCCACCTTTATTTTTCTACCTTCTTTCTTGGCTTAAACCTTTTATTATCAAACACTCAATACTTGTAAATTTTATTTTTTTTAACATCATTTGATAGTAATGTAGATTTAACTTCTTTCATCTTCAAATTGTCTTTGCCACATAAGATAATTGCCACAAAGTGATTATAAAATTGAGATAACAATAAGAGAAGAAGAACAATTGATTTTCTTCCTCCAACTTAACTTTAAAACTAAGAAGTTGTGAGATCAACTTATTTAATGTATCCACATTGTCTAACATATTTATTTCATTGCACATACTTCAGTCATATAATTACGAGTTTACATATTTTATATTTATAATAAAATTATAGGTGTAACATTTTTAATTTCTTCCATAAATAAATAGTAATTTCTATTCTGAAAATGCTATTCATTACCTCATCAGTCAGAAATAATTGGATTGTACTTATTACTTTCAAATATAATTCATTTCAATCTTCATCAACTAATTTTTCTTTTTATAAAATGCTTCGTGAATTGCCTTCACTCTCTTTTTCCATAAATCTATGTTAATAGTTCTATCAAAATTTACTACACATTCAATCATTGACATATTTACAATACCAAACATAATAAGTTTTTTTAAACTTAATAAAATAATACTAACTAAGTTATGAGACCCAATGTTGTTAACAAAATAGAATGATACGAATACTTATATTTGAAGAGTAATCACATGCATTACCCACTAAGTATAAATATGTTAAAATGAAAAAAGTAAGATAGCAAAGGTGACAACATTATATATAGATGAAAAGGCACGAACTAGTGATATAACAAGAGTTGGAAAGATCCCCCTACATCTACACAAAAAGATAAATATATTTATTTGGTGGAAGAATTATTATAAAATAAAGTCTCTCGAAATATCTATTTTTTGTTTCTACACTTGATGCTAAATGTCTTCCATTATTGGTAGCAAGAGAGAGAGAGAGCAAAATGGAAGAAGTGAGAATCTTACCCTCTTCTTCTCTCATCAATGCAAGCTTCCCCCACATACCACCTCTCAAAGCTCTCCACATCATCATGCCTTTATCTGATACTCTCCTTCAAATAGGAGAAGAGGAGAGAGAGAAAGGCAAAAGAGAGAGAGAGGAAGAGAGATAAAAATGGATGGGGGTCAATTATAACTCCCTCCCTTCTCTCTTTGGCCTTTTGTTTGCCTAATTGATTTGAATTAGTCAATGACAACATTCACTCTCAACCTCCATAGAATGCTACCTTCAATGACTATTCACTAATGACAATGATGATGATGATGACAATGATGACGATGATGATGTTGATGATGACGACGACGACGACAATGATTATGTTGCCTCTTCTTGATTGCACTCCCATTCCTCTTGAAGATAATCTTTCAGAAACATATACAATTGCAAGTTATTGAGAGTGATCTCTATAATGATCATACTATCCTACCATATATCAAACACTAGTTTGACCACACATTATACTAGACAAGGACTGCACCATTATACTGAAGTAGCACGCCATCAAGCTCGTAAATGTGGCCACGGATCGTGCTCCCTAGCAGTCATCATGTGCTAGTGAAGATCAGGGTCAAGCTGGCTTGCAGAAGTGCCAAGAGGATCTGGGCGTGGAGAAGGTCCAGACACCACCATAGCATCTACAACAGTAGCGAAGGGGAAGTTCGGGCCGAGCTGTCGGGGTGGGCCGGCCCGCTGAGAGGCACCAAGAAGCAGAGTATTTTTTTTAATTATTTATATGCAGGGTTAGCTGATAAATTGAAGTATAAAGCGGTCCCCAAACTCGATCGGGAAGGGTTTGTTGCTAGGGTTTTTCCGAACCAGTAGCTTTCTTCTCATCTTCCCCGTCATTCAAGGGCGAGGACGGAAGGGCGACGATGGCGGATGACAACCAGTTTTCTTCCCGATCGGAAAGCAAGCGTAAGTACGATGACCAAGGCGCGTCCCCGGAGGATGCCGTCACCCCTCCTTTCACTCGCCGCGCGACCGGTTTTTCGGCGCCAATCGTGTCGCCGTCTTCGGTGTCTCGCGCCGCAGAGACTCCTCCAGCATCGTACAATAGTGTTCCCCCGCCGCTGGATGGGTTCCAGCTTGCCAAACAGCGGGCGCAGGAGATCGCGGCCCGGCTCTTAAGCGACGCCGAGGCTAAGCGCCCGCGTGTGGAGAACGGTGATAATGGGGAGGATGCGGGCGAAAGAGGCTTCGGATCTTCTGCGAACGGTTAGTGTCAGTATTTCTGATAATTCGGGTGCTAATTGATCGATGTGATCCGTTAGTTACTCTCTATCTGAGGTGTCTGGCTTGTTCATGGTGTTCATGATGACCAAGAATTTTGCTCTTTGGGCTTTTCTTTTTCAATGGTTGCTTCCATGAAATTTTTCTGTGCTCGCCTATTCCCTAATCGATTGCCGTGGTTTCTCCTGTGCGCGTGCTGTTAATTTGTGGTTAAGCTCCTAGTTCTTGTTACTGGCTGTTTAACATGTTAGGTTTTTTAGTGAGAAGTTAGAAGGCTTAAGCAATATTTGTGCTTTGAATATTCTTCTCGCACATTTTTTTTCTTGAACGTGCTGCTTAGATAAATTTGCCTGTTACGAGCTGTTCAATTGGATCATGCTTGCAACAACTAACTTTTCACAGTGTAGACTGTATATATGATACTATTCTACGAGTCATCCTAAGTGCTTTTCCATATGGCGAATATATTCTGAAACAAACGATCATTTTAATTTTTATCTTCACTCCGAAGCATAGAGCTACATGGTGGAATGGGTTTCTCAGAAGGATTCTCATTGAGATTTTTTTTATGTATCTTCTATCAGTTTCAGATTGTTTACTCTTATTGGGCAATGAAATACATATTTTTTGATGTATAATAGATTTTTCATCTTATCTTATAGAGATACAAACCTGTTCTGTGACGAATACTTCCCGTTATCAATCCTCTAAGAGATAGATCCTTTTGAATCAACAATACATCTAGATCATCTCTCCTCATTGAATTAAGGATATAGAAATTTCTGTTATATTTAAGTAGTCCAAGCACTAGACAATATAGCTTGATGTTAGTGGCATTCTTTGATTCAAAGAGTCATCCCATCTAACATGAAAACGGAAATATTTTTTCAGGAAAAATCTGGTCCTCCTTCCTTCCTGCTCTTGATTTTTTTTTCCTTTAGAAGGTTTCTTTATACTTGATTCTGTGTAATTTTTTCAGCAAGTCACTTTTCTGCGATTACTTCTAATCTAGAATGGGCCAGTCATTGGCTTTAGTATCTTATTGAACGAAAATGATGATATTGTTCTTCAATTTATGAAGAATTTCGGTCTTTGAAAAGCATCATGATCATCCATTGCGAAGGGTTGGATTTTTTCACATGAAAGATTTGAACACCTATGGAACATAACAACTAATTGCAAAGTTGATCGTTTGTACCATTCAGTTTATATACGTGAATCTCGCGCCTATGAATACGGGTATTTCCGATACTCTAAGAAAAAACCGTCTTGGACAGTAAGAAACGAAGCGACTTTGAAAAATCTTCTCTATTGATGGCCTTGGAATAATGAATCGAATATTCATTAATCTGTAATTGATCAAACACTACTATAAAACGATTCCCTTATTCAGAGACGAAATGTTCCAAAATATTCCTGGAACTTAGTTTTCCCATTGGGCCATTTGTATGTGTAGGCATCAAGATCCCAATTGGTGGATCTCTCAGTTCGAGAAAAAAGATGATCACGCCATTTTGTCTGACTCTTTTTCAGATTCGACAAATGTTGGCTGATCGTATATTTCTGTGTAGTTATGTGATTCTGAGGATCATTTCCTATTTGGGCCTTTTGAATTCCATATTCTTGGCTGCAATCGGATCTGTTCAGTAAAAGGAATCAGTTCAATAAAATTCTTATGTATCGTTGGTACTATATTGGATTTGAATTATATTTCTGATCAATCAATACATATCGACTGCCACCATTATGTTGTTGCTTAAAATTACCACTATTTTGAGCGTTGATCTTCCTAATAATTCCTGCCACAGATCTTGGCTCACTTTTCTCTAATCCGTCGTAAAAAAAAGATTAATTCTCTTCATAGAAAATCAGTTGTAAAACAAATAAAGATTTCTTTTTCGATTCATCTCTGGAGTTGAATACCCTATTCCTGAAGTTTTTTAATCCGTGGGAATCAATAAAGATGAAAAAATCCCTGTGATACACAAGATCCGGCTCGGTTATTGATAGAGTGAATAGATTTGCCATTTCTTGAAATCTCTCTTCCCATTCAGAATTGTGGTGTAACGTGTTTCCCCCTTGTTTGAGTCATAGAACAGATGAAAATTAATCCGAAAATGGATTTTTGTTGTAGAATGAAATCTTATTGGAACTGTCCATGCCCGGTTCATCCTTCGGATTTACCATATTTAATGAGATAGGATGAATTGAGACGTTATTTTGAAAATACGTAATTACATTGAATACATCGACCATTTCTTTATTGCCTGATCCCTGGAAGGGACAAAATAGACATTTGTTTTTTATTAAAAAAATTATGATTTCCTATGGACCACTTAGTTGGTTTTGAGCCCAGATGAAGTTATGAACATTTTTCAGAGAGAAAAGAACGAGGATTCCCAATAAATTATTTGATTTCTTCCGGAAGCAGATGATTATTCATCACCTTCTCACAGTTCGTAAATTGGGAGGATATTAAAGATGATCCAAAAAGGCCTTTGTATCAGTACAGTTTGTTAAATAATCCAGGATTTCCATCCAATTTTTATAGTCATTTGATTGTCTCAGTCGGAGTATCATAAACATTTTGTACGATTATCACTATTCAAGCTGTAGAATTTAATTTTTATCTATTTCTATCTAATGACAACAGACCGTTCACATATGCATCATGCTTCGGGTCAACAAAAAACGAATTCTCAAGCCAACTCTAGTAACTCCGTGGCATTTGCAACCCATGGCTACGCGGGTACGAACAAAAGGATCCAAATTCCGAATGGCAGGGTATTGTATTTTCTCGCGTATGACATTCTGGCTGATTTTGGTAGCTATTGTCTCTTCACAGCGCCAGTTATTGACTTTTTCAGGTCGGTGTTATTATTGGGAGAGGTGGAGAGACCATCAAATATCTTCAGCTGCAATCAGGAGCAAAGATTCAAGTCACGAGAGATGCTGATGCTGATCCATACTCTCAAACAAGAACTGTTGAACTTACAGGAACTGCTGAGCAGGTCAACAAGGCGGAACAGTTAGTGAATGATGTGCTTCAGGAGGTATTCGAGTTTTAAGCAAAATTTTATATTCAAGATCTTTTCCTTGATCAATCCATGAAATGCATCATTCCCAATGTGGGATGCATTATCTCAGAGGCTGCTTTAGATGATTGTCCCTAGAGATTTTGACTGAGTCACTATGCAAAATCTACTTGTCCAACTTTTGGTGCTCCCTTTGCAGGCCGAAGTTGGGAGTTCTGGTGCAGCTGGAGGTCGAAAGTTTGCTGGTGTGCAAGCTGGGTCTGAGCAGTTTATAATGAAAGTTCCAAACAACAAAGTCAGTGATTTCATAGATTGTAGGGATTCGGTTGGTTTCCCATTTTCCACACATTCTTATTATTTCATTTGTTCGTCATGTAGGTTGGGTTGGTTATTGGAAAAGGTGGTGAATCAATAAAAAACATGCAGGCCAAGTCAGGGGCTCGAATTCAGGTGTGAAAAGATTTTTTTTTCTTTTAATGGTAATTCCATGTGTCTGTCTGTTGTTTTCAGTTGCCATTGGTTTTGTCCTTCAGGTAATACCATTGCATCTGCCCCCTGGTGACAACTCAGCTGAAAGAACTGTGCAGATTGATGGTACTAAGGAACAGATTGAATCTGCCAAACAATTAGTTTATGAAGTCATCAGTGAGGTACATGGGATGCTTATATCACAACTGCATCGATGCGGTTTGCTATCTTCTACTTGTTTTAATAGACTTCTCAGTTCTAAAATGGTCTGTACTATCATTCCTAAGCTCTTTGCGGTCGATCTCTCTTCAGGTTACGATCTTTTTTTAAGCTTTTCTCTTTAAATGTTCTTCGCTTAAAGACCAGTTTTGGAATGCTTCTATTAATATTTGGTGTTCATTGTGAAGAAAGTCTTAAGTCTCTTCTGTGCGTCAATTACATTATGGCTTGTATTTTTCTTCTAGCAAAAAAACTATGAAGCCTCGGCCACTGGAAAGATTACTAATTCAATTTGGCTACTAGATAGATACCTGTTTTATTTGCAAGTACTGGGAACTGCATTTTTCTTGGATTCCTTTTTATTTTATTTTTTCTGATTGTTGATTTTTCCCCGATTAGAACATTTTAATTTCCCTCAGTTCTAGCTTTTGACGTGTGCAATCAGTTTCATGCAGAGGGTTTATTAAGTTTTGTTTGATTATTTTCGTCCATGTGCAAATATTTGTATACAAACTGTACGATGTTTTTAATGTTGACAGTTGAACTGACATTCAATGTTTTTTTGCCACTTGAACTGTACATGATTGATATTTCTTTCCAAATGAACTGTTATTTTCGTCAAATAAGCTTGCGGTCATTTTATTGTACGGCCTATGTTTAAGTTTCCTCATCCTCATCGTTGTTAATATTTATTGTGAAACATTAATTGTTGAATTCTGTAAAGTTGTAGAATGTTTTGTTTATGTTTTACCGCCTGTCTAGACATATGAATATACATCTCCTAGCTCTTTCTATATATGTAAACTTTTTGCAGTACACTGTTGAGGCAAACAGTTTGCAGGGCTTAAAATTCGCTGAATGGCTGGGTTCTTTTGTTTATTTTCATTTCTCCAAATTAAGATCCGGTATTTACCCAGATTTCCAATTTTTGCTGGAATCTTGTGGAAGTATTTAATGTTAGCATCTCATTTTATGTAGCCTGTTTATAGGTTCTTTCGGAATATTTGTTGTCGATATTATGTTCTCTAAGATAGCTGTCTTTAGTTTTCTTTGCATTTTTTTTGGATATCTACGCATGAACTTTTTAAAATACCAAGGGCTAATTAGGACAAAGGGGCTCCTCTCCATTTATAACAGTGGTGTAACTATCTAACCGTCATTATATGGTTAATTTTCTTTAACATCTGCTAGTAGATCCCCAAATATGTAATGCATACTGAGTTATGAAGGTACAGAATATTTCTCGTATATTGTGCGCATGAGTGTTTTGAAATCTCAATGACACTTAGATACGCTTATGATTCAATTATCATCATTCCACATATGTTCTGCGTTTCTGCAGTTGCCCTAATTAGTGGTTTAATCCATTTTACGCTGCTGCTTATTATTCTTATGTTGAAATTGTAAAATTAATTCTCTTATCACTTAAATTTTCGATAGATCTGTTCTGAGGCATGTGAGAGCTTTTTACACGAGTTTCTTTTTGGAGAATGATACGATTCATTTTCTCTCTACAACCTTGTAAAAAACTAATTCTGTATGGTTTTCACGTGCCCATTTCACAATTTTTTTGCTATTAGGCTGTATGGTTGGATCTGTTTTAAGGAAAGATTCACAGAGTAGATGGGTATGGCGTTTGCTCTCTGTTCTTCGGTCATTTGTTGGAAAGATAGCCTGATTAAGTATTGAATTCAGGGTTTCCAATCTGTTTTGATGGTGAATCAGTGTCTGCCCCTGAGAAAATAGTGTACCAATTGAGACAGTTGGAAACCAGTAAATTTTTCTCACAGTTGGACCTTCAATAGGAGAAAGACCGGCGGGCCGTGGGCTGAAAAGACGTCTGTTGGGATTTATTTCAACCCTCACCCCTTCCCTCTCACTTCCTTCCCAATCAACACACACGGGACCACATACAGGAGAGCTGCACAAACCTGGCTTTAGCTTTATCCCGTTGGTAGGATCCTTCGAAAATCAGCTTTAACTTGCTTTTTAAGATGTATTTTTCCTACTCTTCTCCCTCAACCAATCTTTTTTTGCGGGGCCAGTCAATTTTGGCCAGCACTATCTTACATCATCTTATCAGTCTCAGTCAAATCCTGGATACCTGCTCAATCTGGATGACCGTCGTGAAGAATTGGTATACTGGGTTGGTCTGCTGTTAGTCCTAAAACAAAAAAATTATGTAGACTGGTAACATTACAGAGTATATTTTTATTCTTTACCTCAGTATTTGGATGCCTCCTCAAGTGCTTTGCCCATTCTTCTGTAAAGCTTTTGACGAGCATGTTAAATATTTTGTGTACCTACTTCCTATTGCTATCTGCCGGTTGTTCTCTGGATGTTGCCCTAAGATACATTTGGTTTATAAATCTGATCGTTCATGTTTATTTTGTGTTGTTAGTGAGAAGAATGTCTTTTTTTTTAATACCTGGTTAATGCCGGTCATTATTTTCCAAGACCCAGTTTTTTCAAGGGAAATTACATAACCATGGAAAATAATCCAGTCTCTGCCGACGTATTTTTATAATTGTATTATTACTCTTGTATTTTAGTTGATCTTTTAGGTCATTTTAATTTCTTTGGTTCTCAATTGGAAAGGGTTCAGTCTGAAACATCTCGATATTTTTTATTTATTTCAGGCTCTCTTAAATTTATTATGTATGGCCTAAAGATGCTTGTTCAGTATGTCCATAGGTGATATTCTGTATCAGTACCTTACACCGTACCGTGCTCTCTTTCTGTGATCTTTATCCTGTTTTTATGGTTTTTTCTATCATTCTATTAGGCCCGCGGCTTCCTAGTCCTAGATTTCCGGTGTTTGGTCTTCTGATGAGCTGGTTAACTAATATCTGGAGGGAATATATGAAACATCATTTCATGCATGACAGGTTCCGAATCAGTGACTACATCCATCCTGTTACCGAAAAGAGTCCTGGTTATTTAAAACGTCCTATATTTTGCTTGGGGGTAGATATTTTCCGAATTCGGTATAGTCATGGTTCAATCTCCTGTTCTCTTCTGCTATCAGTTCTTTGCCAATTCGGGTCCATTTATCCATCAAATCCTGGGCCCTCTGTGAATCAACAGAAGCATTCCAAAACTCCCCTCGTTTTACACAGCTTGTATTTACTTCCCTCGTTTATTTCGGGCTAAGAGGAGGACCCGGCGTCCCGCCGATGTTGCATGAAACATGTCCTGCACCGCCCGTGGGTAAGTCGGTGTCCCTTTATAGCATGTGAAGCAGCGAAAAGATTTGAACCCTCGATTTCATCTCTTCTTTCCAGTTCTAGTGATCCTCGTGCCTTGTTATATAATACTGCTCTGCTTCACACAAGTTATCTTTTCCATTTATGGATCTGTAGGCAGTTCCTCTTCCTTGATGAATTGCCTCTTCGCAGAATCGGGTTAGAAATCCGTCTGCTGGGGGAGGATATCCTCAGCAAGGTTACCACCACCCTCCTCAACAAGCTCCCACGGGCTGGGGCGGCGGCCCCCCCGGGCCACCACCAATGCAGCAGTCTGGCTATGGCTACATGCAGCCTGGCGCATACGCCGGCCCACCGACGCAGTATAATAATGCATCATCCCAGCCCGCCTACCCCGGCTACCCGCCGCCGCCTGCCGCCGGCGGATACTCCGGCTACTGGGACCAGACCTCCTCTGCCGCCGGCCAGCAGACTACGCCCAGTGCCGGGTACGACTACTACAACCAGCAACAACAGCCGCCACCACCGGCCTCCTCCGCTCCCGATGGGGGAGCCTACGGCTACGGGCAGCCCCAGGCTTCCAACTACGGCGCGCAGGCCTCCTACAATTCATCAAGTTATTCGCACCCCCAGGCCCAGGGTTACTCCCAAGATGGTGGCTATTCAGATGGCTACAGCGCTCCTCCGGCGGCAGCGGCAGCGCAAGCAGGAGGCTACACTCAGCAGCAGCCAAACGGGTATGATCAGCACCAGAGCTACGGCTATGGAGCGGCATCTCACGACGGATCCGCCGCCCCAGCTCCGGCGGGCTATGGACACAACACGCCGCAGACTCAAGCCCCCTTTCAGCCCGGCTATCCTCCCCCACCACCGGCCCAGTCTGGTTATCAGCAGCAGGCTCCGGCACAGTCGGAGCAATCCTACGGCGGCGGCGCGCCTCAAGCTCACTACCAACAGCCTTATGGCGGGGGCGGGGGAGGCGGCGGAGGAGCTTATCCTCAGCCACAGAGTGAAGCCGGCGGCAGTGGTCATGGATCGTACGACACTGCACCGGCTGTTCCCGGTGGAGCCACCAAGGCTGCTGCCCCTCAGAGTTGACCCTGCTGCGTACTCCAAAGCTAGCTACTACCGTGGTTTCCATTTCTTGTGTCTCCTCCGTGTGGGCGTTAAGTTCCGTATTTCGTGTCGTCGTTGAAACAGCCTTGTTTTCTTCCTGTTTTATGAAACATTCTTACTGTAGACTCCCCTTTGGCGGTGGAAGGCCCATTGGGCCGGTCGTGTTTTTCCTGGGCTGTTCTGGCGGCCCAGTTCTTGAAGCCGGGGTGGTGCCCAACTGACGGCAGCCGGGTTGGTCTGGGCTACAGCAGGCTCATTAAAGCTCGGCCCGAGCCGGGCCCAGGTCATTGGCTCCCCGGATCTAATCGAGGTGTTAACTATCTTCTCTGTACGGCTCTAATCAGATAAGCTTCGGGTCCATCGGACGATCGAGGATGGTTACTTACGAAATAAGTCGGGTTCGATCTTTGGAGGGGCGGCCGAGGAATTCCTTGGGGGGAGTCGCGTTTTGGGGGAGAAGAGGTCTCCGCCGCCGTCGCCGCCGCTGCCGCCGTGGAGAGAGGATGAGAGAGAGGAAAGGGGCGGAGAGGGGCGGTGAATAAGAAGTTCAGGAAGAAAAACCCCGCGTCATCCTCTCTTCTTGTCTCTCTGATATATCACCTGGGTACGATATCCCCTGGTTCTCTCTCTTCTCTCTCTCTCTCTCTCTCTCTCTCTTTTGGTTCTGTCTCTACTGCTTTTTTGTTGGTTCTTTCGGGTTAATTTGTCTCTCCGTCTTGGCCCGATCAGAGCCCAACCCGGCCCCCGCCTTTAAAAGCTGACCTCAGCCGCCGGAGGAAGAGAGAGGGAGAGACGAAGATCCTGCAGAGGAAGGTCGTAGACAAGGGAGAAAGGGAGATGCAAGATCCGGCGGTCAACGGGGGAGCGGCCGCATTCCAGCTGGCGGTCAACGGGGCACCGCAGTTCCCGCAGGAGGAGAGGCACCTCAAGTGCCCCCGGTGCGAATCGACCAACACCAAGTTCTGCTACTACAACAACTACAACCTCTCCCAGCCCCGCCACTTCTGCAAGGACTGCCGCCGCTACTGGACAAAGGGCGGCGCCCTCCGCAAGGTCCCCGTCGGCGGCGCCACCCGCAAGACCTCCTCCAAGCGCAGCTCCGCCGCCGCCGCCGCCGTCCCCCCCTCCGCCGCCGCTTCTCCGCCGCCCCCCACCCCCGCAGCCTCTGCGCCGCCGCCACTCCAAATCCCGAGGATCCAGCCCGTCCCCGACCGCCACCTCTTCTTCAGCTCCCTCCGGCCCTCGAACGACCCCGCCGATCATTCCGCCGCCGCCCCGCTCTCCTCCGGAGCTCCGTCGCTGGAGCAATGGCAGAGAACGCACTACAATTAGAAAAGATCCAGTCTTGGTCAACGCCCCCTTCCATTTTCCATTTTCTGGTGGAAATCAGGTCTCTTCGCCCATTTTTCTCCAACGGTATATATATAAAAATATATATATATCTATTTATATCCTGGCCTATTATTTTTTCTTTAATCTATCGGCATACCTCTCTGGTCTGTGATGTTGTGTAATGGGGATAATCTAACACGGTAGCTGTTCTTTGACTTTTCCGTTGACTCTAGTGATGATCCGCCCCGCTTGGCTTCGATCGCTGTGACTGAATTATTCTCTATTATTTATTTCGGTGCGACCGCCAAGTGCATGCACGCGGGAAAAAAATTATTGAGCTCGGTTTTGGTGGGCTACTATTTATTTCCCATTTTAATTAATTAAAATTTTATGGCGGCGAGTTCGAGGTGGGGAGGGAAGGGGTTAAAGCGCGTCGCAGTCAGACTGAAATGGTGATCTGCGACATGGGCCCCACCGTTCCAGTGGTAGCCCAGATCTATTAAGGAACAGGCCGGGCCCAATTAGGCCCAATGGCTAAAATTAGACCCGCCCAAGTAAAGATAAATTGGGCTCTTCCGTGCCAGCCTTTTTTGTGTATATGGCCCATTTATGTCGCTAGTCGACGTTCGAGGTGCGCAAGCTTGGGCGAGACGAAAGGTATGGGCAGCGAGAGAAAGACCAGTTCGACCCCGAGTCGCAGTCTGAGGAGCGATCTCGTTCGTCGGTGATCCACGGGAGCGGACGGTCGAGATGCAGGAAAGGACTTGTTTGAGATTTGGGGCGTGAGAGTATCGTTAGTCCGGTTTGTATAAACAAACTTGTAGCGAGAGAGAGAGAGAGACACACACACACACACACAGCCGTCTTTCGATTTTCTCTCTCCTCGGTTTGCCCCGTCTTCCAGGAAGCGGTGCCTGCTCTCTCCTTCCCCGGTAATCCCGAGCAGCTCAGACGATCACCATGCCCACCGGTGAGAATTTCGCCCGTGTTGTTTCGGAGTATCTTCTCTACGGCTGTATTGAAATTTCTGGTCAGGGGCATTGTCGTGTTCCCTCCTGACGGCGTTGCGGCCCTACATACCAGGGGAATATGCTCATTCGATTTTGATCGTTGAGGGAGCCACGCCGTTGAGGGTCTTCTTTATGTTCTCTCTGCTTCCCTCCCTCTTCGCCTGGTTCCTCTTTTACTTTTTTGATTCATGTGCGGCACTGGAGATTGAGTTGTTCGTCGTCTTCTTTCTATTGGATTTTTGAGGGAGATTAATCCGACTAGACTGCCGTTTCCCCCGTCTCTCCTATTCTATTGTAACACGTTACTGTCATATGGTAGATGGCACACGCTTACTCAAGATCAGCGAGGCAGAGCATTCGTAAAATATCCCGTTTGTATGATCACAACGACGATAAGGGGTTCTTTCCGATATCTAAGCCATGTGCTTGAGTCATTTTTAAGGGTGTGGTTGATACCCCGCACAAGCTAGAAAAACTAAAGCGCTGTGACTGCCGCTTATTTATTCATGTTTATGCGTCTAAACAAGCATGTATTATGATTGCCCTGGGGAAATGCTGAAATCTTCTGCATTATCCAATGTGGGCCTGGTCATGTTTGGTTCCTTCTTTCGGAAGTCTTAATAATAGATTTGAACAGCAAGCAAATAAAAGTCCCATCGTTTTTTACTGCACAAGCCAGACAATTTATCATTATTGGTTTCATCCCTTTTCTACTAACATTTTTTTGAACGTGAGTGCTAAACTAACAGCATATTCCAAAGTTCAGATTAAATAATTAATAGACTTATGAATGGCTCTTTTTTTTTTCCTCCAACTGTAGAATGCATTAATGTAAGTTGTACTTAGTTGTGGCTAGATTTCGCGTATAGATATCTTTTATCGAATCCAAGTAATATAGTTTAGTAAAAACATATTTTAGGATTATAAATGGTAGATTTTATTATGCCAGTTGTACTATCCTCGAAGGTTGTTGGTATTAAAATAAGATTGCAACCCAACAAAACCTCTTGATCATTTTCTAGCTAACATTGAGAATTCCTACGTTGATATACCCCATATCCTTGTAATATTCGGCAGGGTATTTCTTCAAATATTTTCATGCGTTGAGACTTGCTTTAGCAGGGAATAGTTGAAAAAGTATTTTGAGGCTCAGGGCCTACGAATGTTTTAAACCTTTCCCCAGTCACCCTGGCCTCTAGCTAGGCCTAGATTGATGGAACTGTGAATCCTTGATACCATCGTGAGTTAAAATTTGATGGACATGGTCACAAGTTTCATGAATGTACTCATATATGGAAGCAGGCACTTCACTGCCTGGTTATCTACTTGTATAAGATCACTCGACAGTGCCGGCTGCAAAAGGCAACACCCAACGTGAATGAGAGGGATAGACCGTCAGTACCGAGTGTTAATACCCTAGAAATTGCAGACTCTGCGTCCGGGAGTTTGGAGGTGGCATGGGGGGGAATTGTTCTTTCTGATAAGGCTTCACTTTTTATTATAAATCACTGACTAAATCTTTTTTGATGAGATTTGTGAAAGAAGCTCAGAGGATACTGCTCTCTGAATTTAGTGTCTGAATTAAATCACCCAGTGGCCAAACAAAACTATATTAATCCCATGGATATTTAGACCTGACCCTTGGAAAAGCTAGATTTCAATAGAAGTAGGATTTTTTTTGCAAAATTCGGCTGTTTCTTCAAGCTGGTGATGAAATCCATGGGATTCCTTTGGACATTCAATCCCCCGCTGTTGGGAACTGGGTCAAGTTAGTGAAATGTATTGATGAACCGTGTGCTGAATTTTTTGTTCTTATTCAAGCAACCACTCCATTGCTGGTAACTAGAACGTCCAGTTGTTAATGCCTATTTCCATGAGACCTTGAACTACAGTGATGCTAGGGGTCCAAAGGTTGAAGTATGATGTATACTTGAGCTCAATATAATATGTTTACATGTACGTCGAAAGGTATAGTTTACTCTTGTTTGCACGTTAAGGAGTATTGACATTTTCATTTTGTCCATTAAACAATGAGGCATCTAATGTTGCGGAGCATAAGGTTAGTCTATCAGGATGTTGACTTTATGTGTCTTTAATGCAGTGAGTGTCAAGTGGCAGAAGGAGACTTTTCCAGCTGTAGAAATCGACACTAGTCAACCTCCTTATGTTTTTAAATGTCAATTGTATGATTTGACTGGTGTGCCTCCTGAAAGGCAAAAAATTATGATGAAGGGCGGTCTTCTGAAGGTATTGAGACTCCTGATTCTCTGAAGATACGAAAGGAATTCTTGATTGACTTGCCTACGCCATTATTAGAATTTCCGTATGGAGGGTCATATAGAATCGTAATTTTAGTCTTACTTCTTTGCAAGTCTAATTTATTCGGGCTTACAGTCTCTTGTTTTGGAAAAATACAGGATGACGCGGATTGGTCAACCCTAGGTGTAAAAGAGGTGTTTTGTTTGTACCATGCTTTTTCTCTATGGAAGCATTTTGAGAGCGAATTTTCTGTGGTTATACGAGCTCTTTTCTCAAACCAACAACTTATAATTTGACTAGGGTCAAAAGCTGATGATGATGGGAACTGCAGATGTTGTCAAAGCTCCTGAAAAGGGTCCTGTCTTCATGGAAGACTTGCCAGAAGATGAACAAGTTATTGCTGTGGTAACCTTTTCATCTCAGATCCCAAACCGAAGCTTATTTTGACAAGAATAGAAAATCCACTAGTTTTATTGGGTTGGCAACTATTGCATTAATATTTTGGTGAATCTGATAATATTGAAGGGAAACTTGTTAATTTGAAATTTCTCTTTGTAAAAGAGAGTAGATCTGTTTTCGTAGGAATTTTGACTTTATTACGTTTATATCATGGAAAGCTGTTGGACCAAAATATCTTGCATTTTTTACTGTTATGCTGTATGTAACATTTTTAGACATTATAATTCCTGGGAAGAGTTGAAGCCTTCTGCATCATTGATTTGTCCATACGCTCTCAAGGTGGGAAATTAATATGATTATTTGGCCTTCAATTTTGTGCTTCAGGGTCACTCTGCTGGTTTATATAATTTGGGAAATACCTGCTATATGAACTCCACAATCCAGTGTCTACATTCAGTTCCGGAGTTGAAGTCAGCTTTGCTGAAGTAATTTTTTTCCTAATTTGTTCATGCTAAAGGGTCTGATTTTAGTTTTCAATTTTATTCATATATTTGTATTTTTGTATCCAAGCAGATACACTAATTCAGGAAGAAGCAACGATGTAGACATTCTATCACATAATCTGACTATTGCCACCCGAGATCTTTTCAGTGAGCTCGACCGAAGTGTTAAGCCAGTTGTACCAATGCCATTTTTAACGGTCAGTTATGGCCTATTTCTCCTCATGTAATTAAGCTTGAATGTATTTACCTGGTGCTTTTATAGCTTCTGGTCGTTCTTATGGCTCTCCGACATTTATGAAGCAGCTCTTTAACTCCGAATTCATATTCTACTATCTACGTCCTAATTGTATCTGTTTGTTTCCTCTAATCGTGGACACTCCTCATAGCAGGTGTTACGTAAGAAATATCCTCAATTCGCGCAGCAGCACAATGGTGTTTACATGCAACAGGTACTTTTTTTTTTGTCGGAGTTGTTTTCATCTTCACGACATTCACATTTCTTATATTTTTTAAACTGAAGGACGCTGAAGAGTGTTGGACTCAACTGATGTATACATTGTCTCAGTCTCTTAAGGCATTGGAATCAAGGTTCGTGTAAAAACTGCCAATATAATTTACTATCATTTGCTCATTGATTTTATACTTAAAGAATTTACCTGTTTACCATTTACCATGAAATAGATAACTATCTTGCAATCTTCTCTGTGCTTTGCCTTCTAGATGTAACATCGCCGTTTCTTTTACTTTCATATGTTGCACTAATGACACTTAGAATTGATTTATTCGGAAGAGCACTTATTCTTTTTTATAATAGTAACAACAGAATTGAGAACTTAACTGGATTGAATACATGCTAACCGTAATGGCCAATATCATGATATCCAAAGAACTAAAAAAATAAAAATGAATATGAATCATGAATTCATCTTTGACGTTATTGTTTTGGATCTTTGAGCTCTTATCAGCCGTTTTAACAGCACAAAGAATCCAATTCGGGTGTTTTTTATAAAAAAAGGTACTGCTCTATTTCTTAAAATATCAAATTGGATGTCTCGTGCTTTGTCAGTGGGAGGTGTGGCTGACACAGGCTCGGAGTTTGATTTGATAAATCTGAAAACTGTGTTAGATTGGTTTGTATTTGTCTGACTTGTTCCATTCACTTGCATAGGTTCTGATCCCAAGTTAGTACCTTAGACTACTATTCAGGCCAACTCACGTTATGCAGTTGTTCGTAATAAATGTTTATCAACATTTAATTACTGTTTACCAATTGTTTGTAATAAATGTTTACCAAAATTTAGTTACTGTTTATTTGTCCCTCAGAATTGATATGATGTCATCCTTTTATTTATACCTCTTGATATGATCACCATTGGATCTGATACTTTGCTATGTTCTGTCACAGTGACAGTACTGCAACTGTGAAGACACTTTTTGGCGTCGACATTGTCAGCAGGTACTCTTAATCCTTATTCTGGATGCCCGGTATTTATTCAATTTTGGAACACAGGAAGGAACAAGCATGCTCCCATTTTCTGGTGAACGGTTCATAATGTCATGTTCATACCAACAAGCGCCATCATATGTGTTTCTGTATTGGAATCTAGATGTTCAAAAATACGTTGAAGTCTCTCAGGATCGTCTCAGAAACAAATTTTGTTATATGTGATCATGCTGCTTGATTTTTTGAGGGCCTAATCAATGTTTTCAATTCTAGGATCTACTGCACAGAAAGTGGTGAGGAAAGCTCAGAGACGGAGTCAGTTTACTCACTAAAATGTCATATCTCACAGGAAGTGAACCATTTGCACGAGGGGATTAAACGTGTAAGTGGCATGGGGAATGTAATTATCATTGGAACGGTATAGATTTCTCTTGATATATCACAATTTTGACGTCTTATTTCATAGTCGCTTTGGACCCAAATTTCAATCTGGTTATTTTCTCCTGGGAATGGTTATTGCTGTTAAATCTTCATTAGCATTCAATTGTGATGTCTTACCCGTATAATAACACAGGAAACAGGACCTGTAATGATTATTGTCTGTCAATATTCTGAGGGGGCTCTATAGATGGTGGACACGTGAATGCTGAATGTCATTTAATTATTATTTCTAATATTATGGCTAAGTTGCATCTCTAGCTTCGTTTAATACGGGGCTGCAATCAACTTATATAGTTATTTCGGTACCATAGAAATTTATGTATGGTGTTGTAGATTTTATATTTTCGTGCAAACGAATTCCATATTAACGCTTAAAGATATTGCTATCTACTTTTACTCATAACTAGTTTCTAGGTCATGAGTTCCTCCAGCTGACTAACTTTGAGAATGCTACCATTGTGTTTGGTGTGAAAATACAATGCCAATTGTAGATGTATGGTTAAAGCAAATCTTTGGAATGTACATTTAAGATCATCCTTATGCTGTCCATATTTGTGGTCCACTTTATTGTTGACTCTCATCCACAAATTTTAATTTCGTCAGCATCGCATGATATTGAATTTTTACCTCCCATGGGATTATCGTAGAGAAATAAAAAGTATGTAACTGTTGTTGTCGATTTGCTTCAGCTGAAAGTTAGAAAACTCTAGATTGTGGACTGGAAATGTGTATTTGGTATTTCTGTTTGATTAAAATGATCAAACCCCCTTCAGGAATAATTCTTGGATTGGAGCAGAGACTTTATTTTATGATACTGCATTTGTACGACCCAGAAAATTGTTTTTTGTATTTGTGAAAAAATTCGCCACAAGCGTTGATAGAATTTTGGCAAAGTAGGGGGAGAAATTCGTGATGAAGAAGTAAGCTATTGTATTGTAGGTTTTGGTAAGATAAGAACGTTGTTGAAATAAGTATCGGGTTCTGATTCAACGGACAAACTGGTCTCTAATCTGTTTTTTAGGAAAACATTTGTTCCTGAAAATTTGGAAAGGGAAAGAGGATCAGCTGGAAATCGATCAATTTTCAATCCTAGGCTATTTTGGAGCCTTCAGAACGCCCCTTTATTCTTCCGCACTTTTCTAGCTAAAGAAAGAGCTGGAGAGGGAGAATATGGTGGTTGAAGACACGCGTTTAATTGGTTTGTATGATATGATTGTGTGTCCTTTGGATGAATATGTTGAAACTATTCCTACCTGTTTTGTAAGCTGAGCAAGTTAATAACCGTCTTTCATGGGCATTATATTCCTTCTGTCGGCTATTAATCCTCATTGGTTAGAGAACAGTCTAGACCATTGTGAATTAATAACCATTTTTAATCGCCAATAGATATCTTCTTCTATTTTAAGATTATGCTAACTAATCCATCATCCATCACGGTTTTTGTGCAGTTTTTATTTATAGATTTTAACTTGGTTAAATATCATTTGCAGAGTCTGAAATCAGAATTAGAAAAGACCTCCCCTTCCCTGGGACGCAGCGCTATTTATTGCAAAGAATCATGTATCAATGAACTACCAAGGCAAGTAGAAGAATCCTTCCTCTTTCAATTGCTGCATTATGGTCATTACCAAAAGTGTCCACATGGTATGCTCATATAGCACATCTTCCAGGTATTTGACAGTTCAATTTGTCCGTTTTTTCTGGAAACGGGAGTCAAATCAGAAGGCGAAGATTTTGCGTGTAATATGGATTTACTTTGTTCATTGCTATTGTTATGTGTTTCTCATAGAAATCTTAGCTATCCACATTTGGTTCAAGTTTCTTCTCTTGCCACTGTTTTCATCTAGAGAAGACTGAATAAATCAGGTATCCTTTTTTTAAAAAAAATCTTTCAGAAAGTAGATTATCCACTGGAATTGGACGTCTATGATTTTTGCTCTGATGAACTACGCCAGAAGTTACAACATCCTCGCAAGGTATATATAACACACGACAGGTTTCTACTATTATAAAAGGAATCCAGAAAGGTGATTCTCTTTGGTCCTTTTGTTGTCCACTTTCCAATTAAAGGTTCTTCGGGATGAAGAAGGCATCAAGCTTGGATTGAAAGGTAAAAAGAACAGTAGTGCTGAAGGCGATGATTCGAAGAAAGCTGCTGCTGAGGTATACTGAATATATCTTGCCATGTCTTAACATGTTTCATCCTCCATGATTCACATACGTAAAAGCATGAATGCCCGGGCATGACATGTTGAGCAGCTTGGAGGTGATCCTCAATCTTTCTACTCAGACTTCTCTCCCTTCTGCAATCGTTCATGCATGCTGACCATGCGTCTTTGTTTGTACGTCTCACTTTTTTCATGGGTCCTCTAGAAAGTAGGTCAGTAGTAAGTAAGATCAGTGAAAATCTCAAACTCCCAACCTAATGACTGATCTCTAATACTTAGAGAATCTGTTCGTTGGGAGTCACCATGGATCCAGCAAGAAACACTTCCTGTGGTTGCCTGGATATGAGAGGATTAAGTGGCCCCTGTTCTAAACCTTTTTGTTTGATATTTTATTACCGAAAAAAGGTTATCTTGCATTTAGTTATGAACATTCATACCTTCTCATGGCCACATCTTGAGCTGCTACTTTTGATTAAGCTGATATTTTCAATTTCTCGCTCTTACATCATATGTTCATGTTCAGAGTAAAAAGACAAGTGAAATCCTTTTTCATACTATAGTAGGCCCATGACCAAAAACATTTCTTATAAAATTATTATTAGTTTCCTTTTTCTCAATTCTCTCCCCTTGGTTTTGAAATTCACAGGGCTCATCCAGCCTCGGAGAATCATCCAATGCTCCAACTCAAGAAGGTAATATTTTGATTCAGAAAGTAGCATTAACTGTGATCCGAACTAAAGCTTTTATGTCTGGCCCTGTTGATCCACCCTGAGATTCAACAGAGTTAGGCTGATTTCTGCCACTTACTAGCCTACCGATTGATACACTGAAGATGGATATATATAGAGAGAGAGATAGAGAGAGAAAGATATCTATACACATGGAAACATTGGCAAGTGGTTGGAAAACAGAAACATGTTATACCCTTTAGAGATTCAACAGACTTAGCTTGGTATGGGCCTGAGGATCCACCCTGAGCTCATGGATCTCTTACGTTGTTTGAACTGGGTCTGAGCCCAAAGAGAAACCCAGGAAATCAAACTAGAGCTCGCACCCTCAGAGAAGACTGAACCTTGAATTTCTGCACCAATTCCTTTGCTTTGGCGTTGTTTTGAGACCCAAACCCAGAAAACACAGTCCAGGCTAGCCTACCGATTGGTACGCTGAAGATGGATACAGAGAGAGAGAGAGAGAGAGAGAGAGCAATACGCATGGAAACATTGGCAAGCGGAGCATTCTAACATTTATGAACACATTTTCTTACATCTCACCTTCCCAGGTGGCTATTCTGCCCCTTTCTCTTACCTTCCGATATCTTCTTCCAGCTGGGAAGTCTGAGAAGAAGCCTCACCTGACGGGGATCTATGACTTGGTTGCTGTTCTGACCCACAAGGGGCGGAGCGTTGACTCTGGGCACTACGTTGCATGGGCGAAGCAAGAAAATGGTGAGTCTTACTGCCCACCGAATGCTGCAATTTTTTCATGAATTTCTGTGGCTATGATTTCATCCCCCTGCGTGGCTGCCTTTCCTATGATTAATGTCAAACTATTTTAGGTAAGTGGGTTGAATTCGATGACGACAGCCCAGTGCCACAGCGGGAGGAAGACATCACAAAACTGTCCGGTGGAGGTACAACGCCGCAATCTGCCTGCTTTGCTCTCCTCTTTGACTCGTTCTTAATCTCATGCATTCTGGGGGTGGGATTGGGATTTTGACCTAATCACCTTTAGTGTACACACGTTAGATAGATAATACACCAAAATCGGAAAGGAGTGCTGATTTTTGGGTTGAATAATCGGTGTGGGATCGTCCAATCTAGTGCCCCTTTTGACCAAATCACTTTGGATCAGAGAAGTTCTCAGCTGCGGCTTGCGTTTACTTCTCTCTCTGGGTTGCCTGCATGGTTGCTGACCCACTCGCTCGTTCTGTTTGATTGTATCAGGTGACTGGCACATGGCCTACCTCTGCATGTACAAAGCCCGGGTCGCCGAGATCTAGGCGGGCCCTCTCCCACCCGCTCCCGCTCCCCCCCCCCCAACTGTGGGGCCCACACTTTTTATGCCTTCACTGCATTGACTCCGAGGGCTGCTGGATTTTACGTACATTTCCGAGTGAATTACTATATTTGATGATCATTTACTTTCTCTTCCATAGTTTTATTAAATTCTCGCCCCTTTGGAAAGATGGTGTGGCGGGTTTTTTTCCTTGCCACGTGTCTGTCCGTGAATAATCGTCCACCTGGCAGCCCCCCCTCTCTCTCTCTCTCTCTCTCTCTCTCTCTCTCTCTCTCTCTCTCTCTCTCCGTCTTCAGATCCGGGCTTCGTTTAAGCCCGGCCCGGCCCAGCCCGTTAATACCCCTCGACTTGGGTTTTATTTATATTGTGGACGCATGATTAATTCGGGCCAAAGTAAGTATAACCTTTGATTCTATAAACAAGGTTGGTCTTTCGCCTAGCGGTGTAGATAGGCAAAGGGAAAAGGGCTTATAGATGGGCCCTTGGAGAGAGAGAGAGGAAGGCCCGGCCCCGGAAATCAACCAGGCCCATTAGGCTTCAGCAAGAGCCCGGCCCGTTAAAGGGCTGCTCGTTCGTTGGGTCGGTAAAGCCAAGGCCTAGGGTTTTTGTGTGGGCCCCGCTTCCCCCCGGAGGTTTTAGGGCATTTTGGTGGGTTTCGGCCACTGCCTCTGCACGCCCAAAGACGCCTCGTTGAACTCCCTCCTCCCTTACCCGCGGAGAAACAGGACCTTCGTGAATCTCGACGCCCTCAGCTGTCGTCTGTATGTGCGTGTGTGGTGCTTGCCCTTGGTCCTTGGCCGCCTTCCCTTGGGCAGCAGCAGCAGGAAGACAGGAGGTAGCAGCGTGAGAACGAGCGGCGGACGTTGCGGGGAGGCAGACGCAGAGCTGTCTGAAACTGTGTGGCTTCTTCGTTGGAGCTCCGTTTGAATTGTTTAATTCGAGAAAAGATAACGAAAGACTGTCGTTTGGATAATAGTTTAACTGCCCGAAAACCATGAGAAAGAAGGTGGACGATCGTATCCGAACTCTGATTGAAAATGGGGTCAAATTGAAGCACCGGTCCATGTTCGTCATCGTCGGTGACAAGTCTCGCGACCAGGTTCGTCCCATTCTGTCCTCTGAACGGCAACTAGCCCTTTCCAAATTCTGTCAAATCACTAGTCCCTTGTCGTCCTGTGCTAAATGTCTGGTGGTGGTACTTCTTGCAGATTGTGAATCTCCACTATATGCTGGGCAAGGCGACTGTGAAATCACGCCCGTCCGTTTTATGGTGCTACAGGGACAAATTGGAGCTAAGCAGGTCCTCCTTCCTTCTTTCTACTCAGCGCACTGATTCTGTTATAAAAAGAGGCTGTATTTTTGGTCAGTTATTTTCTAGTGCACTTGTAAACTTGGCATGTATGCTCTCCACCCTTGTCAGATGATCTTTTGAAATGCCAAGTTCCCACTCGTGCCTCCTAAAGATGCTTTTGATGGCTGCGGCATCTTGTATGTATTTACACTTCTGACATTATTCGACTGAAATTTTCAGGCATCGAAGTTTTGCCAGGAAGAGTCGATGTAATGGCAATGGTTGATGAATAGATGGTTTTTCAATGAATCCCGTTTATCTTTACTTGAAATTTTCAAATAGAAAATAAAAAAGAGAAATAATGACTAGAGGCATAGTGGTTTGAGGTCGTCCTTCTTGGAAGTAGACTGCATATTTTTGAGAAATTATGGCTGTGTACTAGCTTCCATATTGTAAAATTTTTAATCTACAATACAAAATTTTATGGATACTGGACCAAAATACCTGTTGACTTCTATGAACAAGAAACGACAGACACCCTGCTCCATGAAGCACCAGAAAAACATCTTTACTCTCATTAGTATATAAGCTCATTGAAAATTTTATCTCATCGTTGTAGTAGACAAAGGCTTCACGTAAAGAGAAGCGTCGTTATGTGTATAAGATGGATGGTGTTTTGGCCTGTGGTTTGCATACTCTGCCTTACTGCTTGGCCAAAGGAACATTTTCACTCTTTTATTTTTGAGTTGATGTCTCCCTCTCCAAAGCATTCTCATCCAAGTCTCCGCAGCCCATTCGTTTACTAAACGTACCCCGTGGTTTCTTGGTCTCTGTAAGCTCTCAAAAGAGATAACAGTTAGTTTGTGCGACCTGCGTTTTCCCCATATAATGTTTCAAGTCAAATCCAACGCAGAGAACAAGCCTTTGATCAATAAAATTGGTTATACAACCACTGGTTTGGGAAAAATTCTCCTGGTGTTGGGTATGTGGTCCTTACCCAGATCATTTTACAAAATAGGTTACGGTCTGATTTGCTTAGTACAAATTACTTAATGGTATCCACCCTTATCTATCTACCTGGTGGCAAAGATGGAGTGAGATGGAATCATTCCATCTTCGTTGGAATCTTTTTGTTGCCCAAAGAATTTGAATTTGTTGTAGAAACTTGGGGTGGTTTTGGATCTTCTCTGTTGCTGGGATTTCTAATTCATCTTTTTATAACTTTTGATGTATCCTTGCGTCAACTGTCTCCATTCCACGCTCCCTCTCTGCTTCCTGCCATCCTAGCTGAACCTTACGTTTCCCTCTCAATTCCTGTTCCATTGCTTTTCATTACTCCTTTATTTTTGGCTATTTTCTCATCGTATGCTAATTCAGTTACTTTTGGGAAACTGAAATTTATTGCTGTAAAAAGTTTCCAGGCTTCCTGGAAGGTTCTTGTGGAAAGTCATCAATGGCAATTTAAAGTTCCCATTCTTCTGTGATGTTATTTCTGTTTGTGGATTCAGCAGAGTCAGTTCACATTGACTATGCTTTATCTTTTTCTTATTTTTATCAATCATATGCTCTACATATTATCTACTCTTTGTTTGAATGTCCGCCTTCGCGTCAACCTTTGTGGAGAAATGCAGAATGTGCATCGTTTCTGAGATTGCCCAAACCATTGCTGATTATTATTTCTCTAAATTATATTGGCTGTTGAACTTGTCTCATTCTAGGATCTTTGCTTGCTTTGCATTGCTAACTTAATCTATATTTCAGTCACAAGAAGAAACGTGCGAAGCAGATAAAAAAATTGATGCAAAGGGGTTTGTTGGATCCTGAGAAGGTGGATCCATTTTCTCTTTTTCTTGAAAGTGGTGGCGTCAATTTTTGCTTGTACAGGGATTCAGAAAGAATCCTTGGGAATACTTTCGGCATGTGCATTTTACAGGTTGAGTTTTAATCTACTGTATTCTTTATGATAATTTTCTTATGCTTTCGGGAATATTTATGTTAGTTTCTCATGCTTTTTTAATTTGCAGGATTTTGAGGCTTTAACTCCTAACATTCTTGCAAGGACTATTGAGACAGTAGAGGGCGGTGGGTTGGTGGTCTTGTTGCTTCGTTCCCTTCCCTCATTGACAAGCCTCTTTACTATGGTCATGGTGAGCAACTTTATGTAATTTTCTGCTTCATTACTTGACAATTTATCTTGTATTTTGAGTTTAATTTCTCGAATTTTTTTAGATGTAGATAGAATTGAAGTGTCTTGCGTACATTAGGTCAGGATCTAGCCTATCTTACTTAGAAAACTAAAATGTTTTTGATTTTTTATGTCCATGCCAATGAAACTAATCTTACTGTGAGTTTAGTTTGGGAATGGTAATACGCATGCATGGGATGTCTGTGGGTCCTGACTCAATCTTCACTTTGTAGTTTAATTTGGACTGAAACTATTTTTCTTCTCGTCCAGGATGTGTCCCGTAACTCCACTATGTACTGCACCTAATACTATCTCCTTTGCTACGTGGATTCAGGCTTTTAAACCGTTTCAGAGCTACCTTTTTAGGTCATTACAAGGAATAATCTATTGACAAAACAAGCATGTTAAACTGTTATGAATGGATGGTGAAGTCTTGGTATTACCATCTCCTGGTGGCCGTCTGGTTACTAAGTCCAGGCTGTTTTATAACTGGGCTATCATCTGTAGGAAGTAGCCGCAACTGACAGTAGAAGGCATATTTTGTTTTCTTAACTACAAGCAAGCATCTAAAGTTGCTTGCTCCTAACGATAACAGCATCCCATGGAGAAATGCGCAATAAATAGAACTGTCACCCGAAATGTTTGTCCTTCCCATTACACTAAAATGGGTGATGGGGAAGGTCAATTGTTTCCAAACTGGTGACAGTGGAAACATTCGACATAGGAGAGTTGGTGCTTCCAACACGAAATCAACTTTTCTGACTCCATCCTGTGGTGAAGACATGTGAGCATTTTTCCAATGGAGGCAGCAGCCGGAGGGATTCCATCTTGCAATGTGCTCTGAGACTCTGCTCAGTTTTTGTGATAACCATTTTGCTGCCTTCTATTTGTGATGAGGATTTTATTTTCATTCAAATTTAACTTAATATGTTTCTGTTTTCTCACCTCATCTATCCCAAATCCGGAATACAATGTGGGCATTACTTGCAAAAGTTTGACAGGATAATTAGTTACCTTGTTCAAAGCATCTTTGTGGTAGCTTGTAATATTCTGATGTCTTGTTGTTTACCTCATTGATGTTCGTTTTTGACCAAAGAAGAAAGTCTACATGAGAGACATATGTCCGCCATTTATGTTTCAGAAGTGCACCTTTTTTTTTTACTGTTATGCATCCATTCAATCATGTTGAGATCTGCATTCGTCCATATGCTTCTGGATTTGTCACTTTTCCTGTTACAAGTGTCTAAAGAATCTTATACCTTGGCCTAAATGCAATATTGAAAGAATATCTTATAACCGTTTGTTTCCTTTTGTCTTGAAAGAAAGGTATGTCTAAATCATGTATATCATAAAAGTATCCTTATTTTCTAGATTTTTCTCTCTTCACAAAAAATGTTCATTAGAGGCATATTGTGTGTCCTTCAATCTCATATATTTAATCCTTCGACTTGAAGATATTTTTGGAATTTACCTTGTTCGATTATTTTAACCTCAGGACGTTCATGAGAGGTTTCGAACAGAATCACATACTCAGGCAACGGCAAGATTCAACGAACGGTTTTTGCTATCTCTTGCCACATGCAAGGCATGTGTAGTTATGGATGATGAGCTCAATATCTTACCTATATCATCGCACATGAGGTCAATTAAACCCATCACAATTACAGAGGCAAGTTTTGTTTCCTCTAATTTTCATTTTATAAACTCTATGTTGAATCCTGCCAGCATTGAATTTTTCTTTGTAAAATTGAGATAAAAATGTGAAGCATATGAAAGTTGTGAAATATTGAGGATATCCCGCATTCAAAGTTGATTTGTTTAGAGGAGACACCCTCCTTAAGCTCCATTGTAAACGTCAACGATGCAATGGAATCCTGCGAGTTGGTAAGACCTGCGACTCAATCCAAAACTCACGTCATAGACAGAAGAAAAAATGTATTTAGCAGTTAATGGTCACCAGAAACATGTCTAGTGTTATCTTCATTATACACAAGTTGATCCTGTGGAATATAGATTAGTTAAACTGCTAGGTTTTGAATTTTGTCATCTGACTCCGGAAAGGGCACTCTAATATATCCCTGAACATTTAAAATATCCTCAGTTTGGATTAAGTCAGTATATTTATGAAGTCACTGGTTCCTGGCTGGGCTGCTATTAGAACTGCCTCTTACCGGCAGATGGTAAATGAAGAAGAAAAAGAGGAAAGGAAAGGGCAGAGGAAAAAAACTCACCTGTAGCTGCTGCCAGGCTCTGTCAGTCACTGCTGGCTGCAATTGCTGCCAGTGGCCATTGGGTGCAGCAGCTGCAGGCTGGCTAACTGCCCTGCTAGTGGCTCCCACATGTTCCTCATGTAACTACGATATTTGTACATTGATGAAGAACTTTTGCATCCTTTTAGTAAATATTACTATATATAGACTTAAACATCCGATCAGGCCTCCACACTCGCTCATATGTTTTGATCACCATTTATTAAAAAAAAATCTTGCGCCTCCCTCTGTTGACGTAAGATTGACTGGAAGTGTTATGCATCCTGACGATTTTTTCTTATTTACTCTTTGTTAATTTTTTCCTCAAATGAGACACCAACTATTACCATTTACTGAGCTTTGTGCGGAACAATTAGGTTAATGTGTAGTCAAATTTAAATGAGCACTTCAGTCTCATGAGTGTGCACCAAGAGCCTTACCTAAGGTTGGTAACAGTTGCTATTGCCCCACATTAAATAAATGGAATCAGTCCAAGTATATATATGATCCTTCAAGTCTCTCATGGTCTCCTGTATAGTTCAACATTCCATTTCTTGAATTGTCAAAAATATTTGGCTCCATATGTGTGTCAGATATTTTTGGGTAAGCAATAGTGAAATAAAATTGGCAAAATCTAATCGTTTTGAGGATACAGTTATGCTTAATACACTATTCGTTACAATTATGTTTAACTTTACAGCCATTCATTTATTTATTTCTCTTTTTTTTCCCCCTTTTATTTTTGTCTTGCGCAGGATTCAGAGGGGTTATCTGAAGCAGAACGCGATCTAAAGAACTTAAAAGAGCAACTTCATGATGATTTCCCTGTTGGCCCATTGGTTGAGAAATGCTGTACTATGGATCAGGTAACCCCGATAACGAGGTCTAAATATCATATTTTACTGGTTTTACTGAGGTTGATTGAATCAGAAACGAGGAATTGAGTACAATTGATGATAAATTGTCCATTGAATAGGGAAAGGCTGTGATAACGTTCCTTGATGCTGTTCTTGACAAGACACTTCGTAGCACAGTGGCATTGATTGCTTCTCGTGGACGTGGGAAATCAGCTGCTCTTGGTCTTGCGATTGCAGGGGCCATTGCCACAGGGTTGTCTATGCCACCAGTCTGGCAATAAGCTTTTTCTCTTCTTTATGTGTTCGTAAACTTAACAACCATAACTTTTTTATAGGTATTCCAATATATTTGTGACGGCCCCTAGTCCAGAGAATTTGAAAACATTGTTTGATTTTGTCTGCAAGGGTCTCAATTCTCTGCAGTATAAGGTTCGTGGTTAAAATAAAGATTGTACTCTTTCTAGTATTTTCCTTTCGTTACACGAATATTCCTTATAAAAGGTGTGTGTAACAAAGGAAAACAAACTCGCAGAGTGATATTAGTACTATCGCTAATGTGCCCAGCCTTAATCTAAGCAATACTACTGTTCTACTCGTCCAGAGCAACACTACCTATAATGGTCTCAACTTTGGAATGGAGAGCGTCTATATCCACAGCATTACCCTTCCATATCGTTATGGCCCATGAAGACAAAGGCAGATTGTGTTTTTCCTTATTTCTTGAACTGATAGCTTAGGAACCTTCGTGTCCATTGTCCATGGACACAACTTCTGACCTTATGTCTTTTTCTTTTATCTCTCCTCTCTCCCCTGTCTTCAACGTGCCGCGTCATTTTTACAGTTAACTCTTATGGAGGTCAATATTTCACGAGGCCAAGTTGTAATCCATTAAAAGCGAAGCTTTTACCATTTCATGCTTTTCTGATTATCACTTTTTGGCTGTCGCATCTATCTTCAATGTGTTACATCACCCTTACGATCTACTGAATAGAGACTTTTTTCAGGAGCACTTACATTATGACGTTGTGAAAAGTTCTGATCCTGAACTAAAGAAAGCAACAATTCGGATAAACATCTACAAGCAGCACAGGCAAACAATCCAAGTAAGTAGCATCTTTCACACTGCATCCAAGTAATGATTACTGATGCATATTGTTTTATATGTTTGGTTATTTTTTGTTGAAATCTAAGTTATAGCAGGGTACTCTCCAAAAAATGTTGCATCGTGAAGGTGGAATTGGACCTTCATATAAACCTTTTGCGTTCTGGTTTCTGATTTTCTTCAACATATAGTGTAGGGTTCTATAATGTCTTACGTTCAGTTTTGTGACTACAAGACTGACGAATCATTTTGTGTTACCATTCACAGTATATACAACCACGTGACCATGGGAAGCTTTCTCAAGTTGAACTTCTTGTCATTGATGAAGCAGCGGCCATTCCATTACCAATTGTAAAGTCCATGCTTGGGCCATATCTTGTGTTTCTCTCATCTACTGTCAATGGGTATGATATCTTTTTTTTTGGCCTACCTTTAATTTATTGAATATTGCTTTAGGGAAAGAAGACCATTTCCTCTTTGGAATCTCCACACTGCTTTTGTCCCATTCATCTTCAGACTACCCGTCAATATATTTGAAATCTGTCACCATGTCATAAACATTAGAATACAGACGACATATGGTCCCACATCCTCAGGATGCTTCATTCATCAGGAAGCAGCATCCTTTTTTCATGGCTGTTAACTTAGATATGTCAGTTTCCTAAGTGTCGTGTATTATATATTCATTTTTTTAACTCTTGTAATTTTATCTATGATAGTGCTGGGTTTGCATCTTAACATCATTTTAATATTCTTGTCAAAAGATATGAGGGGACAGGCCGCTCTTTATCATTGAAGCTTCTCACTCAATTGGAGGAGCAAAGTGTGACTGTGGTGAAGAGCATTGACAGTGCTCATTCTGGTAAGCAAAAATTATCAATGGCATAGTATTTTTTACCAATCTAAAGCTTATTAGCATCAATCAAAATAGTTTGAGCACTTAGTTATCAGTCAGAATAGAACTTTAGGTAATTTATCAACAAAGTACTTGTATATCAGTAAAGTCACCCGTTTCCAATGTAGCCTTTTGTTGACTTTGAGTTGCAGGAGTCTTATCTTTGCTTCTGCGATGCTAAAACAATGGGCAAGAGTGTGTTCTAATGAAGAAGGAATTGATTCTTCTATTTTGAGAACCTTGGTTCGTAGTATAGCCTTCATCTATCAGATTTTCCCTGCTTTTATGGAGGAAGTCGTTTATGGCTTCTGACTATGCATGCAGTTGATATATCTGCATGTGTTTTGCACATTTAATGGATTTGTACTATCCATTTTAAATAAAAGTGAATGAGCATTACAACTCTGAGTTAGTCTTCATTTTGCTGATAAAATTACTTGAATATTTACCTCGTGGTCTGCTTTGTCATTGAGTCATCCTGGTTGTCTCGATGTTATATGTGTCCTACCAGGTGAAGTATGGAATTTAGTTGTCTTTTTATTTTTTATATTTTTTGGGACATATCACGGGGAATTTTGCCTGAATTTGCCTGGAAACTTATTACCAGCGGCAAATTTCCTGCCCATCACTCCGTGAACAATCAGGACAACTCAAAGTTAGCATTGTTCCCAGTTGTTGGTTTGTGCAAATCTCGAGGTATAAGAAAATTAAGAATTATCTCTGGACAAAGTGTCTCCCTAAAGCTAGTCTGGCCAAATAAGCGGCCTCATCATTTTTTAATGCAAAGTGCATTGTCTTGGTAGACAATATTTGATTATCACTCTATTTTGAAATTCAAGTCAATCTCATGAAATAAGCAATGCATACATCGTTCGTAGGACTAAATTTTTGTATTTACTTTATGAATCTTGACAACAAGGAATTTGATGACTTGAATTTTTCATTTACTTTCTCACATTGTATCAGGCAGGCTTTTCAAGAAGGTCGAATTAAATGAGTCAATCAGGTATGCCTCTGGCGATCCAATTGAGTCTTGGCTTAATGATCTCCTCTGCTTGGATGTTACGAAATGCGTTCCAGCTATAACCAGGTCAGTGTGATACTATGGGAATTTTGCTTTATACAATAATTATTGGCATTATTCTTAAGGTTTTTCCATCTTCGTAGACTTCCTCATCCAAGCGAATGTGATCTCTACTATGTTAATCGAGACACACTGTTTTCGCATCACAGAGACAGTGAAGTATTTCTGCAGGTAAAGTGATCTCAAAACACACTTCTCATTTTGCACCACTATTATCGTTTTGAACACTTTCCTTTTTTGTGATTGTTACAGCGAATGATGGCCCTTTATGTTGCTTCTCACTACAAAAATTCACCAAATGACTTACAATTAATGTCTGATGCTCCCGCTCATCACCTATTTGTGTTGCTCGGTATGACTTACAATTAATTTGTTATATTCTCTTATGATCTGGTAGATATTTATTTTTTTCTGATTATGCAGAAACTCGATTGGATTTCATGAGACATTTTATATTATTATTTGACTAACGGTCTGGTTTCATATTATTCCCTTGACGTGAGCTATGGTTTATCTTCAGGTCCCGTTGATGAATCAGTAAATCTGCTTCCCGATATTCTTTGTGTCATTCAGGTCTTAACTATCTCTATTTTTATACTTTAGGAATGCCTTTGTGCTTCGACCACCTTGGATTTTCTCTAAACTCACTCTTTTCCAGCACCAAAACATTTCTGATTTCATGTTCTTCACAGGTCTGCCTTGAAGGTCAAATTTCAAGGAATTCTGTCTACAAAAGTAGAAGTGATAATATGTATCCTTCTGGGGATCAACTAGTTTGGACATTTGAGAAACAATTCCAAAACGATGATTTTCCAACCCTATCAGGGGCCCGAATTGTACGCATTGCAGTCCATCCAAGTGCCATGAAGGTAGTAAACTGATAAAATTGTGAGAAATCTTAGTGAATACATTTCTTCTGATATTTTTTGCATTCTTTCGTGATGCCAGCTCGGTTATGGCACAACTGCAGTAGAGCTCCTTACGAGGTTTGTCCATCTGATATTATGTTGTATGACAGAAAGCCCATATACTTCTTCATTATTTATAAGTTTTCGTATCTGAAATTGATTTGGTGTGGGAAATTAGAGTTGTCAACTTTTGATTTCTCTGTGTTTGCTGGTTAATCTGGGAAGAAGTACTGTGGTTCCTCAGCCATAGATTAGCAATTAAGTAGCCTTTTAAGAAAATAAGGATAACAAAAGCAACAAAGCAAAGTAAAATAAATGAAACAAACAAGAAGTTATTAAGTAACTAAATGGTCCTAGTGCTCAAAATATGATCTAAAGGTGGTCAGAAGGAGGATCATGAAGGTCTTCTAAAGTGAATAAATTTTAATTAGCTTTTGAGGCAACATTTGCCAATAGCACCATAGTTCCAGAGGGCTTTAACCCTCACTAGGTATGAGGATCCTGATATTTTTAAAAGAGGATAGTGTATTTGCTGTGAAGTTTTCCCTATTTTATTTTTTCTATTTTTGGCAATTTTTTTACTTTTCTAATTGTGTAGTTATGCATAGCAACAGTAGAGAAGCAGAGCTTCAGTTCTCCCGATTCTCTCTGTTCTTGATATAGTATTAGAGATTTTCTATCCCTAATATTGTATCAACAGTATTAGAGATAGAAAAACATTTAAACGATTGTGCTCTCATCAGTCAACGATTGTGCCCGCCATCACCTACCTCGAAAAACATTTTCTATCTACAGTATCCACCTTTGTGCTCTCATCAGTCAACGATTGTACAGTTGCACTTCCAGGGTTCCCAGATCTCACTACTCTAAGTGGCAATATGGCATTTAAACGGGTATTCTGGAGATCAATCAACTTCACTCTTGTTGATGTCAGCATTTTCGCAGCTGATGATATTATCCATACAGATCAACATTGACAAATAATATGTATCCGATGGCCTTTCACCAATCCGATCACAACCTTGTCATCAATTTTTTATATGATATTGTTCTGCACTCCTGCCGCAGTCCCATTTTCCAACCCTTATCCTTTCTTTGGTATTTGTGTGTCACCCTTTCTTGCCCATTATGTATGTCATCTACTGCGTGTTACTATCTTCATGCCTACGCCAACGTTGACGAGACTAGTGATTCTATTGGTTCTCGTTCATTGCGGCATTCTACCTCATTCTAGGTCCAGCTTATCTCTTGGAAGAGCAAGAAGCATGCTATTGTCTCTCATTCAATCATTGAGGCTTAATATCATGCTGTGGCTCATGCCTTTGTCGAGGCAGTCTAGCTCTGTCGTCTTCCTCAACACCTAGGTGTAGTTTGTTCAGCTCCCACTTTGACTTGTTGTGACAATAGGAGTGCCCTTCAAATCTCTAGCAGTATTCTCTCCCATGAGTGGATCAGGCATATAGATATTGAGTATTATTTTTTCTATCAACAACATTCCCTCTGTTACATCATCTCTTCCCCATAATGTTTTTCCTCTGTAGCTTTCAGGCATGCGTAATGAGTTTCAGACAACTTCACACTTCAGAGTTTGAGTGGGTGCCTCAAGAGAGGATATTCTTACATCATTTTTATAGTCTTTTACATTGTAGTCCAATAAGATAGCGGAGTATTTTATCATCCTCTAGAACTTAGTATGATGAAAATTTTGGGGTTCTTTGCCCTAATTTCTTTGAGCAAGAACGCAGTGAATGGTTACATCTTACCATGGATCCAGCTGAAAGAGCCAGTGTTTGTAGCTGTTCTCAGAGCTCAATCATGAATCATTGTGGAACTGTTTTTTCTGCAGATACTACAAAGGAGAGCTGACATTTTCTGAAACGGATCCTGAAGAAACTAAGGAAATGAAGGAAGCTCGAGTCAAGGTCACTGAGGCTGCAGAGAAGGTAAGGCTCAGTTGAATGGCAAAGACTTAACCCTCCTTCCCCCACACACAAAAATGGAGAGAAGAAAAATGGGAAAGTCTTTATTGGGCTGCTTAATTAATCTCAGTCTGTTAATATCCTCTTGCCAGGTTTCATTGCTTGAGGAAACTGTGAAGCCCAGGGAAGACCTCCCTCCTCTTCTCCTTCATCTTCATGAGCGGCGACCAGAGAGGCTCCACTACCTCAGTGTATCATTTGGACTAACCTGGGAGCTATTTCGCTTCTGGAGAAAACATAAGTTTGCCCCCTTCTACATCAGCCAAGTTCCAGTTACTGCCCTCCCCCAGTGGGTACATTCTTCAGGGAAATGCTTAATCTCTCTACCCCTTTATCTCCTAACTAGGCTTCGTCTATCTTTTCGGTAGAATGCCGAGACAGGTGAGCACACTTGCATGATTGTAAAGCCGCTGAACAACGACGACATAGATGATGGCGATAACAGTGAATATGGCTTTATGCTTCCATTCTACCAAGGTGATCTCCTGATGGAGCCTGCTCATCTCAGCAATGCCCACCACGAAAAAGCATTTCTAGTCTTTAATCATAGCTTGATACTTGCTCTGCCCTCAGATTTCAAGCAGAGATTTACCCGTCTGTTGCGTTATAGCTTTCGCTTGATGGATTACAAGCTTGTGATGGGGTTGGTCTCCCGGCCTCACTCTGTTCCAATTCCATCTTCTTCTAGCTATCTCTTTCTTCCCTTTTTTTTTTTTAACTATGATGCTCTTGTGGCAGCGTCTTAGCCCCAAAGATTTCCTTCAAGGAGGAGGAGGAATCTGTCTCTTCTCTATCAGATGTGGCCATGAGGTCTCTCAGAGGCCTCTTGTCGGCACAGGATATGAAACGGCTGCAAGTTTACAGCTCCAACAACTTTTCAGATCATCATCTGGTATGATACGCTTGCTGTCTTCACATTCATGTTCTTGTAGCTCTTCTTCAACGGCCCTCCATCCCACTTCTGGCAAAAAGATGACCTTTGGTCAACCCCGGTTCATGCTTTTGGGCTTACTTTTAGTAAGCCCTGTTATGCCAAGAAATCACGTTGACCTTCTCTGGGTAGTAAGAAATCACTCCAACTTTATCTGGGCTTTGCCATAATAAGCACGTTGACCTTGTCTGACCTTGTCTGGAAACTTCCAAAGTGCGTGTTTAGGATTGAAATAGATGACCGTTTGCGTACAACCTGGTCAACGAAGATCACGATTTCATGTCCGAAACTTACCGATTGTGTGAGCAGTTGTAACATGGGCGGCGGTTTTATACTGCAGATACTGGATCTTGTTCCGATCCTCACTTATGAGTACTTCTTGGAGAAGCTTCCTGTATCCCTATCCGCCGTCCAGGCCTCCATTCTACTGTGCTTGGGCTTGCAGAACCAGGACATCAATTACGTTCAGGTAATTCTTTTATCAGAGAGGATCTCTTAACGGAGTTCAAGAGTCAACGGTTGTTCTTGAGTTTTTTTTTTAGCTGTCGACCTTTGGAAGTAAGTTCTGAGGTTGACTGAGCAATGCAAAGCTCAAAAGTCAGCTCCAGCAAGAAGAACCCCATATTGCTTATTTTGGAAATAGGGTCCTGGTCGGATGGGTTGACTTTAGACGTGCTGACACCCCCTGCTTGCACAGAGGGAGATGAAGCTGGAAAAGTCTCAGATATTTCATCTGTTCAAGAAGGCGCTCAAGAAGTTCTTCAAGTTCCTTTATGAGGTCGCCAGCAAGGACATGGACGCGAAGCTCCCTCGTCCAAAGGAGGTGATCATCTCTCTCTCTCTCTCCCTCTCTCTCTCTCTCTCTCTCTCCTTCTTCTGACTACATCACCTCGTGCTTTTATTGGCCGAAGATCGTGATGACTCCTCACAGCACATCGGTGAACGAAGATCTCGAAGAAGGAGCCAGGGAAGCGATGGTGGGTGACCCTACGAAGCTCTGCTTCTATTTATGTGAATATACCCAGATCGGCTCTCTGAGAGCCGAGCTTACTGATGGCGTTGCTTTGCTTTCAGAAGAAGCTCAAGGCCAAGGATCATCGACTTGGGGAAGAAGACGATGACGGCGCAGGCGATGGCTTAGAGAGCAATTCTCTGCATATTGGGGCTGCTAAGATTCCGCCAAGTGGCATCATCAGCGTGAGGTCAACCAGACCCAAGGCGGAGAAGAATGGGACGACTGAGGAGGTCAACGCCAGTAGGAAGAAGAAGGGGAAAGGAGACAGCAAGCATAAGGGAGACAAGAAGAGGAAGAGAAATCCCTGATCAGATTGCCCGTTTTTGGAGCCGATAATCGGATGTGGGTTGCTGTAAATTATGGCAGGATTTGGGTAAAATCCCGAAAATTTTCCCAAAATTTTCATTCTTTCCATTTATTTTCTCACTCTAAGATCTTATCTCGTGATCAGGCTACCGTTGTTGGTAAAATTATAGAGAGTCCTCATTGGGTTTTTCCGGGCTCTCTCTCTCTCTCTCTCCTCTCTCCTCTCGCCTCTCGCTGTACCTCCTACCTCACTCTCTCCCTCTTCTATCCTTCTGCCTCTCTATCTCTCTTCATCCAACTCGAAGCCTCAGGACTCTTTCGCGTCCAATCCATGGTCAAATGGGTGGGGATTCCCAGGCCGGAAGTTCATAACTCGGTCCGGGGACGATTTCACAATTCGGAGTCAGTGCGACTCACCAACCCGGCCAGAGGCCAGCGTCGAAACGCTGGATCTGAGGGCGACCATTTTCCATCCGACGAAGAACGCACCTGTCGCCTGGATGTGACCGTCACTGGCTCGGCCTCTCTAACCAGTCAGATTCGAAGAAAGAAAGCCCGCCAAGGAAGCTTCCTCCTCCGATAAGACGCCCTGGTTTTCCCTCCGGCGAATTCCGGCCGGCGTTTCTTCAACTCTTCCTTCCCCAAGCTTCCCCAAGGCATCCGGATCTCTCTCTGATTCATTTCTTCTTTTTTGTTGTTGTTGTTGCTGTTGATTCTCTGCACTGGACTGGATCGGCGGATCGATCGGCATGGCGAATGCAGAGAGACTGATGAATCGGATCGTGGACCTCAAGTTCGCCTCGAAGAGCCTGCAGTGCCAGGCGCGAAGGTGTGAGAAGGAGGAGAAGTCGGAGAAGGTGAAGCTTAAGAAGGCAATGGAGATAGGAAACATGGACGGCGCCCGGATCTGCGCCGAGAATGCCATCCGGAAGCGCAGCGAGCAGATGAGCTACCTCCGGCTCGCCTCCCGCCTCGACGCCGTCGTCGCACGGCTCGACACCCAGGGCAAGATGCAGAGCGTGGGGAAGTCCATGGCCTCCATTGTCAAGGTACTCGACTCCTCCCTGGCCACCGGGAACCTGCAGAAGATCTCGGAGACGATGGACAAGTTCGAGAGGCAGTTCGTCGACATGGAGGTGCAAGCAGGTTTCATGGAGAGCTCCATGGCGGGATCCACCAGCCTCTCCACCCCCGAGGGTGAGGTCACCAATCTGATGCATCAGGTTGCCGACAATTGCGGCCTCGAGGTCGCCATTGGTCTGCCGCAGACGGCCGTCCATGCTGTTCCATCCTTGGTGGAGGAGAAGGCGGAAGTGGACGAGGACGACCTCTCCAGACGCCTTGCCGAGCTTAAGGCCCGGGGCTAAACCAGAGAACCGACTCGCCTTCTTCTGCGTCATATCACCTCTCTCTCTCTCTCTCTCTCTCTCTCTCTCTCTCTCTCTCTCTCTCTCTCCCTCTCTCTCTCCCTCTCTCTCTCCCTCTCTCTCTCCCTCTCTCTCTCCCTCTCTCCCTCTCCCTCTCTCTCTCTCACTCTCTCACTCTCTCCCTATCTCTCTCTATCTCTCTCTCTCACACACTCTCTCTATCTCTCTCACACACACTCTCTCTTCTCTCTCCTCTCTCTTCTCTCTCTTCTCTCTCTTCTCTCTCTCTTCTCTCTCTCTTCTCTCTCTCCCTCTCGCAGATGAGAATCCAGGCCTGGAGAAGGCCCAAGAGAGAACTACCAGTTGGGCATTCAAGGCCCAATAATGGCCCAAGCTGCGACAACCAATCTAGTAAATTAATAATTGGACTTCCGGGCTGTGATTTGTACTTGTGCTCCAGAGTTATCGACCCTGTTACTAGGCTGGGCTTTCACAAAAATTGAAACCAACCAGGCCCATTAGAATTGTTATTGCCCTGGGCAGAGGAAAATTATATGATACCCCTATATAATACAAATAGTTTATGTATACGTTTTAAAACGTATATATACTATTATTTATATTTCGTTTATATCTTTTTATCGATTCGTTAAAAACCGATATTTCTAGAAGGCGGCTGCGCCTTGCGGATTGATTGCTCCGCGGTTTACCAGACCGGAGCCACTGGAAAAGAGAGTGCGCTTGGCCGCCGACTTTGAGTCCCGTTGTACTCTTTGCGTCGATTCCTTTCTCGATTCACAGGAATAGGGGAACAGGAGAGGGTGGAGTGTTGAAGGAACGGCATGGCGTGTATGCACGATCACAGCTGTGAGGACCACGACTGCTCGGCGAATTGGTCTCTGTACAAGCACATCGACTTCTCCAAGGCACATTTCTTCTACCTGTCCTCCCTATGCTGTTCGGAAATTTCATTATTAACTATTGATGCTTTCTTTACCGTGTCCTTAGAAAGTCGAATACGTCTTTTCAATCTGGTCGCATTCGATTTGAGTACTCATTTCTTCTCTGATTCGAGTGTTTGATTGTTTAACTATGTCATTATCTAGGAGCTCTTCTCGTTTACTTCTTATTGTAGCTATTTTGCAACTTCTATAAATTCTATTGTCTTCGTATTTTCTCTGTTTTTCCCAAAAGAATCTGCCATAGCAATCTTGCATGTGAATGATGCTTTCTGGGGAAATTACAGGGTCAATGCTGTGAAAACTAGAACCAGTGTACTATTTATGCCTTGATTCCTGGTGATAGTTTTAAATCAGCTTCTTTCAATTTTTTGTCGTTTCCTAAGGTTACCATTCTCAGCCTTGTTTCCTTGCATGTAGAATTGAGTGCGTGCCATGTTTAAGAGAATTTCTTCGTTGCCATCACCATTCTAATCACATAGTCCAAGTTCCAATAAATGTTAGGACTTGTAAGTTGTATGCTAGACAAATATTTAATCATCTTATATTATATTTATACATTTGCAAAGACCCTAGACTCATGGAATACTAATGCACTAGGACAAAGTTTTGATTCCATTGAACGTGGTTTTTCTGTAGATGGTGTCGAGTAGTTATTTATGTAATACCGTGAATCATAATCAAATGTTGGTTCTATTTTTATCTCTTCTACGCTTGACATCCTGATGCTGCTGTAACAGCACCTCTGGCTTAAAATATTGTATCCTGATTATATTGCCACTTTGTCTTGCAGTTATAGTTTAAGGATGTTATGAAGTCAATGTTGAGACGTATTTTTCTTTAACTTTTAATTGCCAAATTTTTCCTGCAGTTATATTTTACGGATGATATGAAGTCATTGTGGAGATTTATTTTTCTTTAACTTTTAATTGCTAATTTTGTCCTGCGGTTATATTTTACGGTTGTTATGAGGTTAAATTTAAATTTTTATTTCTGTAATTTTGAATGTTTAGCGTTCGTGTTTTTATTTTTTCTAACCACCATCTATGTATTTTATCAGGCTTCAGCCTTAAATGAGTCTGTTTCTGGAAGCGTTAAGTCTGTTTTTAAACCCTGGGAGAGTCGCCTGAACTCTTCAGAGGTACACTTTCCTATGACAATACCTTTTCTTACCCTTAACTATTTAATACATAATCGCTTTAGGGAATTAGTTTTATTTTTCATTAATTTTTCTATAATTAGTTACTGTTACTTTTTTGTTTCGGTTTTTATTCGTTATTATTTGAACATGCACTAAAATTAACAGTTCCCAACTATAAGATCTTGTTTGAATGGCTCTATGAGGCTAACTCTCTTCGCTAATCAAGGAGAGGGAGGAATAGAGATGTTTTTTTTTGGGGGGGGGGGATGGAAGAACTCGAAGCAGCCTGGCTAGAAGGCGTTAGAGAAAATGAGGTGTGTAGGACATGGTACTCACCTGCACCAACTCCAGCCATGGCGTGCTGACCTGTGAACGTAGGTAATTGACCCTATGCTATCGTTGGATGCATGCCTTTCGGGTCTACCGCTGGCTTATTCCAGTTAGCCCAAAGTATTCACTGACAAGCTGGGGCTCAGATGGTACAGCATAAGTTTGTCTTTTAGTTGCTAATTACAATCCATATTTCATGGAAGAGTTCGCGCTTTTATTTATTGAAATTCCTGAAAAGAGTTCATTTTCTTTCAGACAAGCATTTTATATTCAGATAGTGTTTTTGTACAGAAAATCTCTCATGTCATGTTTCTTGCATGATTTCCTTTGTCAGGGTTTTCTGGAAAGCAATGATGGTGATCCCGAGTTACTTGTCTTCATTCCGTAAGTAGACTTGCTATCTTTAACTGCCATGATCTTGCTGTGATATTATCATTCCTATGGTTTCATGAATTTTGCTGACCATATTTATGTGGTGTGTCCAAGATATTTTGATTAAGTAAAGAATTATTTTTATTTGTTCCAATATAGTTTTCATGTTATTTGGAAAATCAATCTGTGAATAGGGCAACTTTTCTTTGTGCTTGTTGAACCAATGGAATACTACTAATGGAAATATTACGGCACTTCGCTCATTATTCAACCGTGTGTAAGAGCCTTGGTTAGATAAATCCTTTGTAAGTCAGCTACAGAAGTTGATTATTTTCCATTGAACCCTTTCTGTCAGCCGGAAATCTCAGTCTAAACAGTGAGTTATGGCTTGATTTTTTCAAAATATTGCTAAAGATGAAAAAAAAACTTCTATATACCGTTTTTTAAATTGTGCATGAAAGGTATGAACACTTCTTGTAACTCCATCGAAAGGTGGTGTTTTGGTGCCTTTTAATGGTTATCGGAATTTAGCCTACTTGTTTATTTGGTCGTATTCTCAGATGCGTTGCACGTGCTGGATTTTTTTATCTGGTTCATGTATGCTTAGAATCTTAGTTTATTTTCGAATCATAAAAGATATAAACATGTTATTGCGTGAACTAAACGAAAGAGCCATTTCGTTATATTTTTATGGACCTACTAATTAAATTTGAAAACAAACGTTTATTTTTAATTTTTCTGCGAACGAGGATCATACGGCTGACAAGACATCTTCAAATTCGTGCATGGATCAAAAAATATTTTTCTACAATCTATGTCGAGTATCAACTAAATTTGCATAAATTTTAAATGTCGAGTATTAACCTTGTTTTTGAAACTATCTCCGGTAAAAAATGCTCCTTGATTTTGTATAATTAACATTATACGAATCCCCTGTTCACTAACTTTAAAGAAAAAAAAATGCAGGACATTTTCGACGACCTCAGTATGAAAGATAAAACTTGAAGCTTGTTTAAAACCCTGCGTGCCATCTGGTTTATGATGTGCTCATATGCAGTGCCCTATTTTATTCATTAAATCATGTTTACGTGGCAGATTTACCTCAGATGTCAAGATAAAGAGTATCTCAGTGGTTGGCGGTACCAATGGGACAAGCCCTTCGAAAATGCGAGCGTATGTTCTATGTTTCTATTTTGGTGTAAATTAACGTTTTTCAATTTTTTTCACGTATTCATTTGTTGCCATTATACCTTCTTTTTTTTTTAGCAGAAGTCTGTGCATTTTAAAACTTTATCACGCAACATTAATTACATGGTTACCAGATGATACTCTCTACAGTTGTGAGTATTTTAATTTAAATGAATTAAATACCAGAGTATTAGCTTAGAGATTCTTTTCTTTGTTGAGAGGGGGGGAGACTTGTGCATGCATTTTGTGAGAACAAAATTTATACCATCTCGAGGAATAGAGACCCTTAATTCCTAGATGAACTAGAGATACCTGCATGCTAAGTCGAACTTGTTGATAAAATTGGCTGTATATTGTTTCGTTATAAAATTGGCTGTGCTGCACAATGAATGGAGTTTCTTTTAGAGGATGAATATGGTAATTCAATTGCAAAGAATGGAGAAAGTAGATTGCTAATAAGCTTTACACGTCTTGGTGTTGCAATCCCTGAAGAACCTAAAGGCAAAAACATTTCATTTGATGAATTTTTTGGGGAAAAAATTGTCGTTTCCTGAACCTTCTCTTGAGTCATTAGATTTTTATTTTAAAGCTTTGGTCGGCTTGATAGTGTCAGAACTTGACTGATATCCAGATAGTTAACGAACCATATAATTTCAATTTTTATTTTCTATATTTTTGGCTACCTGCCTGACTGATTGACCATCTCAAGTACCTTTCCAGGAATTTAGAATAGTAAGCTTTTCAGAGACAGCTGAAAATTGAAACCAATGAGAAATCTGCAGGCTTAGAGAAGAATGGAAGATTAATATTACGGCACTATGACTATTTTCTTTCCAAATGGTGTCCCGAGTAACCGTCCTGAGAAATTTAAAGCCTGATTTCAAGTGTCTACGTGTTGGTTATGTTGTATCACGCACGATGGAAGGAAGGAGACCCACCCTTGAGTGTTTCGCGTTCAACTTCTCGTCTTGAGACTGATTGAACCTCATGCGCCTGAGGCTCCCTCCTTTCAGGCTCACCTCTTGAGGTATGAAAAGCTGCAGCTTTTTAGCACGAAGCTGAACAACCGGACCCTTGGGTAAGTGGACGATTTCAAGTGTCTTCGTGTTGGTCAGTGGAGAAGTATAACAATTTCAGAGCCACATCAAGCTGGAAGTGTCTAGAAAATAGGTAAAGGGCAACATCGCTACGTAGACTGACCGAAATAGTGCGACCCGAATATCCATATTGATGATATAAGAAAAGCAATTACATGAGCTTCTAAACTGCAAGGGGTAATCATTTTTCCCAATAAAAATTAGATAGTGGAATGTAAAAAAGGGGGAGAGATTCTTTCGTTCATAGTGTACCTTTTCACTGGCAATAGAGCACTGACTTGTCTTTCTCACTCTAACACCCATTGGTTAGTACCATCAAGATCTTCACTCTGACGATACAAAAATAGAAACTTTATTATAGATATGACCTACAATACATTTCAGTTATTTTTCTCATCAGTGGATAATTTTTACGTTTGCTTTCTCTTCCTTTTTTTTTACTTAGCGTTTAATTTCTGTGACAACTTTTTAAATTATTTTTGATAATCCTTGAATTTTTTTTCAGATTTATCAATCGAGATGGTATTGATTTTTCGGATGCTCAGACTATGCAACCTGTCCAGGTAACTATTCATTCATTTTAGAATATTTTTGTGATTTTTCAGCAGGATCTGATCTATTATGGCCTTGTTAATTCAAAGGAGTGGGATTTGGCTGAAAATTTGCATGGATTGCTGGAGTACCAAACAAGGTGAGCCTCTCGACAGTTTCATGTCGTATTCCTTGTTTCCTTGAAGTTGTGGCCTATGACAGCACAATAATAAAACATCTATTATCCTTCTTAAGCTCCATTCTTTCATTAAACCCTCGTCAGGCTACTTTCTCCTTTTTTTATTTATTAAATTCGTTTAGAATTTTTGACAAGTGTTTCAGTAAAAGAACAATCTTTGGCGAGCTTGCTTTAAGATGGCCAACATGGTTTAACTTTCGTATTACACTTCAATGCTTCTGCCTCTGGTTGTAGTAATAATACTCGCAGAGGATTGTATGTCAATGTGGGGAAACGTCTATCCTATTTTGATACACTCGTCTTTAGGCTTTGTACCATTATCACTAAATTCTTGTGATTTCTCAATGCCGGTGTTCATTAAATTACCTATAATCACCTAGTTACTACCAATTACTTCATTATTTCCACTATTTTGCCACACTGTAGCCACTGGTGATTACCACATCTGTGAGCTGCCATCAATTATTTTATTTAGATCGTAAAATACAACAATCATGCCCAAGAAAACTTATTCAAAAGTAAATCTCTCACCATCTATTGACCTTTAGAACACCTTTGGAACGCCTTATTGTCCTATTAATCTAATTATGTCCGGTCCACAAGCAGCAGGAATCTTTCTAAGAAAACATATAGTAGATGATATTGTGTAAGAAAAAGAGCCCTTGGTTCTTCTCCGCGATGAACAATGTACTAGTGATTCCGATTTATGATGTGGCTGGCTAGATGTATGTGATTACTGGAGCGCTTCTGTCCCTGCGCTCAGACTCACAGGGTTATGTTCTTCCTGTTGGATCAGATACTCGAGGTTCCAAAGCGTTGGTAGTCTCACCTTGCATTTTCCTGACAACTTCGGCGGAGATACCACCCAGATTTACTACATTGGCCTGCGTGGTGAAGCTACTCAGGTACTTATCGACTCCAAAACCCTCTCATGGCTTGGTTCTTTCTAAATCCGAGGGTTGACTAATTATGTGTGTGGGCCCCTCTTCCTCGTGCAGCTGAAGAGGGATGTTGTAGCCACCATCGTTTATGAAGTCATGCCCAATCCATCTGACCACAAGTGAGTTTTCTCATAATAACCCCCTAAAATTATTTTAAAAATAATCCCTTTGATGATAATGGCATTAAGCGCAAACCCTAAAACTCATGAAAGATTAGGAGCTTATCCTGCAACATATCGACTCCATTCTGGTTACTTAGCCGTTGATTTCATGGACTTATCTAATCTATGCAGGACCCGTGCGGAGACCGGGGGCATGTCTCATGTGGAGTGAAGATTTGGACAGAGGTGAGATATCTTCCCCCTCCTTTCCCTTGCTATATATATAACCATCTCATGCAGCATGTCTTTGGCTCATTATTCCCATCTTACCTTCCACGAGCTGTTGAATTGATGGCATTACCCTCTTCCTGTGTTCATCTGCCATCTCTGAATCCACCCAGCTCCCTTCTGCACGCTTTGGCTATAACCAGCTGAATCCGAATCCCTTCCTCTGTGTGGACGTCCACCTCCCCTCTTCCTAACCCACCACCTTGCAGCCTCTTCCTCACACCCCTGATCTCCACTAGCTTAGCTGCCATTAATCCCCTCTGATTCACAAGCACACCCCCATGTGCAGGCTCTCGCTGGAGTTGGACTGCTATGGTTTCACGAGCTTCCTCTCACTTCCCGCAAGCAAACTGTGTAAAAGGCTCGAATGACTCGTAGACTCTTCTCACTCCTTTGTAAAAGGCTTCACCCACCCACCCATCCTCATGAAACCAAGGAAAGATGATGTCAACATCAAGATGGTTATCACCATTCATGGATCTCAGCAAACCCTATAAACCCTGTAAACCCTATAAACCATGTGCAGGCCCAAAGCAAAAAAGTCAAACCCTATAAACCCTGGATCGGCCATCAGAGAAAGGGTCAAATATTAGGAACCTGCTGACACAAGAAGCGGATTAATTTAGACTAGAGTGAGGAAATAATGGCCAAATCATTCGGTTTACCCATCAGAGAATGACTTCAAAACCATATTTATTAGTCACTCAAGAGTAAGTGTTCATCAACAAGTCGTCAGAAACCTCTAGATCACCCAAAGCAACTTGTATCAGAACCAGGATTCGTGTGTGGCCCATGGGGTTCTCCTCATTCATTCATACACGGTCTGCCCCCGCTTGTTCTTCTTGTGCACCTGAACACATTTGGCAAAGTCAAAAGCCCAGCCTTTAAAATGACTTATTTAAGAAAATCAACGACGACTCTTCTGAATACTCCCCAACTAGTTGTCCGTTAACTTTTTGACCCGCAGATGTGATGGTTCATGTGCCCACCGTTTTGACCATTGCTAATTTGAAAAGTCAAACTAAGTGGCAGTGCAACTCACCACTTTAAATCTAGCCTCAAGATTGGACAGGCTGACGGGGCATCCGCCATCCTCATCGTACTCCGCAAAGTCCCCTTGGGATAAATCGATCTCGTATGCAGTGCCGGACGTCTACAGGGGGAACACGAAAACCAGGCTCTTGAAAAATATGCATTAACTGAGAGATCATCAGAGAAACTGAAAGAAGAAGAGGTTTAGAATGTACTAATACAGAGGGAAACTCACGCAGTGCGATCACCAGAGAAAATGAAAGCAAAGGCACAGTCTTTCCGAAGGGGTGAATTCCAAGTGGTGATAACGCACAGAGAAGCCCCCATTACAAGCAGAAGGCCGACTGTCCACCCCATCTCGCCTGAGCTCCCAACAACCCAGCTTCCATCTAGTGGGCAACAACTAAGAACTACTCGTAGGATCGTCTTACCAAGGTGGGTCAGGGGATGGATAGGCGACTGGTGTGTATTGGATGTATAGAAGTCAAAACCAGAGTGAGTCAACTGTACTGACTAAAGGGGAGCCAAATAGTCAACGACTTCCATAAGGTTTGGGTATCCTATATTTTCCCATTTCTTGAGATGTTTCATACTATAATAACTGCTGCAAAGTCAACCGTCGGATGTGAAGGTGGGAAACACTTACGGACTTTGCTTTCCATCCATCTGCAAAGACAAACTCGATGGGTTCGAAGCCCCTGCACTCAAACACCATCAAAGGAACAAGAGCCTGCGCCTCACTCAATTCAAGCGTCAACGGTTTGCCGTGCCCTGGAATCATGAGAACCGATCCCTCCCTTCCACAAAACTTGCACTGAAGAAGACAACACGATTTCATACTTCTTTCAAGAACACTTATGAGCTTAAAATAAATTATGCAATTAACTGACAAGTTAATCTTCAAGCAAACCACACCGAATTCATGGTACATCAAAGAAATCATCTACGTGTGCAAAACTTGCCAATCCGATTATTTGCTCACCATTTTTGAATGAAAAATCAGCATAGAATTGGAAGCAGGAAATATATTATTTCAAGATTCAATCCAAGAGATAAGGAAGAGAAATCTTGCACGCACATTCTGAGCAATCTTCAGTGAAGAAATAACGGCATATTCCCACTCAAAGACAATTGATACTTGACACAAAATAACCCACCTCCAAGAAATTTAAAGGCCAAATTAATTTTGCATCTCAGATCATCGATACTTAAGATGGTAAAAATGGGTGCATGCAAGTTTTTCCACCAAGCACTGAAAGTGTCAAGAAGGTCAGTGCGAAGCCAGTTCAGGAACTCTGTGCATCCGGTTATCATTCAACCAGCATCGAAATGTTCACGGTCCAAAGGATTAGTGAGAAGAATGAAGCTTCCAGACACTTGAGGGAGACACCAAGGTTGTGTTATGGCATTCAGCCCTAAAAAGGTCATGGACAGTACCATACCATGTTGTTCTCTGTTGATTAAGGCCTCAAGATCACAAGTGCAGAAATTTGCTTTTTCAAATATCACCGGATCTTATAAACTTTCTATATATGTTTAACACTGGCTTTTTATAATTTTTCAACCTAAAGTTAGCTACTCTTCCCGTGTTCTTCCTTGTTCATGTGCAGATGATTAGCCTACCTGGTTTGAGCTCAGTCCTTGCTGTGTTATGCTGGTGCTTAAGGGCAGCCTAGGACAGGATGCGACTGCACTAGGGAGAGAGTATGAGGCATACCATCACGTAACTATTACAATTTCTAGGTCAGAAACAAATGAACCATAGTCCCTTTATCCACTGAAATGTTCACCATCTGAAAAGGTGGGGTCACTTCATTGGAGTCACAATCTTGACTTCGGCCATGGTGTGTTTCTTCATGTTCCTTCCTCTCCCTTGTGGGACTGCATCTGTGAAAACCCAGTTCATTGTGATTCTTAAACTCCGACTGAAAATGGACGTGAACTTGGAGAAGGAGCTTGTGGAAAGGAGGTTTCATGGCGTCCGTTTCACATGGCTGACCTATACACGACGTGGAACTCATTTCTTCAGGTGGGAAATTGTCACCATGCCAAGAGTCCCCAGGAGCAAGATCTCGGTTCCTACGCCATGCTATTTGTGTCTCATGGTGATGATCAAGTGCCATCCAAGGGGTTAAAATCAAGGAATGATAGAAGAACCAAATACTGAACCTGAATTTAGTAATCACTTCAGGAAGAAGAACACAAGGATGTAAACGTATTCTCCATTGAGAAAATGGAAAGAACACGGAAATTCAGAAAAAATCAGACCACAGGTCAGTCACTGCCGAAGAAAACTGGGAAAAAAGGAAGAAGATCATGAGTAGAGGCGAATTTATTTCAAGAAAAATCTTACGAATGATTGATTTAGCTATCGATAAGAAGAAGAAAAAACCAGGAACACTGCAAGCATAGGTCAATTCAAAGACGTGTCCGGGAGGAATAGAGCACCTTCTGTACAAGATGGGCGGTCCCCCTGCTGTTGGGCATGGTGACCGTCTCAGATAGCGTCACGCAGGTCTCTCTCTGGGTAACCTCCCCACAGCTCTCACACTTCAGCTGAATCAGAACCAATAATTCATAAAAACCGTGAGGAAGTTGAGCACAACACCAATCCCCCAAACCTTGAGATCTCATCATTCATCGACGAGGAGACCTTCAGGAAGTATCCGTAGCCTGGGTCGTCGCAACCTTCCCGGGGCTGGAGGTCAGTGAGGTTCTCCAGATCCGCCTTGTACGATAGCAGGAAGATCGGCATTCTCCGGGCCAGAAACTCTGCCTAGGGTTTCTATCCCCCGAGGATTTGCGCTCTGCCCTCCCTCCGGCCGCCTACGCACACCGAGATGACCTCCCGCCTTTCCACCTCCGGAAGAATAACGGATACGTCCGTTCCGTCATGGGGAGATTTTTCATATTATAAATTTTATTTTTACGCCTAAATTATATCATAAATTATTTAATCAAAATTTCCGACTTAGTAATTAAATTTTATTTATTATTTCAAAATTTTGAAACCTGTTTATTTTAGAAAATATGTGAAATTGGAGGCATCCATTGCCATGAGATGTTTTGGGCCCTTATTGGACCGGTATGCAATCCTATATCTTTGTGGGCCCACCGTTTAAAGAACCAGTGAGGAGGCGGAAGCACTTGGCGCCGTGTCAAGTAGCCGCGTCGCTTTCAACACACGGCAGGAAGAAGGGAAGGGAAGGGGAGGGAAGGGAGGAGGGGAATGGGAGCACCGAAGCAGAGATGGACGCCGGAGGAGGAGGAAGCGCTACGGTCTGGGGTGCTCAAGCACGGCGCTGGCAAATGGAGATTGATTCTGAAGGATCCCCAGTTCGGCCGCCGCCTCTTCTCCCGCTCCAACGTCGATCTGAAGGTCTCATTGCCGCCACTGTTATCGGATGTTTCTTGTAAAAGTTTCCTTCGGACTCTCGTCGACGGTGGGGTTGGTTTGTCATCGCTTTCATATTCTCTGTCTGATAACTGCCCTTATGATGCATCTTTCTCAGACTTCTTCTTATGATTATCGTTGGAGTTCAATTGCTGCCCCACGAAATTGGTTTTGGTGGATAGGTCTGCGTTTGGGGCGTCTATGGATGCCCGTATCAGGGAATGTGTGATTCCCCATTTTTATAAAAGAGTCATGATACAGACAAATCTTGTGGTATTAATGTCTAGTTATGATGGAGGTGTCACCTTGATAGTTTCTAGAAGTCGTCACTAGTGATTAATGGACAGGCAAGAGACATGAGCAAGTCTTACATAGTCCATTTCCCAGAGCATGGTTCCGATGCGTACCGCCCACATATTTCCATCGTACATAGTTCATTCTGGCTCTTTTCTTGTGACTTCAATTTTCCTGGTTTCACCGATTTTCTAAAGCCTTCGTTATCCCATCGCATAATTCTTTAATCTTGCTTTATGCCATATCTAGTTTCCTTTATGATATTGGTGACCTGACCTAGCATATTTGTATTTCTAATAGAAAAATAATTGGTTTAACGTACCTCATTTCTCAATACAGGATTTGCTGAATCCTGATGCGGTTTAGAAGTGTTCTGACGAGCTTCTATTGCATTCAGGACAAATGGAGAAATATGTGTGGTAGCTACGGCTCGCAGGAGAAAGGAAAGTTGCCAAGAATAAACGATACACCAGCTACCTCCGTGACTCGTGCGTGCAGTCATTCCTCTGCCCCTTCTGAACAAGATGATCAAACACCTGTCACAGGTTACTCAGATAATGTTCAAGATGCTAAAACTTCTACAGAGTACGTCTAGTTGTCATTCTTCATTCCACCGTCAGATTTCATTCAGAACCTCAAGTGCTGCTCAAAATTACTCCTAGAGTTTGGTGTCGGTGTATGTTGTTTACTACATACGTGCACATATTTTTCATTGTAAAAAGTAACTATTGACTCGAGCTATAGAAACTTCATATACTATATTAAGTATTGAACTGCATTCGTATTGAACTGTGACTCACGTAAGGAGCATAAACAAATGACGTACATGAATCCCAAGCTTCCCAATCATTGTACAATTTTTCAACATTTAAAAAAAATTATAAGCTTTCTCCCTTGACGTAGTCGTGGAGGCTGTCTTTTCTATAGTCACTTTTTCTATGGATGAATGGCATGCTCTAAACACGGGGAACATTTAGAGAGGAAAGTTCAAATCATTGTTCATGATTTATTCCATCAAACAATTTATATAATTTTTATCTCAGGGCATCTTAACATTTCAAAATTAACATATACAACATTTTTTTCTTGCTTCTTTTTTTCAATGCCCAGACTTTTCATAATTGTTCCACTTCTTTGACTGAAATCTCCCCTGACGATAACAGTAGTGCATCTACACATTCATGCAAACAACAAAAAAAAGAACAAGTAGGTGGCACAATTCTTTCAGTGAGTCACTCAGATGGCTTATGTCGAAATTAGATACTCTTTGTATTAGATGGACGTAAAAGTGTTATCTCAAAACAGCGATAAGTAGCAAACATTGTGAAGAGTCCTCGGTTTCTTGGCTAGGGAATATTATGACAATCTGCACCTATATACACGTGCGTGGTTTACAAACAGAAATATCCAAAAACAATGAACAAAGGATGCGAAAAGAAAGAATAAAACAGGAGGATCCAGACAGAGCAACAGCAGATACTCTGATCCATAAACCTAGCGTAAATAACCGCTCCACTTGTCCACGATGTTTTTTCGCATGCATCGGCTCCTAGGTGGAGTTACTTTCCCCATTGTTCTGCATGATCATGTTCAACATTCTTGAAACAATTGTTATCTTCCATATATTTCCGTAAAGAGTAACTCCAGCTCTTTTGGCATGTGAGTCTAGCGAATATAAAATCAGTTCAGCAAGGTGGATATAATTTCAGAACACGACTTGATCAAAATAAGAAAGAAGAATACTAAGATAGTTTTTCATTTTTCAAAGGAGCACTAGCTGGCTGGTGCAGCCTTTTTCTGCCCATTTCGAGTGAACATCCAATCAATCTAGTGTGTGCTTATCATCAAACTGTCTTTTCATGATTTCCACCCCTGGCAGCACTTGTGATTTTTTTTATTGGAAAATTAAAGAATTATGCTCTTTACTGATCCTTGTCATCGGTTACAACTTTTCTCTGGACATTAATTATTATCACATATTACTTATTCTCTCTCCATTGCTGCTCAGGCCGCTCACCTCTGTGTGGGTATGTTTTTGGTGCTGTCTGTTCTGTTTTTCCGGAATAAGAATATAAGAATGTATGAAGAAAGTATAAACTCGTGGAACTAATGAAACCTTGCCCATGTTGTAACTGAAATGTTATTCCGAGGTATCTTGTCTGTTTATTCTTGTAAACCATCTTATGTTTACTAGGTTTACGACTATGATAACTGAAGCTCTATCTAACCTGAGAGAGCCACATGGATCAGAGATCAGTGCAATCTGTGGGTTCATTGAGGTAAATTTCCACTTTCTGATTTTACATATAAATATAAATCTATGAAGTAGCAATGTTTTCCCACATATTCATTCAGTCATACTAAGACTCTTCAGGCCAGGTATAAGTCCTCACTCCACTTGTCGTTTGAGAAAAGATTTATGAGTAATTCATAAGTCAAACTTGAGAAAGATCAGTGAACAAAACCTGTTAGAACGTACTGATTTAATCATAGAAATCAGTGATGAAAATATTAGTCGGGTTATACAGAAGGTTATAGATGATTTGGAGCTTTAATTACCACGATATCCTCTCACTAATGCTATGAATTTGAGATCATTTTTCTCGTCCGCTCACTTGCCAAAACTGTAACCTGTCCTTGAACCTTTCTTCACTTTTCAAAAGATGAGCCTCGGCTGATTTTGGAGAAAATCTCTCTCAGATAGTAGACCTTGGATTCTTTGACAACAAGGCAAACTGTTTTCAGTGGTTGCAGTAGGCAACAAAAATGTCTCCAAACATTGGATAATATTTCTTATGTTCATCATAAAGATCCTAGGATTGATTACTTGTCAAAGCACAAGCAAGCAACGCACGTCCAGCATTTATAGACTAAATAAAATGATAATTCCATGTCCTTGGCATCGAAAACTATCTACGACAACACCAGCCACTCTTATAATAATGTGCTTATATGGCTTACACGCAGATATTGGAGAAACCTTTCATGACTTCTATACATTCTCCCTGATGCAGCAACGCCACAATGTGCCTCCAAACTTTAGGAGGATTCTTGGCTCAAAACTGAAGCTACTTGCTGTGCAGGAAAAAGTCGAAAAGGTGAGTTCAATTTTCAGGGTTTCACGTCAAAGCTCGTCTCCTTTTATCGTCCCTCTCGCATACACAGCTGAAAGTTCATTCGAGTCAACCTCCCTGGCCCCCCCCCCACCCCCCCTCTTCGACTGTGAAAACATGCAATACCGTGCCTCACAGGTAAAAAGAGGTTACAAGCTGAAGCAAGCCTCGACCCCCTTTGAGACGAAGACTCCCATCACAGAACAGAGGGATCCAGCGAACTGCCCGATGTTCCCAGGATCCCCAGTACGCAATGGTGCGGACATCCTGCCAGTGGGACCCACCATGACTGCTGTCACACACATAATCGCAGAGGCAGAGGCCAAGTCGTTTCTGGCATCAGAGGCAGTCGAGGAGGTGGAACGGATCCTGAGGCTGGCAGAAGAATCCGATTCCCTGCTGACGCTGGCAAGCGAGATCTTGGAGCAGTGTGAAGCCCAGAACCCCCGATCCCCTCAGAAAGTATTTCAGCTCTTTCCCCGTTTGTTCAAATGTCCCTTAACTTGGACTCCACCACCGCAGGTTCACAAGGAGAAATCATGATCATCATTCAACCCCTGCTGCTTTCGGGAGAGACACCAACAGAGATCGACTGATGATTCTTCAGAGACTGCCAACAGGTTTTCCCTCCCTTCCTTATACTGAGATTGCGCCTAATCTTATCAGAAATTGCAGCAACCCACCCCCCAAAGTTGGCACGTCCTAACACCAAACTACTGAAGAAGAACATAGATTACTTCCCCAACACAAAAATGGCAGAATTCTTCCCCAATATGGTTTCTCTCTCCTCCCCGTAGAGAGACACATGTCTAGCCCATAATGTCGGACTATAGAGGTCAGTCTCACTTGCATCGGACCGTTTCAAGTCACCAGAGCTCTCTCACAGCCACCCCCATGCATGGATAACTTGATAGCACCGAGCACAGTGTCTAAAAGGAGGTTAAGGGGGCGGGGGGTTGGCAGTTGAAGCCATGAAGGAACATGTGAGCAGCGAACCAAAAAGGGAAAAGAATACCCAGAACTACCCACCCACCAGCGTCGATAGCTGAGAATATGAAATAAATAGGCAGATGAACCAGTCTTACTCCCCAAGCTATCTCCTTTTGATCTCAGCCACCCCTTCCAGAGAGAACCCAAGCAAGCACCTTGGAGAGCTTACCAGAGAACCCACAGCAGGAGCTCCAAGGTCTGCCATTAGGAGAAAATCTTCAAGCCCCACACATGGGTTGGCCCTGGTCATGGGCACTGTTTATCACTGTTCTAGTGACCCTCGTTATATTCCTCGGAGGCCCTTTCTTCTTTTTTTTTTCGAAATCAGAAAAAAAACAAAAAAAATGCAGCTTTACAGGGAGGAGGAAATAATCTACAAGGCAAAGTTTCCAACAGAAACCAAGTACAGAGGGTTATTATGCAAGCAAACCACCACCGAGGGGTCTCCTTGATCTGAGGAAACAAACCAATGAGAGAGAAGAAGGAAGAGGACGCGATTGATGTACCAACCCAGAGCAGAGGAGAGGGATCACCGCCAGCCGTAGACCACCTGGGAGCAACGGTCTTTAAGCCACCGGAAACTCTTCCGCAAGGAGCCCTTCATCTTCCCCTCAACGGCGTAGACCTTGTAGCTGGCGACCCTCTTCTTCCTTTGCAGCTCCGGGTCGCTGAAGCTCCACCCGCCGCTCTTGGAGGCCCCGCCACCCTTCCCTTTCTTCAGCTTCATCTCCTTCACCGCCGGCTCCCCGCCGTAGCCCCTTTGCTCATGCACTCCGCCGCCGCCGCCGCCGCCGCCCGCCGGCCCCCTCCCCCCGTAGACCTCCATCTGCATCCTCCCACCCCCGCTCGACCTGGATCTGAAATCCTCCATCCAATGCTCCCAAACCCCAAACCCCTCTCTCTCTCTCTCTCTCTCTCTCTCTCTCTCTCTTAGTGAAGCCCGCGAGGGCGGAGAGAGATGGGGGGGGGGCGGAGAGTGAGAAAAGAGGGCGTTGGGAAGAGAGGGGGGGTTAGTGGACAGGTGGGGAAGAGCCCAAGATGGCGGTAGCCGTGTTATGGTTGGGGATTAGCCTTGAAACGGCGCGGAGAGCCACAAATTTCGAAAAGGGTAGGTCAAAAGGGTCCACAGATTTTTGTTTGATAAAGTTCGCAACTTTTCTCCGTCTAAGCTCGAAGAGCGCGTCCCTCCGAAAGTGGTGGGCCCGCCCACTCTTCTGCTTCCCTCTTTTTCTGCAGCTAAACCCTGCCATGAAAATCCGTCCACTCCCCTCCATAAGTCTCCTCGTTCCGGAGTTTTCACCGGAGGCACTGAAACCGAGGATGGTTAGATAATGGGCCTATAGAATTCGGCCCAAATAGCCCACTTACTAATGGGTTACCATTGGTAGATGGAAACCTATTTTCTTTTTTATAAAAGACCATTGTGTCCTCACCCCTCACAGATTGAAATTATCTCATCTTTCTTTGTTTTGGACGATTTTTAACTCTTTTTTAAAAGGCTTATGAAGTCTGAAAGATGGATGATTGACCCGCCCACACGAGGTTGACCTAGTATCATCATCAATCTTATGTAGCACTGATGCGGATGATAAATAGATATATGCTTCAATTTACTAGGCACAAATCATGAAAAAGAAACTAGGTTATGAATCCATAGAACAATAAATAATATTAAAAATAATAATTATTAAATCCACAAAGGAACGTCTGAAAATACACAAGGAAATAAATAATTTTAATAGACAAATATTTTTTTTATAAAAATTAGCATATCTAGTCCCACATACTGAGTCTTATCATAGTTGTTGATTGAGTTTGAATACATCTAAATATCAAGAAATATCACAAGATTTTACAAGAGAGAAAAACTTATAATACTTAAATTGGCTATTCAATTTAAAATGAAGGGCTTAAAAAGTAGGTGGGACATTCTCAAAAAGTAAAGCAAATCTAGAACAAATTATGTGTAAGAACATTGGATCAGAGATAGGGAAAAGATATTAAATAGGAATATCCAATCTATGTTTTCAATAAGAATAAATCAAAAAAGAGAAAAGGGGAAGAGAAGTGGCAGTTCAACCTTAGAACAGAGCTTCAAGGTACCCCAACCTTCTTAATCATTGATATTTCCTTTTTCACCCCTATTCATTTTCCTTGTGACCTAGGCCATTGCTTCCCATATTAGGGAGCCCTTTGGTCTTCCTTCAAGGATACGTCGGCCTCAATGGAACATAACTAAACTAGATTCTGAATCAACATACATAGAAAGTGACTTTTCTTATATTCTTAGGATATAATTAGGTTTTGGACCGTTTTTTAATATTTGCCTTCTTACATCCTACTTCCAAAGTTATTAGGCACCTAGTTTTTATTCCTCTATATCTTATCTTTTTTTGGTGTACGTCAAGGTCTCACTTACCACAACGCCCAGAGTGCAAAAAAGCTTTGGCAAATGTGGGTTGAGAATTAAATTTTTAATTTTTTTAATTTTTTTAAAAGAGTCTCTCTCTCTCTCTCTCTCTCTCTCTCTCTCTCTCTCTCTCTCTCTCTCTCTCTCTCTCTCTCTCTCTCTCTCTCTCTCGCTCTCTCTCTCTCTCTCTCTCTCACTCACTCACTCACTTTCTATTTATCTATGTCTAGAGGATACAATACAGAGAGCCAGCCTATCATGAAAATGAGCCAACATTGAGTTGTTTTTCAACAAAATTTTAAATCTTCGATGGTCCTCGACATCTCAATTGAAGATGATTGTATTTACAAAGTCAAATTATTTTCAATAATTTAGAAATAATTTTCATGATTTCTTAAATTTTGAATTATTGGCTAGGAAGGGAGGTGACCATAAATGTTGAAGAGCCTATTCCCCCCCGTATCTGCTTTTAGTAAAAAAAAAAAAAACTCTAAAAAAAAACGACCATTTGTCCAGATGTGCTCCAGAAAAGAAGGAGATTATCCGATGATGAAAATGAAAAGTGTAAAATCAAAATCGTAAAATCAAAATCTGACCCAAAATCACAAAATATGAGACTCCATAAGAAAAGTGTAAAATAAAAATGAAAACAAACGTTTCGGAATCATTGCTATCCCGGAATCGTGTAGCCGGGTTAAAGCGATTGGGAATGAAGAGTCAACGGTAGCTGTTCCTGTCCCAAATAAGAACCGGGCTATTCGCGGGGGATGGGGAACGAACCATAACAGCTACTTCGGGCCGGTCAAAGGGATACGTAACCCCGCCGGATTGGCCGGGAACGACCGCAACCGGCCCCACCTCTCCTCCTCCTCCTCCTCCTCTACCCACTAGCCTCCTAATGGCCGTCCCCTCTCTCTCTCCACGGTGCAACAAAACGTAGCAGAAGGAGGGAAGAGAGAGAGAGAGAAGAGAGAAGGGCCCGCCCTCCTCGCGGGCGCCATGGGGAGAAGCATTCCTTCTGTGGAACCCGCCAGAGGGCTCTCCCACCACCACCGCCACCTTCTGTGGCTCGCTCTTCTCGCGGCCTCCCTCGCCGCCACCGTCGCCGTCGTGGGCCTTCTCTGCGGCTCGCGCCACCACAGATCGTCGCCTTCGTCGCCGCCGAGAGGGCGGCGGAAGCCGCAGGCGCAGGCGGCGTCGCCATCACAGCAAAGCCGAGAGCCCATCGTCGGCGACGGCGACGGACCGCCGCCGACGAAGCCGGGATCGCGGAGGGGGCTCTCGCTCTCGATGAACCTCAGCATGAAGCTCCCTGAGGGGCTGTCGAAGATCCGTACTAGCAGAAGAGAGCATCAGAAGGTGGCGGAAGAGGAGGAGGAGGCTTCGATATGGACGAAGGCGATAATCTTGGGGGACAAGTGCAAGGTGCCCGAGGAGGACGACGAGTCCTTCGTGATCTGCGACGAGAAGGGCAACCGGCAGAAGAGCTACCGGCCGAGGACGCCCAGGTCCCTGCCGGTCTCTCGGGCCAACTCATTCTCCGATCGGGACGCCGGCGCCGGCGCCGCCGTGCCTGCGGTGACAGGCCTCTCCTCGTTCTGAAAGGCTCTGCCGCCAACCATTCGCGGCGGCTTGGGGGGTGTCGCTTAATCACTTCCTCTCTCATGAATGAGAACCCCCCCTCCGGCCCATGCAAGGTCCCTGCGAAGCTATAATCTCTCTTCCTCTCTCATGAAAGAAAAGCCGACTCCTTTGGCATAGCTCTTGTAGGTAAAGAATTTCCATAATCTGTCCACTTCAGCATCATCATCTCTCTCTCTCTCTCCCCGTAATAAATATGGATACATATATGTAAGCATGAACCAGAGATCAATGAAGGAGAACAGGCAGACGACCATCATAACAGGTTCTCTTTGTTTTTGAAATTACTGTCTCTGGAGGGGAGAGAGAGAGAGAGAGAAAATTAATAGATGAGTAATCGGAGGCTAAATTACAACGACATATTGGGTAGGACAGCACCTCATCTACAGGGATCTCCGTCTTCTAACACCCCGCAAACCACTGAGTCAGCGAAAAAAGAATTATATGTGTAATCCAACCAGAAATCTCTAGTACCTCACCCTCTCGTCCCCATTGAAATTGAGGGACTCCATGCCCTTGAGAGTGGTCTCATACGCCTTGGCGCCGCCCGGCTGCCCGCCGACGGCACGGCGGGGCTCCGCTGTCGCAGCCGCCGCCACCGCCGCCGCCGCCGCCGCCGTCGTCGTCGTCGTCCCCGCCTGAGAGCTCCCCTGCACACCAAAGACTCTAAGGGAAGCTCCAGCGCCGCTGCCGCTGGCGCCAGAGGTACCAGCGACGACACGCGAGAAGTCACTACCGCCTGCCGCCACGTTCTTCTCGGGGAGCCGCCTGGCGTGCGCGCTTGGCCGCACCATGGAGGATGAACCAGGAAGCTACACGCCCCGCCGGGGGGAGGAAATGGAGATCAGAGAAGCGGAGAGGCGAGGAATTTTAGACCGAGAAAATGAGGATACGGCCAGAGCTCTAACCCCGTCCTCCTTTTGATCGCTCGCCGTGAAGATGTGCCCTGTCGTAGTCGCGCCTCCGAAAGCAGGGACTGAGACCCGGCGATTGGGGAACTGAGCGGCGTCCGTTCCGGGCCTGTCGACCCTCCTCCTCCAATCTTCTCCGCCTGTCAGGCCTACAATCACCGCCACCACCACCATTATCATCATCATCAGAAGAAGAAGAAGAAGAACCTTTTGGAAGGGGATAGATGTTCGTCGTGAAGAACCCGTGATGTTTCCTTAGGAGATTATAAAGAGGAGGATCGTGCCCATCTCTGAGATCAATGGGTGTTTTTTCTAACTGTAATCGGTACCTGATGGTCGATTGGTGGTGGTGACGGGAGGCACCATGGCAGAGCTCTGTCCAGGGACAGAGTCCTAGAAAAAGAAAAAAGGATATATTATCTAGTAGAAAGTCAACGGATGAGAGAGAGAGAGGGGATCTGTACTGATAGATGCACTCACAGCGAGGCCATGCTGGGATGCGCCGGTGCCATGAGATTTCTGATACTTCAATATCGTCCAGTCAAACACATAATCAAACTGAAAACCTGCATTGGGCATTCAGCATCAGCGATGATTCGGGCACCAAGACGGAGGCAGTAGCTATTCACTAAATCATACCTTCTCGGATGAAAAGGTCACGAAATAATCTTTTCAGGTACGGGTAGTCTGGTTTGTCCTCAAAGCGTAAGTTGCGACAGTAATGAAAATACGTTGTGAATTCCATAGGATATCCACGGCATAAAGCCTGCAAAGAAAATACCCATGAGAGAGCTTCATACACTTTCCCCAGAGGTAGGGAGAGAGAGTGATAGAGAGAGAGAGGAGGGAGAGGAGAGACACAAACGGAAAGAGCGAGAGAGAGAGAGGGAGGGAGAGGGAGAGGGAGAGGGAGAGGGAGAGGGAGAGGGGGAGAGGGAGAGGAGGGATAGGAGGGAGAGGAGAGAGACAAACGGAAAGAGAGAGAAAGAGAGAGGGAGGGAGAGGGAGAGGGAGAGGGGGAGGGAGAGGGGGAGAGAGGGAGAGAACGAGAGAGAGAGAGAGAGAGGGAGAGAGAGAGAGAGAGAGAGAGAGAGAGAGAGGGGGGAGCGGAGAGAGACAAACGGAGAGGGAGAGGGAGAGGGAGAGGGAGAGGGAGAGGGAGAAGGAGAGAGGGAGAGAGGGAGAGAGAGAGAGAGAGAGAGAGAGGTTTATTATTACCTCAACGGAGGTAGAGACCTTCTTTTCACAGATTCTCTCATACTTCTGCTTCTTATTTCCTGCTTTAAGTCCCTGCCAAGGCAGGCTTGAGAAAACAAAGGGAAAGGTAAGACCAGATAATACGAAGCGCTTAGAGAGATAATATGAAGCGAGATTGATTAGGGGAAGGACCAAACCTTCCTCTTAAGAAATACATGAGAACGAATCCAAGGGACTCCAGATCATCTCTCCTGCTTTGTTCTTGGAAATCCAAATAAGGGCGGTCAGCAGGATGAAAATGGAAGGCCTTAGAGTAAACATTACATTATATATACGACTTTAAAATGCCTAGTAACATCTATGTTTCGCATGGAATTAACCCGAAAATAGTTTTGAGGTCAAGGTTGACCTACCGATTCCGAGATGAGTGTTCATGCTGGCATATCTTGCTGTCCCAGTCAAACTCTTGTTCTCTCTGTAATAGTTAAGGCCATGTTGTAAGTCCACAGATGAAAGAGCATAAATGACTAAACATCGGCGATGACCATAGAAATGGAAGATCGACGAACAATTAGAGAAATATGTTGCAATTAAAACCAAGTTACGCCTCAAGAAGATCAGTGGAACCTGTAAATTTAATTTCTCCGAGTGATTATTGTACATTTTTTCACTTCACTGGAAGGCAGTAAGAGTCTTTAGTAGAATCGCTACCACAACAATCATATAGCACTTTGATTCGAACAATGTGCCGATATAAATCTCACTTTTACAATGGCCAACTATGAGAGGCGAGCACTCATTGTGGAGATTAATCTGAATATATAGAATAACCAGTATTCCTCCCCGAAAGTTTTAACTCCGAGAATTATGGAACCAAATGCATTTTATTTCAAATGGAAATAAAATAAAAATTGAAAGAAATTTAACTTACTTGTATGGAATGTGCTGATGGGTTGAATCTCTAAACTTCTTTGCGAGGCCAAAGTCAATGACATATACCTGCAGTGTACCAGATTCTGTTTTAGCGGACTCACTCTTCTATGAACAACGTCAACAAGAAAACTGAGCTGGGACAATACCTGGTTTGCTCGCCTTCCCAGTCCCATGAGAAAATTATCTGGCTTTACATCTCGATGCAGAAAAGATTTTGAATGAATAAATTCAATTCGATTAATCTGAAATAAACACAAAAAATATATGAACAATGAAAAGAAATTCTGCAACTCTGGAGTGTCATTATGCAGAAAAGATTTGCGAATCAAATGCTAGTCAAGAACTAAAAGGTGTACCATCTGGTCTGCGAGCATGAGGACAGACTTCAGAGACAATTTCCTGTTGCAGTAGTTGAAAAGATCTTCGAGACTTGGTCCCAGTAAGTCCATGACGAGAACGTTATAATCAAGTTCAACACCATACCATCTCACGTTCGGAATGCCAGCTGAAAAATTAAGAAGAAACTGACTTCACCGCGGGAAGTAATTGATCAAAATATCTATCAAATGTCGATTGTGTCAGTTCATTACTTCCTCCTTGTAGGATTTTGTACAGTTTCGCCTCATATTGCAACTGAGGATGCTTGGTTTTGACACTTTCCTGGAAAAATGGAAACAATCAGTTAGGCAATATGAACATTTAAAGGTGCTCAGTACCTGAAGAACAAAGCGTTAGAAAGGACATTAATGGAAGTATGGATAACATTCTTGCATTGGTACTGATTTTTCCATAAATACCCCTTTTTAAATTTATTATTTTATATATTTTAAGTAAATAAGAGTATGTTTTCTTGGTATGATTGCGATGTTAAAACTTTTAGGCTCTTCGAGACAAATCTGCTCTTCCCACTGGTCAGCCCAATGATCCCGACCAGGAACAGGCATGTCTGGTCCAGGTGCTAAGCTTTACAAAGGAGAGAAGACAAACGCATTGCTAAAAATAAAGAAAAGCAAAACTAGATACCAAGTTCCTGGCCGCATCTAATGATGTAAGATTCAAAGCCCACATCTCACTCAAAATCACTCACTTCCTCAGAAGAAACAAGGCACCAAATCCCACCCAGTTGCAGGGGCGATGAGTGCCTGATGAAATCAAGGATTTTATTCCCCATGGCAAAGAAGGTCGTGAAAGATGGTAACTGTTTACCGTCACCTAAGCGGATTTGTCTAGTCATACAGACTCGGCATCTGGTTTTTGCACTGCAGCACAGTTTTGTCACCAACTACGTCATTCACCCTCAACCCCCACCACCTCCAAGAAAAAGAGAAGCTTAGCCGCTCTTTCTGTTAAGACACCGATAGTATTGTCTTATCAGCCTTGCGTTCTTGTGTACTCGCAACAAGAAAAGGACACACTCTGGACAACCTATCAGTATACATGGAGTTTTCTTAAGTGGATGGTAAAACATAAGCCCTGGGAAGATTATCATTCTGTTCAGCTACATAGTTTCAGGTTCATCTGTAGCATTAACAAAATCCTCCACAATCTGTCTTCGTGGAATTGGCAAATATGATAGGACATCTCAGAGGTCCAAAGACACCACAGACCTAACATTTCAGGCCCAAACCAGGACAAGGCCAGGCTGATATTAGTCTGAATCGAGTTCAGGAGAGGCTTGAGAATACCTAACCAGCATGATTGGGATCGACTCGACTCCTTCACATTCAGCGCGGAATCATCTTACCCGGTCCAGATCCCTTCAGTTCTCACCTGTTGATGTCTTTTTGTGACTTACGCACAGGCCACATCTGTATGCCGTGATGTAAGCTATGTCCTTGAAATGTAGGTTAAATTTGGGCTGCTAACATCCTCGTTGTAATAAACCAATAATGACTGCACATCAAGAACGAGAAGCTTCCGGATGACAACAATACATGCGGATTGATGGAAATGGACGCTATTTAAGTGCACAAATAGCCATGGGTGGGAGAATACTGTCTAAAAGGAGCTTGGTAGATGCGGGATTGGGAACGACGGGTGCCCTCACATCCACACGGATATCGGTTTACTGGTGGCCTACCACTTTACGGCCCAAGCACTAGTCCACCACTAATTTCTAACTCGTTTAGGTTATCCGTGCGTCTTTTCCACAGAGGTAGACTGAAAGGTAGTTGAAATTCATAAAGACGTGCATTTTTCTGATTCAATTGAGAGTCTTGTAATGGGATGAGAAAGTTTTAATACTGGGAAGTAATGTCTGTCATTGACACTCACGAGTCCTGATGTCTGTTTTGGGATTGGTCCTCCTCCAGAAAATGAGTAACCTATTAATCCCATCATTCATGTTTTCAGTAAAATGAGGCATTTCACCACCTTCCAAGGATATTTGCCAAAACTAGGGCAGAAATTTCGGTCAAACCGAGAGGGAAACCTATGCCTCATAAACCAGACAATAAATGACCCACGCAGGTGGGATTTCTCAAAGAAAACGAACAGAAAAATGAAGGAACGTGGTCCACAAGAAAAGGAATTTCAGCCAAAAAGGTTTTCATTGTGCTCGGTGAAGACGATTCTGAGATACAGAAAAGGGAACAAACGAACTTACGAGCTTAATGGCGACTTCTTCGTTCGTCTGGATATTTGTCCCTGAAAAACGAAGAACGCCTCAAAAATCCGCAGAAGCCAATGAGAATTCAGAATTGATCAGATTGCACCAACACGAGAGAAAACGTGAAAGAAGAGGATTGAATTAAAACGAAAAGAAGCAAACCTAGGTAAATCTCTCCAAAGGATCCGCTGCCGATCTTGCGACCGATCCGGAACTTGTTCCCCACACAAGGATCCATCGGCGCTCTGACAGGAACTAGGCGATCGCTTATTCGGACCCAAAAAGACCTATCCCGAACCCACCAGAAGAACCAATTGCATCGGACGGGACCAACCCTTTTCCAAATCTACTGCAAGACTCCTTACCGTCTCGACGACCTCTCCTCGGCAATCTCCCGAATGCGTCGACGCGGCGAAGACAATTCCAATCAGCGCGCAATGCCACCTGTAGACGCGTATTCCTCGTAAATGGTTCCCACAGAACGGCTCCGGCGACCAGATGTCCGAATTCTGGCCGGCTACCAGGTCCTCCCCCTCTGCCGTCGGCAATATCCACAAAGAAGACGAAGGAAAAAATGAGGGCCAACTCCCCCCCCCCCCCCCTTTTAATCCTCTATCCCACGCTTTCATTCTATTGAACCAGTCCACAATAACAGACGCTTAAAAACTCTCTCTCTCCCTCTCTCTCTCTCTCTCTCTCTCTCTCTCTCTCTCTCTCTCTCGCTCGCGCTAATTTACTATTAATTTATTTTTTATTAAAATGCGAGCGTTGACCGTTCAGCATTTGGCGGGGCTTATGAGATAAATGGGCCTAACAGGCCCGATCCGTAATGGGCTACCACCCCCCACCGGAGCCTTATTTTATTACGAAATATTTATTGTTTCTAAATAAAGTCATCATTGACACCCGGAAGCTGTTCGGCAAAATGGCCCACAGAAGGAACAATCCTCGAAACAAGCGACCAAATATCCACCAATTCCCACTCCAGCCCACCGAATCAAACAAGCCCACGTCAGCAGAAACCAATGACTCAGCCCTCATCGAACAATAATTTTTTTCATAAAAAAACATAAAAATAAAAAAGGCCATGCGATCCCACTGAAACCAAGAGCACAGGCCGCGAAGATCACAGATCTCGCCGTCCTCTTCTTCTCTAGGTCTTCTCCTTGGCGGGTGACGTTATCAGATGGTGCAGGGTGGTGGCGTGGATGACCGTGCTCGGGCTCGGTTCCCGGGCCCGCACCGACGTTGACTTTCTGAGGCTGCTCTGCAGAGGCCGCCGGAGAGGCCTTGGGAGGAGGCCCATCAAGCAGGTTGAGCTCACCAGCAGGATCACCCCCACCACGATCAGCATCCTTCAACAAAGACCCCACGAATTGAATTGGCTCTTAGATTAGAAATTGGTTGACTTTGACACAGAAATCTTTTATCAGAGTTGACTTAATGCGCGCATGTAGGTGAGGAGAAGTGGCTTACCATCCGAGGAGGAGGAAGAACCGAGGGAGCGGGTCAACGGGAAGGTGCTCGCCCAGCGTGAGCATGCCGGCAAGGACGCCGGTGATGATGGAGGCCACGGCGGCGCATGTGGACACCACGATCGCCCTCCCATGCTTCAGCCCTCGAGTCTGCAGGGAGGAAACGGAGGTCAACTACAAGGAACAGGGGAAAGATTGTGGGAGAAGATCCAAGGAGTCGGAAATATTGACCGAGAAAAGGGTTCTTTCTCAGAGGAATAAGTCAAACTGAACGGATCAGTCAGTAGAAGATGTGCTACAACGTCTAGATCTGGTCCTTACAATCCCCAGATATGGAAGGAAGAATCGATGAATGGATTGAAGGTTCATAAGATATGATATTTTTTTCTAATTCTGAGATGCAGAAGGATGATAAAGCCTCCCATTTATGGGAAGTCAGCTGAGAGGATGGATCGCCAGCTTTATGCATTCCCTGCTCCAAGTTGGGTCAACGGTCAAAAGCTGACCATGGGAGTATGAAACAGAAATATTCACGATTGGCATAGGTTTTAGTCGCATCATATATCATAAATAATAAACTATTATCTTTGATTGACCTTTTGACCATCACCGACAGCAATAAAGATATAAAGATCTCTGAAGGAACGAGTACCTGGAAGACAAAACCAGTGGCACTGCAGCATATGCTGACAGAAATGCATCCCGGCACAAAAATCTGAGAGTAGCCCTCTTTGGAGAGCACAAACCCCATTTTCGATATCACAGATGCCATCCTGCAGACCACAGCGGATGAACTACTTAGATGGGATTCCAAATAAAGTAAAAAAACAAAAAAAAAAAAAGAATTTGCCACACTATCGAGTGTTGTATTTATACCCTCTATTATTATATAATAATTATAATATATTTATAAACAGATATAGGCCGGAATGTTTCTCATCAAAGAGTGAGTAGCCATGAGCTGAAGAGGGCATCGGTGTGTCTAAGTTAAATGATCTTTTAAAATTGAGCCCTTTCTCCTTTTATTGTCAAGTGCACGATCAGCTGTTCATCTGTATGAAGTCTAGAGAGTGAGGGGATTTAGCATCATGCCACTTAAAGAAACTATTATTTATGAAAGACTAACATTAATCGTGCATTAACAGCCCCAAAGTAGACAAAAACCCTGCGATTAATTGAGAAATTAACCTCAACTGCATAAAAGCAATGACACAGTTCCTAAAATCTTTGGCTGAATAGAACACCAAAATAACTCTCAAATACCCTTTGCACATAACTATTCGTAGGCAAACCCAAAATTTTGAAGCCTACAAGAATCTAGAACCTATTAGAACCCGCCTGCCAGAAAAAAAAAAAAAAAAAGAAAAAAGGGCAATGCTATATCATTGAGGAAATTATTAAACTCGAGAACGCCATCTTAATGCCCAAAACATGAAACTTAGACACGAAACACGGGGAATGCAAATGAAAGACCTGTTTTGAAAGAATATTTTTTTCATCAAATAGAAGAGGAGATGACCCAAGGAGAGGTCCCCCCCCCCCCATGCATGAGATGGCACCATTGTCCAGGTAAAGGAGGAGAAAATGTACAAAAATAAAACAGAACATGACATGATATCAGATCCCAGGAATTAAGAAATATAAAACAGTGAGAAGGGGAGGGGCACTGAACCCAAACAATATTCCAGACTCCAAGCCGATTATAATCTCCTCCACAACTTCATACTGAATCTGCAACACGTTTGAACATGGAAAAGAGGAAATAAGCTGATGAAAGACAGAAGGAAAGTGTAGAGTTTGAGCTGGTGCACATCATTGAACAAAATCCTTGCACATACCAACTCCTGTTCTCGTCTCTTATTTTTATAGATACGAAGCCCTGAATTCATGAGAATCTGCATTTACAACAGGATGAATGAGAGTTAGTTCGACGCATTGCTCATACACAAAAAAGCCCATTTGTCTCATAAAGTATCCTTCGTGCAGTCAACCCTTGAACAATAAAAGGAGATGTCTATACTTGTACAGTTTCCATCAATCTATACACAGATAAATATGTAGCCGAACAAGAAGTAATGGGATAAGGCTTTACATTTCACAGTATCGCCAAATAAAAACACGAAACCATTCACTCAAATTCTTTAGGAAACATATGGAAACATGTCATTTTTTCATTAATATTATTTCCCGTATCACCAGGCAGGCAAAATATCCTAAATTAACAGGCAGGTCCCAAATCATTAACCAACACGAAGTCCTTAGAACAGGTCAAATCGAGAGTCATAAATGCTGTTCAGTTGATTGAAATCAGCTTGTGGACCAACAATCAAATCATAAAATCCTTTGGGACCTGTCCCATGGTTTGCTCTAATCTTAACCCTGTCTTTGTGAAATAGGAGTGTGAAGGTAGATAATCCTTGTTGCCACCAAATTTTTGGCATGTACTCAACGACTTCTTTTATTCCTTTAATAATTCGCGGGAAAATATTAGTGATCAAAGAGAAATGCTTTAAATCATCCAACGTAGCAAAGATCTTTTAACAGCATGCCCATGAGCCATAGAATGTTCCAACTATCAAACTCACCATATACTGATCAAGATGGATCCCCTGATTGTTAAATAAGGAAGACATATGCCATAACGTAACTGATCAAGAGAGTGAGTCCACAAGAGCTCATGCTTGGTCTTGATGGGCCACTAATATAAAGTTTGACTGAGGCTAAGCAGGTACACAGTTCCCAGGGGGTTCAACAGCCCACTAGAGCTTCAAACTTATAGGTGAACATATAATTTAGATCCTGGGGTGATCATCTGACAGACGGTTTGAAGGTATTATCCCTGGAACGCCTAACATCAGTCTCATGTCCAGTTCCTGCATAGATGGCGACAACTAATTAACTGAATAATGTGATGGGTTGTTTGGAGGTGGTGCCAAGGCTTTAGGAGATTCCTTTGAAGCTAACACAGAAGTAGAATAAGGCTTTTAATAATTGAATCATCAAAGAGTTGGAAGGGCAAGTTCGACCGTGGATACAAAGAATGTAGCACCAAGTTTCACCATTCCCCAAAAAGTTAGCAACAATCACATGATAATGATGATGATGATGATGACGACAATGATGATGAAGATTATGATCGTAATGATGATGATCATGATGCCAGTATGGAATTATGAGTTTGTGCATAGGATATGATACCTACAAACATGATGAAAACAGTGACGGCCAGCCAAGGTAAGTCGAGAAGAGATATTTCTGAGCTATTTTGTTCCTCTCCACCAAGTCCAACCGCTGCAAAATTGAATAATAGATTATAAATATATATTTAAACGATGACATAAAAGAAGAATGCAACATGTGAAAATTATACGATGAACCAATTGAATATATAAAGCGAAGTGGTGCACTGAACAGTTGAATCTTCTAATATTCGTCTAATTTCTTTCTAAGCGAGAAAATTTTCAGGATTTGGTGCACACTATGTTGCCAAACCTCCATCAAAATCATAGACCTGAACACACGCACCGTGAACAATTCAAAAAAAGAAGGTACATCTGAATTTTTTTAGAAGAAAAATACTAAAAAAATACAGCTCGTATTCTTGTTGATTAGATGGTTTTGGATTTTTTAGATAATCCATACCAAAAAAAACTACATTGAGTTCGTCTAGTGAAAAAATAATAGCAACAACATCACCATCATGCAATTGTTGCTCCCTCTCTTCTCAACTGTCATATTCTGTGCATAAACTAGAAGAGAGACCATTAGCAATCAGCTAAAACTTGTACCTCTCGCCCACAGTTTGCATCTGAAGAGCAAGTACAGTATGGAAAAGAAGAAATAAGATAATGATTCATAGGTAATGCCCTACATAAATATAGCCAGATCGATGCCTCCCAAAATACAAGGTGGGGGTGATTTTTACTCAAACTTCATAGAATGAAGAAAATGGGAAAAATAGATATTCACAGAATCAGAAGTAGAAGAACTCTAGGCAAAAATAGTGGAAAAGAGTGGGTGAATCTCAAAGTTTCTTGGCCTTCAAAAACACTGGAAAGGATCCAATCAAAGAATCTGAAATCAGCGAAGGAAAAAGTAAATTCCACTTTTATTTCACGAGGTAAACAGGGATCCCGCCATTATTTTGAAATCTAACAGCTTCAAAGACAAAAAGTATGATCAACCTTCAAAGGAAGATCGCATTTCATTTCAGAATTTAGGACAGCAATCTAGAATAATACGACCATTTCAAAGACATGTAATTCATTAACAAAAACACCGGCTAACTTACATTACCTATTGTGCCGAAACCTGCTAAGGTTATTCCAAACCAATCTAGAGCATTCACAACCTCCTTTAGGTAAAAATGGGAAAACACAGAGAGTATTGCAAGGCCGCAACCAGAGACTGGTTGTATGATGGAGACCTTCAAGACAGAAGAAAAAACAAAAGTTATAAACAAATGACAAAATAGCAACAGACTGCCAGAAAAAAACAATCATCAACGTGAAAAAAAGCGTATTATGCCTACAAGAAGTGTCTAGCAAAACAACTTCCGTCTTTTAGATTTTTCAAATGCGCAAAAAACAATCTTCCAGTTCATAATTTATACAATTACAATATCATTTCTTAAACACTGTTATACTCTCCTCAATGATTCAACGATAAACAATAAATTAATCGTAATCAAACCTTAATCGCTACTCTGAACATCATGCCATCATCCATTGACAACAGGGATAGTAGTAGCAACCCAAAGTAGCAAGAAAAGTTAAATGCAGTGGAGACTACCAAGAGACAATAGCCAACTAAAATGTAGTAAGCGAAATCAGTAATAGAAAAATAAATGCTGAAATAAAGTCAGAACCAGAAGTCAGTGAGGATCAATCTAATTATTCTCACAGGGATTTTATCATTTTATTCCTCCTTCTCAATGTCATGTGTATAAGATTCGGTATCCCAGGAATAAAAATTTATCTCGCTCAATATCAATCAACAAATGAACAAAATAATGTCCAGGAAACAGTCGAATGGAAACGAGGACACATATACTAAAATAAATGTACTGAATAGATGCAAAAAGTGTAATGATGTGGAGAACATTCTAACCGGAGCTTCAGCTAAAGCCTTCAGCATTAGCAAGGCCCCAATTATATCCATCAGAAACCCAGTCATCCATAATCTGTTCAAAGCATATGCTTTAATCACCTGTAACAAAAAAAATTAGTATAGAATAGCATACTATTAAAAAAATCCTCCATCTCGATGAAATATAGGATACAGGTGTTACTGCTTTTTGACATTTTTTTGGGTCGCGAAGGCTCCTTCTCATGTCTCCTTGTTGAATGAACACCAGCGGGGAAGGTTAAGTAAATTAATCATAAGGAATGAACGATGCTTAGTGCAACTTTGTAGCTCAGTGAAGCGTTTACAAACGCTTCCAAGTTAGAAATATCAGCATTTCGATCACTATCATGGGATCATATGCCACGATGCTCAGGCCAGCTAACAAAACAAGATGAGTAAATGCCTATTTATTAGCAGACTCCCAACAATGGTCAATCTGGTGCAAGAAAACATATCTCTAAGCAAAAAAAATTGGCTCAAAGCAATGATTATTAACTGGGTCGATAAATGTTGGCAAAATTCATGCACCTAAGATTGCATCTGAAAGACATCTTAGGACACAAGCTCCTGTCGAGAGTGGTCTAGATATGGTAAAAATGGGCAGTGAAGAGGAGTTATTCGCAACCTTTAAATGGGGGGCAAACACCCAGAAATACGGAAGTTCATAAATAAAAAGGATGAGTTTAGATATTATTTCAACATCCGAATATATGCCAAGAAAAAAATGATCAAATGGCAAACCCATATTCACGTCGCGTTTGTTCACCGAATCTCGAAAGAATACTAAAAGGAAAATCGCACCATGAAAAAACGACAGAGCGCAAGCGATCTCTTCTACAGAATCAAAGCAAGCAAATTGCATAAATCTCCGAGGAGAAACGATTTCTACCGATCTAGAAGAAAGGAAACCGGCATCATCAACTCATCATCGCAAAAGTTTACAGTCCGTCATCCGCACCTTGAGCTTGAAGGACAGTGGAGGAAGAATAACGGTCCCTTTCTTCTGGAGAACCTTCCCAATGTTGTTCCCCGCCGTGGCCAGCAACGTGAGGCATATCGATTCCCACATGCTCCCTCCCGCTCTCCTTCCCTCCTCCTCCCGGGCCTCTTCCGATCCCTCCACCCCAGCCCAGCCCCTCCTCCCCGAAGAAAGAAATCTAACACTTTCTTCTCCTCGTCCACGTTTTTTCTCTCTCCTCGCGCTCTCTCTCTCTCTCTTTTTCTCTCTACGAACGACCGGGACCGTTTACGAGCTCTGACAAGGAGGTTTTGGTCATTTCGACAGAAATCGGGGATAGCGGCAGAGCAAGGCTGGTGACGTAGACGGAATTGAAGGCCGTTCTCATGCGCCCCCCCCTCCTTTTAAAGCCACCGTCCGCGCCGCCATCGGGATAAACATCTGGGTAGGCGTCCGCGTGACCCGACCCGGGTTGGATCCCATGAAGTCAACGACGAGGAGCATTCTAAATACTAAGAACTCTCTCTCTCCATCGGGATAAACATCTGGGTAGGCGTCCGCGTGACCCGACCCGGGTTGGACCCCATAAAGTCAACGACGAGGAGCATTCTAAATATTAAGAATTATCTCTCTTTCTCTCTCTCTCTCTCTGTGAAGTCCCCTTCGCTCACTGTGCCTTCTCGTCTTCGGATGATTTCTTTGGATGAATAGCCTCAATGAGAGCTTCGATCTCCTCCTTGGCACGTTCGAGCAGATTAGGGCCTTTGACGCGATCGATTGGGGTGTTCTCATCGATGTCGTCGCTCGTCCCGTGAGTCTCCTTGTGATGGATCTTCTCGTGGTGGAAGACCGCTTTAATCTCTTCTTTTGCTCTGTCCATCGGACTGGGTGCTCTTTGATCTTTCTCTGCAAAATTACGCAAGAAAATTGTTAAAAAAAATTGAACCCGACCACGAGCATTGGATGCACAGAGGAATTTATTTCAGAAAAGCGAACCACGATTCGATTTGCAGATGAACAGATCCGATAGATTTTCTCCTACCGACAGATGCACAGAGAAATAATTTAACAACAAAAGAACTACATCGCCATTTTAGTAAAGATCATCCCCCTTATGATGAATCAGATTCCAAAAAAAAAAGAAAAATATATCTCATATAAACGATCAAACAGATGTCCCTGAGATCATGGTATTCTCGGCACCAAGTCTGAAATCAATTCGACAGCCTACTTGTCGCCGATCTCCCTTCTGCTGAATCATAGAGAATTAAAACAGCGGTGCATCGTAATCAGAGAAGAATGGTTAAAATAACTGTAAACTGATCTCCGGGAATGTGACAAAATATTTCGAGACATCGACGGAAAAAAGAAGACTAATCGATTCCATCCGGCCGATTCTTCTTCTTCCCTGCTCGCAGGAGGAAGAATCGCCATAGCCTTTCAGGACACTTCTGAGAATCTGTTGTCACTCGAGCCTCGTTTGGAAGGGGGCATCGCATTAGGGTATAACCGTTTCACTTTCACAGCCCGAGGAAGGGGAGAAGACATCTTCGTTCTTCCGGAAAACAAAACATGTACCAGTGGATCTGAGAAGAGAGAGAGATATTGGAGGAGGATTCCGTGGAGACATACCTGGCTTTGATCCCTCCATAGATGGCCGGCAGACGAGGAATCGGCTCCGGAACGCGTCCCCGAAAAGATGAGTCTGTGATGAACTCGGCCCCAGAGGCGGGCCGATATCGAAAGCTTCCCACAAGGACCTCGAAAGTATTTTTTATAGTTTAATGTAATACATTTTTAAGCCATTTAATTAAATTTCTTACTACTCTACGAAAATGCTTGTTTTTCTCTAGTCATTTATCTTTTTTTAATATGATTTTTTAATAATATATTTTTAAAAATCATTTACACCTATTCATGGGATAATTGTCTGTGATTTGTAGATCATATTTGATTGCAAATAAAGAGAGGGGCTTTAAGACAAAATTGCAAATACTTACTCGTTTTTTTATAAACAAATAGTATAAAAAATAGAAAACACATTATATTTGCATTTTAAAAAATCAAATTTCATTTATTACGTTTATCTTTAGTGGATTGCGAAGCTTCCTTCCTCGGGAAGCTTCGACAAATATCTTGGCTTCCAGAAGCTTCGATCTGCGGCTATATAACTTCGGTTCGTTGAACCGAAATATGGTTTCTTCCGATGCGAAACTGTGCGTAGATTCCAGAGAGCTCTGATTACGACGACAGAGCGTAGCGGGGAGAGCTCGGAATGAGTACCAACTGATCTTCTTCCAGGACGGAAGTGAGTTCATTCCCGAAATAAATTTCTTCTCTCGATAGCAGAAGATCGAAATTGGGCGAAGATATGGAGGAGATCGGCTTAGCCTTGAAGGTGGAGGAAGTGGAAGAAGAGGAAGAGGTCGAGGAGACGGCTGGAGCGCCTTCTCCCCGGCCGATGGCGGGGCTGAACGAGGTGGGGCCGCCCCCGTTCCTGACGAAGACCTACGACATAGTGGAGGATCCGGAGACCGATGCGCTGGTCTCGTGGAGCTCCGGGAGGAACAGCTTCATCGTGTGGGACTCCCACGCCTTCGCGAGTACTCTTCTCCCAAAATACTTCAAGCATAGCAACTTCTCCAGCTTCATCCGGCAGCTAAATACATATGTGAGTTCTTCTCTCCATCAATTTTAGCTTAGTTTCTCCCACTCCCCCGCATTTATTGCCGGAGCTGATCTAGCTGCGTGTTTCTCTCGTGTACCTGAAATATGAATTGTTTATGATCTTTCTAGGTTTCTGAGAATCCACTCCTACTTGCTGATCGCGGCCTCTGTTTTGATCGGCAAGTTTTATGATGCTCTGCACTCCTCGAAGAGGTTTGGATCTGGTTACAGAACAACAATCCAATCTAAGAACCGTTATCCAAACTAAAGAGGCCCGGCGGCAGAATTTCCCATAGTATTTATAAGCATGATGGATTTAGTCCGAAGATGAAAAAACTACCAGTCTTCCTTCACGTTCCTGCTGGAAGCAGAAATTTTATATGATTTTTTTTAAAAGCCGAGGGTGCTGATCCACACTCGTTACTGCCTGAAAAATTAACTTATAATCCTCTCTGCCCTGCTAGCACTGTCCCGATGGAGGAATATACAATAAACTACGCTGATAAACCTGTTGTTTATTTGTGATAATTCTCTTTCATCCTCGGAATGGCGCAGCCGATGCCGACTACGATATTATGATGTTCCTGAACAAACTTACCCACCAATGCACGGCCACCATGATCGCAGGGATTTCGAAAAGTCGATCCAGACAGGTGGGAGTTCGCCAACGAATCATTCGTGGGAGGCCAGAAGCACCTCTTAAAAAGCATCAGGAGGAGAAGGAACTCCCTTCACAGCGCGCTGCAGCAGAGTGGGGCGGGACCCTGCGTAGAGCTGGGGCAGTTCGGTCTCGAAACGGAAGTGGAGCAGCTGCGGAGGGACCGGAGCATTCTAATGATGGAGATCGTCAAGCTGAGGCAGCAGCAGGAGAGCTCTCGAGCGCAGCTCCGCTCCATGGAGGATCGCCTACAGGGCACCGAGAGGAAGCAGCAGCAGATGATGACTTTCCTGGCCAGGGCCCTGAAGAATCCCTCCTTCTTCCACCAGCTCGTCCACCACAATGACCAGAGGAGGCATCTGGACGGCGTCCGCCGCAAGCGGAGGCTTCCGGCCACCCCCAGCTCAGAGGACCTCCCTGCCGTGGAAGAGACGACGGCCGAGCCCGACGTGGACACGTTGCTCACCGCCGTGGAAAGTGAGGCCGGTACCTCTACCGATCCTCCGGCGAGCGAAACCTTGTTCGGCCTGGGCAGCGTCAACGACGTCATGTGGGAGGAGATTCTCCGCGAGGACATGCTGTCCGGTAAGGTGGAGGTGGCGGCGGCGGCGGAGGACCGGTCGGAAATCAACTTCCCGATGGAGGATTTCCCGCTGGCGTGGGGGGGGAGCATGAACGACCTGGCGGAGCAGATGGGTTATCTTGGATCATCGAGCCCTTGAATAGACCCAGACAGTAGACACCTGTAGATTTCCTCGGCCTCTGGCTTCGAGGACGTCCGACGATTTTTCCTCCGCCTCCGGCAGAGAGATTATAGAGACTTATCTTCGTTCGATCTCTTTTAGTAACCACCAGCCCAATAGTGACGACGGCCCAATAGTGACGACGGCCCAATAGTGACGACGGCCCAATAGTGACCACCGGCTACACCAATTGCTGCAAGTGATCGGCCCAACGACAAATAGTTTGGGCCGATGGCAACTGAGATTTTAATGCCAGTGGGGATAAGGCTGTTTGGCCGCGTGTCAGCCTTCTATTAGATGCGCAGCTCCTGCTCAGGTGACAAGGACGGCTGAGCCCCGGAGCGCTGGTACGTCTGTCGGAGAATCTCCACCATCCTCCATGCGTCCCGAAAAGCGCCGTCTGGACGGTGATCCGTAGGCCGACGTCACCGCTCAGTGTCCCAGTACCTGGGCCCACAATCCACGTGCCGAAGCCAGCATATCAGCTGCACCTGCTGCTGCGTCACGCGGTCTTGTTACGTATCTCGGGGACCGACTCGGTTGAGATGACGTCACTATGAGTCTGGGAATCGGACGGCGGCCTGCCGAGGACTGTCGAGTTGGACAGATGGGCGCACAGTGATTCCAGAACCGGCAGCCTAATTTTAACTATTCGAAATGGCGGCAAATTCCCGAATTGTTGGAATTTATTAAAAATAAGTATATACATTAACTGCCAATTCATTTATATTTTTTTGGAAATGTATTTTAACTTCTTACCTGCAACTTAGGATTTATGCGTCAAAATTATTTGACATCCACCGAGCTCTACCGTCGATGAGGTAATTGTGGGCCCCTGTGTCACTAGTCAACGTCCCCGGTCCGTCCGATGGGAGGCTCCCAAGCCCCGCCGAATATTCTAGAAGAACACTCTCTCTCTGTGACGTCATCAACTAGTCGACCAGCCGGCTTGTCGGGCATATCCCAGGGGAATCGGACGGTGGAAAATGAGATGGAAGGGCGAATCCACGGCTGGGTGTGCGGGTGAGCCTAGGCTCAGATCCAGCACCCGAGCAACGGCCATGTCGACCAGTGAGCTCCGTCCACGTGGACCGTAGGACCAAACAACCACACGGAGAGAGAGGGAGGGGGTTTTCTCCACCCTTTAATAGCGCGAGTCGTCTCTTCTGAAGCTTCACCATCTCGAACTTCTCTCTCCTCCTCGGAATATGCAGGGCCTGCGGTGGGGACAGATGGCCGGCGTGGATCTGGCCGGGAAGAGGGCGGCGCCGCCACCACCACCGGCGGTGCCGCTGTCGATCGACGCGGCGGAGACGACGGAGATGCGGATGGAGCGGCTGATAACGGAGAACCCGGTGGTCATCTTCAGCAAATCCTCCTGCTGCATCTGCCACGTGATGAAGCGGCTTTTGTGCACCATCGGCACCCACCCTACGGTCATCGAGCTGGAAGACGGCGAGATGGACCGCGCCGCGGCGGCGCTGGGCCTCCCCCCCTCCGCCGGCGGCCCAGCGGCGCCGCCGTCTCCGGCCGTCTTCATCGGCGGCACCCTGATCGGAGGCCTCGAGAGCCTCATGGCCCTTCACCTCAGCGGCCTCCTCGTCCCCCGCCTCAGAGAGGTCGGCGCTCTCCTCCTCTGATGTAATTATTTACCGTAACACCTCCTTCTTCCTACCATCAACCTCCATCTCCATCTCCATCATCAGCACCTTTTCTTCCATTGGATGCGGAAATCTGATCTGTGCTCGTCTCGTCTGCTGAGAGGAAGTTCTACAGAATTCATTCACTGGAGGGAGAGGACACAGAGAGAGAGAGAGAGAGAGAGAGAGAGAGAGAGAGAGGGTGGGGTTTGACTGAGGGAGCAGTAAGGGCGTCCGTCGGCTATCGTCTACGTTACACTGTTCCATTTTTAGGCTTTCCCTCCGCCATTAATGGCGGACGGAGATGATAATATTAAAATTTCCCTCCGTGGTTTAAAGACGTGCTGACGTGCTGCAGGTGGGGGCGGGTAATGAGTGTGTGATAATGATCCCCAGTGGAAGAGGACGTCACCTTCCCCCACACATGGGGATTCGGCGGATGCATACGATCTCACAGAGAGGGATAGCGAAAGAGAGAGAGAGAGACAGAGCTACAGTGATGTCACCACGTAAACTCGTCTCTCTTCCTCTCTCCCCTCTTTCTGGAGAGCAACTGTTGAAGAGAGTCCGAGAGAGAGAGAGAGAGAGAGAGAACCGGAGAGCAGGAGGGGGTGGCGAAGAGGGAGAGAGCGGAGACAGACGGAGACGGATAGATATTTATATGTAGAGAGAGAGAGAGAGAGAGAGAGGGGATGGGGAGAGAAGCAGCGGTGTAATCGCTCACATTTACTCTTCTCGGATCGAATCCCCATCTGGGAGTCGTTCTATCGGAATTCAGTCCTGCAAAGGCTTATTAAATTCAGAAGTCCGATTCTTCTCCGACAAGCATATCCTGGATCTGATCTCTCCTTGCAGGGTTCCCTCTCTCTCTCTCTCTCTCTGGTATATATTTAGAGAGAGAAAGCTGGCCGGTTCGCCTTCTTCTTCTCCATCGTCAACGGGACTGCACCGGTGGGAGCGCCGTCATTTTGACCGCAATCATCTCGGCCGGACCGTGTTGGAGGCATTGGGCCTATCTTATCGAGATAGATTTTATGGCCCAATATTGGCCCAAATACAACAAAGTCTTCTAGTTAACAGTTTTAAAAACTAATATATTTAAAAATAATATTTTTCACATGGTAATCTAGTCTGAATATATGAAAAATATCATAAATAGAATTATTTTGTATACATAAATTTTTCCCCTGAATAATTTTCTACGAGGAGTGGAGAAACCCCAACGAGCAGCCACAAAGAGGGGACTCCAACGCCCCGTGGGCTTTTCTCTGAGCCAAATTCTTACATGGGCCTGCCACACGGCCCAGAAAGTCTTGTTCTTGAGCCCAGCTCATCTCCCGTGGTCAACGGATAAAATTAGTTAAACCATTAAGATTTGGGCTGACGTGAGGAGGGGTTGACCCGGTTTGACACAAAACCTCCGTCCGCATCGGAAGTCAAACATTACAGAGTCAAACACAGACCACGGTGTCTATGAGCTTCACAAGAGAAAGAGTGAATCACTCACCATTGCCGATGAAAGGGCTATAGATGAGAGAGAGAGAGAGAATCTTCATACTCATGCATACCACTCCCTAGTTAGGCAGAGTCAATGGATGGAGCCCGGCCCATTATTTTTGCCACGTTTCACCCATCTACTCGCGCTATAGCGACCCACTAGACAATTGAGTCGTTCTTTTTATCATCGTAAAAAGTTTAATAATTACAATAATGTACAATACTTCCACGGCACCTAAATTATTGAAAGCCCGATATTTTACATATATACCACTCAATTGCCCACGTATAATCATCCGATCTGCTGACGTGGACAACAGCCGGACCTGGAAAACCATTTTTTATTAATATCTTCCCGCGCCATCTCAGCCATGTGTCGTTATCCGATTGAGTTTCCAACTGTTATCGTCATCATGTCGACATTGGATGCATCTGGTCGACACGTGGCTATGTTTCATTCGGGCCCGCGGCAAACCATACGACTTGGCCTTGGGGGGGGTTCTGACTCAGCACAATGTCATGGATGTGTGAGGACCAGTATGCGTCGGTCAACAACAATGTCAACACCCTGGTTTTCAACGCCGTCATCCTCCCCCCTACGCTCTCCCGTCTCTCTTCCTCCTAAGATGTCAGCACCATGAGCCTAACGGCCAGCGCGCGCCATCTCCTTCTTCTCTCCTTCCTCCTCCCCACTCCGCCATCTTCTTCCCCTTCCTTCCGCCACTGTTCCTCCATCTCTCCTAACGATGACCACATCCTGGCTTCATGGGTGTCATTGGCTTGCCGTATTCCTCTTCCCGCCTCCTTCCTCCTATTTAGTCGGCGATCTCAATATCCGGTGGCCCTAAAACAGAGGAAGAAGAAAGGTCCCCCCCCCCACATATACGACCACCTCTGCGGGCAAGCCAGCGCTCGGAGATCTCTCCGGTTGCTCGTTCATGGCCTTCCACAAGGTTCTTGTCATCGCTGCCGGTTTCTCCTGGCCCTGGTCTGCGTCAGCGGTGATTGATTGTGCTTCTAACCTAATCTGATTTCTGCAGGTTCTTCAACCTCCGTTCTCCCTCGACGGCCTCCAGAACCATGTCCAGAATGTCTCTGGTAAGGATCTTCCCTAACTCGTCCTTCAATCTGCCGGCGATCCCTTCCTGCGGGCGCTTGAAACTCTCCCGGCGGCGTTGCAGGGAACTTGATCTACCAGGTAGCCAAATCCCTGGGGAACGCGGAGTGCTCCTCCGGCGGTGGCGAGGCGGCGGAATGCAGAGACGACGAGGCGGCACTGAGGTTGAAGATGATCGCCATCGCGGTGATCCTCGTCTCCAGCGTCGCCGGAGTGACGCTTCCTCTGGTGGGAACGAGTTGGCGATTCCTCCGCGCGGAATCGGGCCTCTTCGTCGTCTCGAAGGCGTTCGCCGCCGGCGTCATCCTCGCCACGGGATTCGTCCACGTCCTTGCCGATTCGCAGGAGGCGTTGACCGATCCCTGCCTCCCCCGCTTCCCCTGGTCAGCGTTCCCCTTCCCGGGTTTCTTCGCCATGGTCTCCGCCTTGGGGACACTCGTCGTCGACTTCGTCGGCACCCAGTTCTACGAGAGGAAACACCGGGTGGAGAACAATAATGCTAGGAAGGCTGCGCGGGATGAGGAGAACACCGTCGGTCTGCTCTCAGCCACCGCCGGCGACAAGCAACACGAAGAAGAAGACGGCGGTGGGCTTCACATCGGTGTGCCCCACGCCCACGACGCCGGGCACCACCACGGTCACTCTCACGGCGGTGCCAGTTCTCACCTCCGCCACGTCGTCGTCTCTCAGGTTTGCCCCGTCCCTCCATTAACATCTTAATACCTCTTCTGCGAAGATTCGATGATGATTAATCCGTGGATATTTGGGGACGGGATCAGATCCTGGAGCTGGGCATCGTCTCCCACTCGGTCATCATCGGGCTGTCTCTGGGGGTGTCGCTGAGCCCCTGCACCATCCGACCTCTCATCGCCGCCCTCGGCTTCCACCAGTTCTTCGAAGGGTTCGCCCTCGGCGGCTGCATCTCTCAGGTAAGCCGCGGCAGCTCTCCATTGTCTGAGAATAGGGCCGATTCTTGAAGACTACTAAGACAGAAGGAAACTCTCTTCCTCTCTTTCTCTCTCTCTCGTCACCACCTTCTTCTTCTCCGGTGGCAGGCGAAGTTTCGGTCAACCGCAACGGCGGTGATGGCCTTCTTCTTCGCGGTGACGACGCCGGCGGGGATTGCGGCGGGGACGGCGGTGGCGTCCTTCTACAACCCTAACAGCCCGAGGGCGCTGGTGGTGGAAGGGGTACTAGACGCGGTCTCGGCGGGGATTCTCATCTACATGGCCCTCGTTGACCTTATCGCCGCTGACTTTTTGAGCCGGAGCAGGAGCTGTAACGGGCGTGTCCAGGTCTCCTCGTTCCTCGCCCTCTTCCTCGGCGCAATCACCATGTCGGTTCTCGCGCTGTGGGCCTAAACAGTAGCCTTTGTTGACTCTCTGACCACACAGAGATCTCACTAGAAATTCTCGTATTTCAATCGAATTGGTTCTGCTTAACTCATTTTTAAGGGTATAAATCTTCTTCTGGGCACGCCAAAAATCGAATATTTGTCACCTTCTTTCCAGGGCATCGAAGGTCCATCTTCATAAGCTAGTTGGGCTTCTTCCCAGCCCAATTAGCATATCAGCAGGACAAAAGCCCAATAATCTCGCCCCTCTCTCTTTCTCTATATCTGTCTATCGCACATGGGTATACTATGTCGGCGGATCACATTTGCGCCTATTCAATGCCTGTTGTTCTAGTAATATTTGTTGAATATTTAAGGGGATACTATCATGATATACCACATTATTGACGAAGTTGGGAAATGAGAGGTGAAATTTAAAGAAATAAATTTACAAAGTTGCAAGAATGCAGTATGTATTCTCCTAATCCCTAATGGTCCTCAGTAACGTACAAAGTTAATTATACATACGAATTAATTTTTTAATTTAAAATTATTTAAAACTCGTTTAGGGAGTTAACTAGCATCAACCCCACTAATCTCCTTCTCTCAACATATCTATATCTATTTATATATATATATATATAAATCGCACTTGGGTATACTATGTTGGCGGATCATACCTGCTCTTGTTGATGTTCTAGTAACTATTTTTTGAAATATTTAAGAGGATAATATTATTATATATCACATTAAGTTGGGAAATAAGAGATGAAATTTATAAAGTAGCAAGAATGCAATTGGTATTCTCCTATCACTAATGGGCTCCAATAACGTAAAATATTATTTCTTTCTATATACAAAAAATTATTTTAGTGTATACTTAATATTTTAATTCCATTTTTGTAATAATTTAAGGAGACAACTAATATCAAACCCCAATAATCTCTCTCTCTCTCTCTCTCTCTCTCTCTCTCTCTCTCTCTATTATATATATATATATATCACAGTTGACTGTAATATGTTGGAAGATGATACTTGCACATGTTGACGTTTTAGTAACCATTTGTTGAAAATATTGAAGATAATGATATTATTATATACTACTTTATTGATGAAGTGGGGAATAAAAGATGAAATTTATGCACATAGATTTGCAAAGTTGTAAGAATGTAGTCTGAATTCTCCCCATCACTAGTGACTCCTAATAATGTACAATAATATTTATTTGTATATATTTTTTTAATTATTTAAAAACATATTTATTATTTTTAGTTCTTATTTTTAAAGAAGTAATATTAATTTTAACTTCATTTAGAGAGTCAACTAGCATCAACCCCAAAAAATCTCTCTCTCTCTCTCTCTCTCTCTCTTAATTGGGTATTTCCTATGGCGGCAGATAATACTTGCATCAAAACGTGTAAAATGCCTAATGTTCTAGTAACTATTGATTGAAAATACTAAATATGGCATAATTATGAATTCTCCCAACCACAATTGGGCCCCAATAATGTAGAATATTATTATATATTAAAGTATAAAAGCATTCTTAAATTATTTAAATATTATTTATTTTAGATTCATTAAGGGAGTCAACGAGCGTGATTTGTTGACTCCACAATTTGTGCCTTTTATGTACAAAAAGATGGAATTACCTTTATCAAATATTAAATAATTTTAGCCTTTATTAATAAATAGTATATATATTCTAGGAAAACACATTGTTAATACATCCCAACCAGAAAAAGGATAGCAAGACATGATGATTGGCTTATTAAGGTATAAAAGTTAAACACAAAAAAGTTAAGGAAATACGTACAAAATTCCCTTTAAGAGGATCCTCAGGGGAAAAATATCGAAGATCTTCAGGTTCCTTTCGTCCTCCGCTCCTCAAATCTCCGCTGAACACAGTCCTCCAGTTTTTGCCCCTTCCACTCGCAGCCCCTTTGGTCGTCCTCGTCTGAGGGGCGGAAAGGAGGCATCTGGCCGCTAGAATCGGAGAGGAGCGCGACAGCGTGAGCGTTCAGGTGTTCGTGTGCCCCGAAGGAGAGGAGTATGGCTTGGAGGCGTCTCCTCACGCAGGTGGGTTGTCCCCTGGTTTCGACCTTGCTGTCTGTATGTCGAATTCGCCTTACCAAATGGGATTTATTCTGGGCGCGTGATTATAGTTATCATCTTTCCTCGCGGGCCCTAATCTCATATTCAGACTGTTTAGCGGGATCGGTCAACGTTTAGGGCTTTCACGAAGCACGAACTCTAAGGTTTTTTTTTTTGGTATATTGCCTATTCCTTTCGGTCCTTATCTTGGGGCGGTTTTCTGGTTTTTTCTTGTTGCGTCCCGTCTCGTGTTTCAACGATTGCCGTCATGGAGTGGAATTTGGTATCGAAAGTCTATTCGGTAGGACATAGGATTTGCTAGTTTTCTGGTGTTTGCGATCTTCCTCGGGCTCTGTTGAGGGATGGGTTTATGTCATGGCGTGGGTCAGGTCATGCCAGTGACATGTAATAACTCGTCCAAATTTTATGCCTACATGATTGCTTCTAATTTGAACGGAGTTTGAAGATTCGTTCACATACAACGCTGCATTTCTGGGAGCTACTACAGTTGGTTGGTTTGCTTGATTGCGTAAAAAAATGGTCTGTTTCTAAGCAAGCCCATTTCTGACAGTGGAGACTCAGAGAGTGGAAGAAATTACGTCAAAAGCACGTTGGAAAAGTGAAATCGATGGATAGAAAGCGGTTGACTTGACATTTTTCGTGCATTGGTCTTCCTTTCGGTATTGCTTTCAATCGAAACGATTAGGGCTAATGATGTGATGGTTTCAGTATTCTTATTGTTTTTATTCAAAAAGATGTAAAATGACGCAGAGCACACCTCTAGATGCATTTTTTAACTTGATTATTGACTGGACGAGGAAATGTTAGTGAGCGTGAGTTTGTTGTGGGCATATTTTGCCAAAACCGCGAAGTGGCCTCATGTTATTGCAAAATGAAAGCAGGCTATCTGGGGGAAATAACTTATTGCTTTCTGTTGCCAGACATTGGGAGGATATTCTGTATGGTTATATCAGCAATCTTTAATCTTTTAAATTTTCATTTGGTTATAATGTGGGAGAATATAGGTTGTGTGGAGACACCCCGAGGCAGAACACTTCTTTGGTTTCTCCAGCACAGTGTGCAAGGAATTATCTTTGATTGTGCATGATGGACACTCAAGTAGCCAACCATCGAATTAAAGTAGGGTATCAGATTGAGTGATACCTTACATAGAAAGTGCGAGAGATTTTTTTTTTCATAACTATGCATATTGATGGTTAATTTGGCATATGTATTTTGTCACTGATGTTGTCGAAGATGTACCTTTTCTAGAGGTGTTTGAAAACCCTCCTCACTGTTACTCTATAAGATTCAGTTAAATGATAGGGTAAAGTTGAGATATCAGACATTTGACATAGTGCTAGCATTTATCCCGTACTCAAGTGGACACTTTGAAGTTGTAGCCTCTTTGATCCTCCTGTTAGGTGGTAACAGTAATATCGTTCAGCGGCTGGTTTGGATTGGAACCCTGTAAGTGGTAAAAACATCCAGGTCTCAAGTATCTTTTAGTTTTTTGGGCTTGCAAATGATAAAAGTTGGCAGAAATGTCCAGTACCGAGGCAAAAGCGCTTGTAACAGGGTCAACACCTTTTCCGATTTTTCAGTATATCTCTTTGAATTGGTAACTAACTGCTGGGTGCGTTTAACTACAACAAGACAAGACTAGGTCTGGTTTCTAAAATTCTGCAAATGAGGTGAGGTGAAGCTCGATCTAATTTGGTTTTATCAGCAGCCATCTGGCGTGAAACATGCAGTATTCTTTTCTGGTTAAGCTCTAGATATTTAACTAGGGTTGAGGGGGATTAGGGTCTTCAGAGGATGACAATCTTGGTTTTTTGTTGCCTATCTGAGAGTAACCTGGGAATTCAGATGTGAATATACTGTCTTCGAAATGGGGTTGACGTCAGGCAATTAAATATCCCTCATCTTCGTTAGTAATTGTGCTTGGTACGAGCATCTTACTAAAATATACGGTTCATGTCAGATTTTTGGGCAAGCATGTCGCTACTCTTTGAAACTTATGTTGTTAAAAAAATCGAGATTAAAGCGAAAACTGCTAGCTTCGTGAGTTAAAACTGTTGAAATCTATATATATGCTCCAATCCGTGTGTTCTGACACATCCAAGGTCGCTATCTAGGCAATGACATTCATCCGACACATTAATATTATTCGTTACCATCATGGTTATTTAGTTTTTTTTCGGTGTGTTGTTGGGGGAGGGCTTGAGCTGAATCCTCATGGTAACGAGGGGTTTGTAGAATGGTTCTGTTTCATTCGTGGTGATTTAAAAATGTAATCGAATGGAGAAAGAGGCAGAGAGTACATGGAAATTGTGAAAAGTTTGGCCCTGGGAAATCTGAATATGACATGATATTGGGCACATCTTGCCAAAGGCTTTACTGTCTGCATACTTTATTGACGTAAAGTGTTTTAATATTTACATCTTCCATTTATAGTTATATTTCTATGTTCTTATCTGGTTCATCCTTACCACCATGTGCTTTACCCCTACCGTCCTGGTTCTACTTAGGGTATCGAAGGTCATCAGAAAAGCTTTTCTGATAATGCCAATGCCCACTTAGTGAGGAGATTGTTAAGAAGAGAAATTCCCTGAAGTTCAAATCGTCTTAAGCTCAGTTGTGTGTGCAGGCTTCAAGAAAGCAATTGAGGAACCCTTATTTAGTTGACTTAACTTGTCAGCCTCCTATTGCTCTGGTTCAAGTCCAAGGTGGTGCAGGTATGTAGTTTTGTGCCATAGCAGTCCCCAAGGAAAATAATGCTTGCTTTTCCGTGCGCTTTTTCGCTTTGTCATTACAATGAGCCAACTGGTTTCACGTAATCTGCATTTCTGTTCTTTCTATTTTTTTTATTTTATTTTGAGTATTATAGACTCTTCAATCAACGTTGACTTTATTTTGTATCCATCAGATCATGATGACTTCATTTCGTAAAGTTATGTAGAACGAGCTGTAGGGAACTCTAGTCCTCAAGTTAGCTTTTCGTTTAGAACGAGGTTGATTCTACGGATTATATGTAAAAATGTGCAATGCTCAAGTGCTGGATAGTGTCCATAAAATAATCTGTCTTCTGAAGTAAACGGTTTAGTCATCCACAACATTGGCGGGTAGAATTTGGTCCATTGTCTTTTGAGGAGTAGAAACAGTACAATATCCCTAAATGGAGTAACCATCGTTGGACCATCAGGTTAATCCATGGTTGGTGGATTAGTCTCCTGTACGTAAGGCAGATCGTCAGATCAATGATTGGATGTATTTTCACTTCTATACACAATAAGAAAATATTTATTGTCCAGGATAGAAACTGTAAGGGTCCTTTTGAGAAAGTCAGTAAAATGAACTGGAACATGTACTAACAAGAATGGAAATGAATGCCAAGTAATGCTCAGATGCAATTAAGAAACTCACGTGGAGATCCATTTGATAGTTTTTATTATTAACTTTTAATGCGATCTCATAAAGAATAGATTTGGAATGACGGGGGTGGTTAGTATTCTGCTAGTTTAAATCTGTTTACCTTCTATTGCTCTTCTCACTAAGACTCTCTAATCATATTCTTTGGCAATTTCTGTGTAACTACTTATAAAGGAGGCGACCTTTGTACTGTATTTTTATTTCAACTTAATTGATTTTTTGTCCATTGTTTGCAGGGAATAAACTTTTTAGGTTTCAAGAAAGGTCTTTCTCTCGGTATGTTGGTCAATTTGCTCGCAGAGCACGGGATATAGACGGTGCAAATGATTATCTGCTTAAAGAGCTTTACAGAAGTGAGCCGGAAACAGTAATAAGATTGTTTGAGAGTCAACCTGGGTTACACACAAACCCATCGGCCCTTTCTGAGTATATTAAAGCATTAGTCAAAGTTGATAGGCTAGATGAAAGTTCTCTGCTCAAAACCTTGCAAAGAGGTAAGCTCTTGTGGAGTGATGAATTGCTTTCTCATTGAGTATGTGGGTAATATGATTCCTTTTCCCTTATGTTGTTTGTTCGTATTCATGTGCGTGATAATGCAAGTGATTTTTCTAGATTTATCATATTCTATTTCTCCTTTTCGTATCATATCATAAGATATGGCCAACACATGTATATATAGATGCCTGCGACTATCTTTTCATACCCATTTCTAATACTCTCAAATTTGATTTATGGTCCTTTTATCTTCCATCTAAAGAAAGACGAATTGTTTTTTTGTAATTCTTGCGCATCATTTTCTGTATGTTGAGAGAGCATGGATATCTAATTTTTCTGTGGACCACTATAACTAACAGTCATATGCATGCTTCAACTGACATGAATATATTGAGATAATGACTGGCTGTTTTCACAGCATGCCATGGCAGCCATGTTTGTGGTTGTGTTTTGTCATTACATGCTATTGCGTTGTATTATGCGGCATGTTAACTCAAAAAAGGATAAGCTTTGTCAAGAATTTCGCATATATTAAGCTATTAGGTGTAAGTAATATGATCTGGGGTTGACCTTTATGCATCATTTGGTGAATGGAAGGGTAGGAATATCACCAAATATCATTAAAAATGGTAAGAAATAAACAGCTGGATGTCTACGAATTCTTAGGAATTATATTGTAGACATCATGCATCTCACAATTGCATAATTTTCGTTCCGTTTCCTTTAATTAAAGATGCTATGAACTGGTTGCCGGGAACAGTCCTCAGGTTGAATAACACTTGGTAAAAATTGGTCCCACCACATCCTTTGTAGACATGATCAGTTCATGCTTCAAACACTATTGGAAGGTGTAAACATATAATTTGGATCATGACGGGCCAGTTCTCAATTCTAACAGATCTCATTACGAGCTTTATTAAGTTCTTTCTTATCCATAATAGGTGGTGTTTAAAGTAGATATATTTATTTCGTTTTTACGTGTTCTTATGTAAGAGGTTCCAATGGGCTGTCTACCCGCCTTTGATTGGAGAAAGCAGGATGCTTGATGCTAACCTAACCTGACTTTGGGTTTTAGTTGTAGAAAAAATGATTCTTCCTCTCGACATTATGTTCTAAGAGTAGATTGTGATGTATTTTGATTCAGTGGATTGCAAATATATTGAGTGGGATGGTGGAAGCGGAGAGATTTGTGGTAGGGTATGTTTGAAAAGTGAAGAGATCGAGTGAATGTGAATGGCTGCAGTCAATCTCTCGCATCATTACATCTGTTTATTCCTGGTTTCACTGGGGATTCGTGAGGTTTTAATCTAGAGGACTTTCTGTATGCAGTTCCAACAGCGTTGGCCAAAGTATTAAGGGATAAGTTAACACATCCGTGAAAGCTGAACGGGGACTGGTAAGAAAATGCTCGTCTTAAAGGGCATTGAAACAATGATAAGAGAAGCTTCTATTAAGTGCATTGGGAACTTTATTAGGTGTTGGGATGAATCTAAACTGAATATCCTTAGAAGCAGCCCGTTGATGCACAAAATGACAATTCTCAATGCTTCATTTGTGAGTGAAAAATGGGGTTTGCAGTAAAATAGATGGCGGATAGATTGTTACACTGAAGAATCGGTATCTGATGGAATGCAGTGCCATATTCTTTGATCAGGTGCGAACTCAGAATTTCTTCTGTGGCATTAATTGATTCTTGCTATTCAAATTCCACATCAGAACTAGCTATAATTTGTTGTTCTCTGAGCTCCAAAACAGAATATTAGTTCCAAGAAATGCACTAATTTAAAAAAAAACTAACTGAACGCCAGTCACCTGCATCACCAGTCCGGTCTGCATTCTAGAAGGCTCATAGGTCAAGGAAGTGGGTCGACAAAGTCGTAAATCATATATTTAATACTTGATTAACCGCATATGAAATATATATATATATATATATATATATATATTTTGATGTGGGATCTGTAATTCCGTTGCATTCCAAGGTGTACCATCCATGGCCGAAAGTTTTGAATCACCTATAGCTGTTGTATGTAGTAGTTTTGCATCCAGCATCTTGGTGCATTGAAGCAAATTATGAATAGATCTTGATTTGGCGAGAAGGAGATTTGCCTTGTCCCATTGATCTTCAATTTCTGGGAAGGAACTGAGAGTGCTGGGCCTTTGTGGAAAATGTCTTGCCAAGTGCTTCTACCAACTTGTTGCAGGTAGCACTCTTACTGCCACTCTTAAAGATACCGTCCAAGAACTAGAAGAGCAAAATATTGAAAACAGCACCATGTATGATGAGTAATGATGAATCTACCTTAAAATAATGAATGAGCTGAATTGGTGGAGCCATGCTTGTGGAGCTTTCTTAGATCATACTAAAGAACTAAGAAGGAGGCAGAAATGTTGTGGTCTAGTTGGATCAATAAAACTTGACGGTTCTTTCATTCCACACAAATGTGCATTATGATGGGCATTCTTGACATCGAGCTGTCAAATGGGTCAGTTTCTGGAGATGGATATTGTAAACCAGATGGAGTGGTCACGACCGTGTCTAAATTTTTCTGCATAATCAATGCCAACTTGTTGATTTAATCCTTTGGCAAGAAAGCGACCCTTGTGGTGGTCAATGGTCCCATCAGACTTGCTCTTGATCAGATACATCCATTTTGTAACCATCTGACATGCTGAGTGGGACACGGAGGAACGAGAATCGAAAGTTCTATCACTGATTAAAGTGTGGTATTACTCGGGCATGGGCCTCCTTCCAGGAAGCAAACTTCTATGCTATTAGGAACATATATTTTCGAGGGGGCAATGCACCTTCTTTGGAACATATATTTTGATTATATATAAGAGATGGGATTGGTACAGTATCTTGAGCGTATGTGGATACTTGCAGGTCGGAGAGGAGTTGCTAACTGGGGAGAGGGTGCTGAGGAGATCTCACCATCATGCTGAAGCTCACAAAAGGGTGATCCAAGAATGTTTTGACGACCATCTGCGCTACAACTAGGATCTGATGCAGAAACATTAGCTGTAGAAGACAGGAGTTGCCCGGGTTATGAATTTGGATAAAGATTGACTGGATTAAGGGGTGGGCCGATTGTGGTGTTGATGGGTTGAGTAGTGAAACTCATTTTCATTAAGAGTAAGTTTGCGAAGAGTAAAAATGCTGTCGGACTCGGGATCAAATCAATGGTATCCATGCCTTCATGTATATCTCTTCAAGAAATGGTCCAGACGAACCTGATCATCGATTAGGTTGGAGTGGAAAGGGAATGGGTTACTTGAAAGTTTTCATGTCTGTATTTACTCGAACCGCTGACGCTAACCCCTCTTAACTTGAGCACCATCACCATGAGTAATTGCCAGTTGTGTGAATAAGGAGAGCTTCGCATATTTCGTTTTGTACAATGGATTGATATTAGTATTTTCTTTAGATGAAATGGAGTTATCATACATTGGCGATGCCATTACTGCTGCCATTTGGAGTTATTTTTCGTTTTATGTATTTTTGTCAAATGCCAATGCATGCAGGAATATCTAGTTCTTCAAGGGAGGAAGATATCATGGCTGTTGCTACACCCCTGAGGGGTGCTGGCCGTTTGGCAAAAGAAGGCGCTCTTGGTACTGCAAATGCACCAGTCCATGTGGTCACGGCAGATACTGGCCATTTCAAGGAACAGCTGTGGCGGACCTTCCGCACCATCGCACTTGCCTTCCTTTTGATATCAGGTGTTGGCGCTCTCATCGAAGATAGGGGAATCAGTAAAGGTTTGCCACCCATCAATGGTGTTTCCAGCTCAGTCTTTTGGGGCTCTGTGGGAATTCACCTTCAAGCTAAGGAAATTCTCGTTGTCCCAATTTACAGGTCTTGGACTGAACGAGGAAGTGCAACCGAGCATGGAATCTAGCACAAAGTTCAATGACGTGAAGGGTGTCGACGAGGCTAAAGCAGAGCTAGAAGAAATCGTTCATTATCTTCGAGATCCTAAGGTATTCGTAATTTTGGATCACACTTCATTTATACTGTAGCGCAGTAAATCTGGATTCTTACCAGGGTTGGACGCTCTGATCATCTTGTCCATATAATCAAGCTTCTAAGCTAGTTCTGCGGGCTTGGGCAGACTCATATGATCTGACCTTGGTTTCCTGGTCTTCTGAGTCATGGTCTGTGTGGGGTTCGATCAATTTGGTCTCCTCATGGCAGGACCTGGCTCAGGGAATCCGGCCCTGTATAGAGAGAGACTCCTGTTGTCTTAGAGAAGTCTCTATGATTCAACCTAACTCGTGGGGTCAAGCCTTCTCACTGACGCTTTCCTTCTCTGCATTATCAGTATTTTCCTCTTCCCGGTCACCTTCTCCCACACATGATGGTTTCTGCCACATTTTTTGTTGTTGTACTGCACTCCCCCTCGCCCAACTGCCACCTTCCTCCTTTGTCCTCATCAAGTATAACTGAGCTGATCGCCACCATCACCTCCTCCCCATCCATGTCTTTTGAGGTTTATTCAACTTGAACGACATCCATATGTGAAGCCATTCGCTCCTTGTTATAGTCATGACTTAATGACTAGCTTGTACTGAAAAGCTGATTCCACTCCCACGCTCCCTTGCTTCTTTTAGTTCTGTTGATGCGGAAGACGGGGTTAGTCATGATAATATCCTTAATCAGGTTGACTCCCGATCTCTGCTTCTCTCTTTTTCATATTTTACTTTGTTTCTAAAAGTGCTGGAATTGGGTGAACCTCATCAGATTGGACGTCCTTGACACTATGACATCCTAAATAAATTTCCCTGTTTCATGCTTACTGAATTTCGGAATGCCTTTTATTCCAAAGGTTAAATTAAATTAAAAAATCAATCATTTCGGAAGTAGATATCCGCTCTCAATCTCTTTGGCATTTATGTGAATAAATTTTTTCTTTGACATCAGAACAAATTTCTAGCAAGAAGTTTTTGAGAACTTTTTATGAGCTGTAGTGGAGGAAATCTTGGTTAAGCTCGCATATGATTTCCATATCATCCCTGAAATGTAGAATGAGAGCTGATGGCTGTTCTTGATCTGTGCACATCTCATTTTAAGGTAATGTGCGCAATGAAACCTATACTGTCCGCTTACGTGCCTAGATTAGTCTAACGTCATAAGATGTAAAATGAAGTACCGTGGTTAAATAAATGGACCTCTCTGTTCAATGCTGCTTAGCTTTGAGTTGGTTGGCTCTGCAACTCCATGGATCCCTCTCTAGATGATGCTATTAGTTGTGGTATGCAATGAACATGGTCTGGAGTAGAGTTTCTTCACCTGTCAGATTGTTCTTTCTTAGAGAGAAAATAAATAAATATCTGATATATCAATGATTTCCAATAATTATAATCATTAATAAAATATGTTCCTTTCCCAGAATTTTTTTTTTTGGGTGAAAAATTATCTGTAATCATGTATTATTATCATGTCTGGTGGAACTTGACCTTGTTGAAGTATTCCTTCTGTGTGGAAGAATGAAGTTGGATGACAATTTGTGGGTCCCACTAATGATCCTGTTCCACTCATATGATCATCGATTATATTTGCCTTTATCAACTTCAAACAGGATGATGATATTTGGAAGCTTGGTATAGGATATCAAATATTAATAATATTTTTATTTATTCACTGTCTCTCTTATTTTCACTGCATCAGCGGTTCACGCGCCTGGGGGGCAAGCTCCCGAAGGGTGTGCTGCTCGTGGGCCCACCCGGTACAGGGAAGACCATGCTGGCGAGGGCGATCGCGGGGGAGGCGGGGGTTCCCTTCTTCTCCTGCAGCGGTAGCGAGTTCGAGGAGATGTTTGTGGGCGTGGGGGCCCGTCGAGTGAGGGACCTCTTCTCGGCCGCCAAGAAGAGATCCCCCTGCATCATCTTCATCGACGAGATCGACGCCATCGGCGGGAGCCGCAACCCAAAAGACCAGCAGTACATGAAGATGACCCTCAACCAGCTGCTCGTCGAGCTTGATGGCTTCAAGCAGAACGAGGGCATCATCGTGATTGCTGCCACCAACTTCCCTGAGTCCCTTGACAAGGCCCTGGTCCGCCCCGGCCGTTTCGACCGCCACATTGTCGTCCCCAACCCTGACGTCGAGGGCCGTCGGCAAATCCTCGAGTCCCACATGTCCAAGGTACAATTTTCAAAGGCCACCAGCCTGTGGTTCCACCCATTTTTTCATCTAGATAGATAGATAGAGAGATCTAGAGAGAGAGAGAGAGGGAGAGAGTGAGTGTGATCTTGTTTTTTGGGTGCAGGTGTTGAAGGGGGATGACGTGGACTTGATGATAATTGCGCGGGGGACCCCGGGGTTCTCGGGGGCGGACCTGGCAAACCTGGTGAACATAGCGGCACTGAAGGCGGCGATGGACGGGGCCAAGGCAGTGACCATGGAGGACCTGGAGTACGCCAAGGACAAGATCATGATGGGCAGCGAGCGCAAGTCGGCGGTGATCTCTGACGAGTCGCGGCGGCTCACGGCGTACCACGAGGGCGGCCACGCCCTCGTCGCTATCCACACCGACGGCGCCCTCCCTGTGCACAAGGCCACCATCGTACCCCGCGGCATGGCCCTCGGCATGGTCGCCCAGCTCCCCGACAAAGACGAGACCAGCGTCTCCAAGCGCCAGATGCTCGCCCGCCTCGACGTCTGCATGGGCGGCCGCGTTGCAGAAGAACTCATCTTCGGCGAGAACGAGATCACCTCCGGCGCCTCCTCCGACCTCCAGCAGGCCACCTCGCTCGCCCGCGCCATGGTCACCAAGTACGGCATGAGTCGAGAGGTTGGCGTGGTTGCCCACAACTATGACGACAATGGGAAGAGCATGAGCACCGATACGCGCTTGCTCATCGAGAAGGAGGTGAGGGAGTTCCTGGAGAGGGCATATGGGAATGCCAAGTCCATCTTGACCACACATAACAAGGAGCTCCATGCGCTTGCTGGCGCACTTTTGGAGCACGAGACCCTCACCGGAAACCAGATCAAGGCCCTCCTTGTGCAGGTCAGCGGTACCGCCGAGCAGCAGCAGCAGCAACAGCAGCAGCAGCAGCGGCGGCCGGAGGAGGAGCCGGCGGCCGCCATGCAGGGCCCGCCATCGGTGGCGTCGGCTGCTGCTGCCGCCGCCGCCTCGGCTGCGGCCAAGGCGAAGGGTGTGGCCCAGCCGGTGGTCGGGTCTTAGCCCTTCAGAAGATTTTGCTCTAAAGATTTCATTATGTATAGTGATTTCTGCTGTATGGCCTTCTTTCTGCAAGCTTAGTATGGATGGACGCTTGGGAATTCAGGTATTGCTGCCTGCCGCCTCGCTTCAAGTGTAAGAGTCAGTTCATATTCTCTCTCTCTCTCTCTCTCTCTCTCTCTCTCTCTCTCTAGATCCGTAACTGGGGTTGAAGCTGATGCTGTAGAAAACTGGGGCAATGCTTGTGAACTTTTTTTTTTATACAGGATGTGGGTATCCTACTATTGACGGAGGCCTATTTTCTTTCCTTTTCATGGGGATTGTCCCCTCGAAATACCCACCCTCTTTGACTGTTCTACCAGTTTTTTACTCGCCCAAAGGACCACAGTTCGGATTGGGTGGGCCAATGGACCATAGTCATCTCTCTCTCTTCCTCTCTCTCTCTCTCTCTCTCTCTCTCTCTCTCTCTCTCTCTCTCTCATGGTTACGTCTGGACTGGGCTGCGCTTCGTAGCGCAGAGCCCAGTTTTGTGGCCATTTCTCCAGAGTCAGAGTCAACGGTTGACTGATGTTAAAAAAAAATATATATATTATTTATTTTCTGAGAAACTTTGGCCAATCGGGTTTGATAACGGGTCTAAAACGAACCACTGAATCTTACGTTCTTTTCCTCGAGTCGAAGCTGAACTGTGATTTATAAGGCGGAGGAGCGAAAGGAGTTCCTCGATCGCAAGTGTTCCTCTCGGCGATCTCGGAGGAGGATACGAGATAGCAAGGCGGATCCTCGCCGGCGCCATCGTGTTAGCATCTTCTATCTCGACAATGGTAAGCAGGATCTGGATCTGGAGCTTCTTGTCGGGATTTTTGCCGCCTGAATTCGGGCTAGGGTTCGGGAGCTCGATCTCCTTAGGGTTTTGGTTTGTAAGCTGCTCGCCATCGGATCTGATCCGGATGGGAGGTCCTCTTTCTGGCCTCCCTCGGTGAAATGCGCAGGCGAATTCCGCGAAGCCCATATCCAGCCCCGTTCCACAAGAGTGGTACCCGACGCTGGCCTTTTTCATGCTCGCCGTCGGCCTCGTTGCGACTGCCTCTTTCTTTATGTAAGGCCAGAAGTTTCCTTTCCTCCGCTGTTTTCTGCAAATTTAAATTTACTTTTTAGTCTGATTTTTAAATCTACTTGAATGATCGCAAGAAAACAATTGCCGATCCATCACAGAGGATGAAAATTTCCAATCATCGATGCTAATAAGGTTCATAATTACTATACAAAGCTTGGGAGGGTTCTCGAGGAATAGTTTCTTGGAGAATTTGTATCAGATCAATGAGCTATATAAACTTAATACTTCCAGTTGGTTGGTGTTCGGAATCATTTCATATTTCTCCGTTTTAAAAAATAAATAAATTATGCTTGTTCAGTATATACACAGCATAAAATACAGTGGAACGAACGGGAAAGATCTTTGTTCCTGGACACCAATACTTGGGATTTGGTGGATGATGACGAGCAAATTTAAACATGGCCATATATTTTTCTGACTATCTTCTTCTCGGACTATATCTATATATGGTCTGCTTTTGCTTTAAAAATGTGAGAATGCTGGAGATCAATGATGGAAGCAAAGGCCATAGCTGAGAATGCTCAGGCTGGGGATAGGAGACATGGTTATTTCCCATCAACTAGGCCAAAACTTAAAGTGGGCACACGAGATTCGGACTGGCTTACCTCTGGTAATTTTCAAAACAAGACATCATCTTTAACGAAATGACAGTAAAAGTTTTGAAATTTTTTGCCCTGGGTAAGCAAAACTGCATAGTTCTCTCTGAGAGGAAGATGTAATTTATGAACAAGAAGGCATTCTATTCGACCACGTAAGGTGACTGGCGACTAACCTTTGGTCTTCCATCTTGATAACATATAGATTTAACTAAATAGGACACAGGAATATATGCTTGAGATCATAGCTTTGTTGAATTTTGAAACTTGTGAATGAAATTGATTATATATATTTGCCACATGACTTGATCCAAGAGGCGTGTTGAGGCTACAGATATTAGTAGTAAACGATCATCATATGACTTGTGATTAGAAAGGAAAATATATGTTCGTTTGTATTCAGTTTACCGCATATACATTTTTCTGTATTTCAATTTCATGTATCATGGTAATGGTTCACAGTGGCTCCCTTTTCTCGCAAACCTGCTTTTTTCTGTGTATACTAAATAGGATCTTAGGTCAATTTCATTTCTAAAAGGAGTTTTTTTTTCTTTCTTTCTTTCTTGGGACCTTTCCCTTTGTTTCCTGAAATTTCTCCCTTAAAGGAACTTGTCAACTTCATAACTGATGTAGCCCTAAGTGCTTCCTAGTGCTGTTTGTTATCTCGTTGACTATCTTACGTACCAGAGGGCAATGATATTTATGCACACGGCAGATTATTTCCCTTGTGATTTTCAGTCCCCTTACCTTGCGTGACTTCTCTTTGGGATGAACGAAATCCTCACAGTTTGACATCGTTTTGACTCATTGATCTTTCATCCCCGAGTTGACCAGACTCATATGAGTTGACTCATGCCGAACCTTACCCGTAATGAAACTTGGCTGAGTTGACTCATTGATCGTTTTTTTTTTTCCTCACATCGGGCCAGCATTATAATCAATCTAACCCCTTTTGTTTTCCTTTTCTTTTATTTTGTTAGCTACGAAGCTACAGTGTCCAAGAAAAACCGCAGCGTGTTGAAAGAGCTTTCGACAGGCGCCGTTGCATCTGTCTTCTTGGTACGCCAATCTTCTTGATTTCCTTTTTATTTTTTTTTCTCCTCCTTTTTACCTTTTTTTTTTTTTCTGAAAATATCTCCACGGCAGGGTTTCGGATCTCTCTTCTTGCTGCTCTCAGCTGGAGTCTACGTCTGACTCGGAGAAATACCTGTCTTCCATGAGCTACCCTTGCTGGCAGGATATGTCTCGACTCTACTCCCTTTGGTAACCTTACCCCTTAACTAGACCATGAGAGATCTCCTAAAGCAGGCATCTTTTAGCCGTAATAAGATTGCTATAAATGACAGGGAAGTAGAAACAAAAAAGGAAAGATCACCGAGTGAACTTACCTGAGTACTGTTATGCTGATGATCTGGAGAGCTCTAGATTCTATTAATATCATCGAGTATATCACCAAAAGCCGCATAGCCCTCGAAGGCCTCCTCTCCACCTTGTTCCCTCCACCGGGCCAATCTCACCGAGAGGTCCTTCAGCATGATCTCTCCCTCTCCTCCGCCGTCCTCGGGCCGGGACCGGGATTGGAGGAGCTCTCTGACACACATCAACAGGTACCCAGATGTCTTGCTCCTCATAAGATGAACGAAGGCGGTAGTCTCGCCTTCTTGGTCGAATAGTGCAGTAGAGATCTCTTCAATGTGGTCAAATAGGCTGAACACGAGGGCCGCCCCTCTCAGCGGCCACTCACCGGAGGTGCTCCGAGTCTTCACAGGAAGGAGTTCTCCTGTTGCGGCGTAGTTGACCAAGAGGGCGAACTCCCCCTCATCTAAAAGACCTGAGTGGGAAGTCAATATCCCCAAAGGAAGTCTCCTGAACAGCGGACTTGACCTGGGGTCAACGATTTCCATTGTTCTCACCTCACTCTGCGACTGCCCAGCGGCCGCCCCGTTGCAGAACTCTTCGTAGCGTTCATGGAATTTCCACAGCCAGATTTCGGCCCCTGTTCCTTCTCCTCCAGCTGCCTTCCTCTTCCTTAGTTTTTTTCGCCCAACAGACCCGCTCTTCTCGTGGGCCCTCAAATCCGACGACGGAAGCGACCAGAAGCCCGAAGAACTAGTCGCCGCCCACGACCGTGATACTTCGCCCAGAACGTGACAGCAGAGATCGAAGCCTTCTTCCTTCAGTGGGCTTAGAACGAATGCAAGGTATCTCGAAGCAGCTTGCTGCAGGGTCATCTCGTTTCCTATGAGCTTCTCTCCACGGAAGATCAGGGCAGCCGCGAAGTCAAACCAAGAGGGGAAACTCATCAGCATGGCCCTTCAACATGAGTCAAACATCGTCGATTAGAATTGCATACGTGATATCAAGAAGAGAAGAGGTGGCGAAAGGAATCCCTCTTACCAAGTGGAGTTGCAGTCTATTCTAGGGAGATGAGGTGTTGCCACGTGGATCTTTTGGCTGGGAGGGGCAGGGTGGGGTTCGATCAGTTTGACTAAATTGAGAAGACCGTCGCAGGAGGTGGGTTCGGTCAACGCGGCCAGAAGCTGAGTGTGACAGGTGGGGAAGTAGGCGTGGAGAAATGGGAGTTTCAGGGCGAGCTCCGTTGAGAAACCCCACCACATCGGCCTGGAGAGAGCATCTAATAAGGATGACACCAGCGCGATTTGAAGATCATTGACAGAAGCCAGGCCTCTGATCAAGAAAAAAAGAGAAAAAACTTATAAGATCAATAAATTGGATCAAAAAGGAAGTTTCATATAATATCAGTGCGTTTTGTGTGGTTATAATTCGTATATAATACACCGAAAATGATGGAAAAAACAGCATCTAAATTATTGATTCAAGGTATGAATGAGATGATATATAACACCAAACAGAGTCCAACGATAAGCTTGTTCAAACACAATGATTTTTTTTTTTTGGATGACTAAAGAGACCTCTAACTGAGCTGGGCCCACTGGATCTTGATGAACAACCTAGGGACATTTTTGAGAGAGGGTTTTTTAATGTTAAGCTTCTGAATTTGTGGCATTCATCTCATAGATCTGGCATCTCTTTAATTGATCATATACTTGCGTATTTATTATTTAAGATTAGGGAGGAGAATTGGCATCAGAGAGATTTCATCTAAATAAATCAAGCACAGTCATATTCGATGCTATACTACTCATATGTATGCATCTTATTCTCACATCTATTTCCATTTGTCTTATCAATGTTGCTAAAGATCTAAAGTGGGTGCAGAACAATGAATGAGAAAAAATGGGTCCACTAGAGAAAATAAAACTTGAGCGCTGATTCACTTTCCAACATGAAAATAAAATATTTGGATCCAAGGCTCTCACCAACAATATAATACAAATCATTCTATTGGCAGAATAAACTTAAGATATAAACATTGAAGAATCTCAGAGTTGTTCCTTCTGCTGTTGTCCATTAATCATGAATTTACATCAGCAAGATGTGAAGAATGCCTTATTGAATAGTGATATTCTGAGTGCAATGCTTCCGTCGAACATGTGTCACAAGGCAGTGTGTAAGTTAGATAAAGCACAGTACAGTGAAATGATTTCTAGCATGATTTGAGAGAACATGTGGCCTTGGTCAGCTTTGATTACAAGAAAAGTTGTGGATATCACATTTTATCTGTATAACGAGAAGGAAGAGAATGTTTGCATATCGATTGATTGTGGATATGTTGATGACTTAAGATCATAATGAAGAGGGGTTCGCTCTATTGCAAATAAAACTTGAGAAGGAATAAGATACCGGCGATTTGGATCATATGAGATGCTTCCTAGGTATTGAGATGGTGAGATCATACATAGGAATACGAAAACCATGATCCCAGTTGAAGAAAATCATTGGTTAAATGCACGAGAGGAGAGAGAGTAGATTCTCTTCGATGCTGATATGGGAACTATCAAACCCCGTAGATAAATTTTCGGTGTCATTCTTCTTCCCTCTTATTCCTATCATTCTGAATCTTACATGCTGATATTTGTAGTCTGCCCAGAAATGTTGTGTGTGCATCTGGCGCCGAGCTATCCCCGCAGCTCTATTAAAATGCTTCATTCATGAGCCACTGAATCCTTTCGCATCATTTGTAAGCAAACGAGCTGACACTTACCCTTTAGATATGCTATGAGATATTAAGTCAAGCCTAGTTTTCAATGTAGATGACTGGTTCCCATCAAGACAGCACCTTTGAGTTTTCTATACAGTCTACAAGTTCCTTACCAATGAATACATATGCCAACATCTATTTTCAAAAATCTTAAAATCAGGTGTCAGTATATTTGACTGTTCAACATAGACCCGCAGAGCATATCTTCAAATGTAAGAAAGGAAGCAAAGATTTCAAGCACTGTTGTCAACTGTTCTTTGTATTTTTTTGGAGAAAGCCGACAGTTTTTAGGTGCTAGGGAAGGGCCCTTCATTTGTTATGCTATCGGGTTGGCATATTGTCGAATTGAGGACCCAAAGATCAAATTTTCCGAAATATTTCTATAAATGGAGGCAATTGTTACTTTAAGGTAATCCTGGTTTCTCATTGGGCGCAGATTTTCTTGATCACCAACTTTTTTCAGAACCAGTTACGAGCGGTTTTTGAAACAATGCGCAGGAGATCTAAGTGAAGCATTGAAGACTCTCAGTTTAGAATACATGGATAGATAGCAATCTAAAGCATAATCACAAGTTGGATAATCAGTAAATGTGAAGCGAAATAAGCAGAACTTACGTCATAAGAAACCATTTATGCAATAAATCCCTGATCAGTGTAAATGCAGTTGGAGAAGTTACCAAACACATAATTAGAATACGCCAAGTCATCCTCTCATGAAATTCATCCTTCAAACAAAGAAATGGTCTGTGAATGACTTCCTTAAGTAAGTTTGAAATCTCATCTTTAAGAAGTGATGGATCAAGGTACCACAAAAGTAATCTGCAAGAAGACCACAAACTTATTCGTGACCCTTTGGACAAACACCTGGGCAGAGAATTATATGAAGAGATAATGATCCATCACTTGGGGAAATTAATTAATAGATGAAGATTTGGATTTTTTCATGAAACACGACATGAGCATGTGTAACATTAGAAAGGATGAATAAAACCTCAGAGTTATTTGCGACAAAAATACACACGGTTTGCAGCTATGCCATAGTTAAAAATACAATCTACATTCAATATTTCCATTTAAGAGACAAACATGATGAATGTTCTCTAAGGTATTAACCAGAGAAGGACTAAACTGCGTTTCATGAGGTGAGCGTAGAGTAGGTAGAAAACTCAATGCTTTTGTCTACTTATGTAACTATCCACTGAACTGGTCTGCCATGGTTACCCAGGTTACCAGGTATTACGGTTATGGTGCCTTTCATCAGTCAAAATTTATTTTCCGCTCTGTTAAACACGTTTTCTTATTATATGTTAAAGAGTAGGTGGGAAATACCAAAGGTTAGGTGAAGTACTTTCTGAATATGAAAGACGATCAACTAAATTTTGAGACAGCAAATGACCATCTGTGATGGAAACTGAATATGAATATTGTCGTCTAAGAAATACCATCAAATACAATATAAAATGTATATATATATATATATATTTTCTGAGAATAGGCAATCAGAATATAGAGTTCTACACATTAAAAAGAGAAGGAAACACAGACTGGTCTTCCTGTTATACAAATGAGCAGGGAATGCAAGATAACCTACACAAATCCTTATAAAAGTTGCATTCCTACTTTGATCTTGCTGACAATCACACATGAATTGAATATCTAAATGTGAAGATAAAAAATAGAAATGTCATGGAAACCAACCAAGGGTGGTGGAATAATAGATCATGGCTCGGTTGACTCGTTTATTAAAGTTAGTAGAAAAATACGAAGCTCTTCTCACGTGTCAAGAATAACTTTGTAGTACCTCAGTGGAATTTCATCACTCATCTCAGATGTCTCTTCAGGTATTTGAGATTGCATTTCCAAAATGACAGAGCTTCTACTGACTCTTGGGATTTCACATCTCTCATAATATGCAGAGGAAATGGGAAATAGACTCTGATAGTCAGATGCTGATACAGCTACCTTTAGCACACCGCAAAATAGAGGGCGATAAAGAACTGCAAAACAGTGAAGAGATAATAAAGCATAGGAAAGACGATAGTTTTTTTGAAGACAATTATTTTTTTTGAAAATTCCGATGTTGGAGAGAGACCATCAAAACTTACCGTGTCCTTTCAAACTGCCGAGAACATCAATGCATGCCCGGATCAGTTTCTCAGTGTCGGCCAAACAAATTGAGCTGCCAACCCTCAAAATCTCCACGCCCCTCTTGTCAGCTTCACCACGGCGGAGGACATTACAAGAAACTGATGAGGACAGAACCGATACCAAGGTCTTGATGACGGTATCAACAGTGGAACCATAGACCTAACATATTCCGGACAGCGCATCCCCACCGCATCAATCACCTCGAAGACGAATTAATTACTCGAATGCAACAAAACAGGAAAAAGAACACAAAGAAGAGAGCTACCTCGCTTGCTCTGTAGCACATGAGCGACAGTGCCGCGTCCAAAACCCTAGTTCCAGATGCTGCCTCCGGACTCGGTCTGAGGAAGTCCACAAGCGACGAAGCGACGGTCCCAGCGACTTCCTCATTCTCACCGCCATCGATGGGGCGGCGTATGGCGACGGCCAACTCTCCAAAGAGTCTGGTAACCTCAGCCAAACCGCCCATGCAGCTCCGCAACTCCTGCACCACTGTGGAACGACCATCTGTGTCCTCAGGAGTGCACTTATTTATAGTTGCTGATGCCCCCACGATCATATGACCGTTATTCGCTCTCTTGTCGAGGAATCGGATCAATACTATCGGGTCATATCCGACCCGTCATTTATCGGTGTCCTTATATAGAAACCCAAAAAGGCTGGCGAAGGGGATCGTCTTCTAGATTCTGATTCTGTCGGCTTGTGGAGTTCCTTCTCCCGCTCTTGAGCATCATCAGCTTCCCTCGTCTCCTCCCGATACCCCCAAAAGGCCTGTGGATCATAGGGAAAGCTGGGGATTCTTTCCTCTGAAGCGGCTAGAGAGGCTTCGCGACGAGAGTAGAGCGGGAGACGGCGTTTGGATTTGAATCCCGCAACTTGCCGGAGACGCCGTCGCTGTGACTGATTGAAGCTGATGCGAAAGCTGTAGTAGGAGCAATCGGAGAGGGGTTGATTTAGGCTGTTTCCTGAAGTGAGGGGCCTGATTGAGGACGAGGGTGCCGGTGATCCCTTTTGGGGAGAAGATGGATTACGGCGGAGGCAGCTGGATGATGGTTCCCAATGAGAGCCCCGGAGCACAAGACCTCCATTCAATCCATGCGCATAGGCAACAGATACAGTTTCAAGACCCTCAGCAACAGCAGTACCAGCAACAGCAACAGCAACAGCAACAGCAACAGCAACAGCATCAGCAGCAGCAACATCACCAGTCTCTGGCTTCGGATTTCCATCTTCTTCACGTAGATTTTTCCTCTAGTAGGCTAGGACATTTCCATTTCAAAACTGAATTTCTCATATTTAACATCAGCTAAACACGGTTTGAAGTGTACGGTGAAAAAAATAGAAAAAGAGGACCTTACTATATAGTTGAATTTCTTTAGTTCCGCTTAATCAAATTGCATGACCTGAGTCATTTTTTCAAGTGAATAAAATAAAAATTCCATATTTCCTTAAACCATCCACAAGTGTCCACCGACTCATGGCTATATATTTGTAAGCATCAAAGGTGGTTATGGCTTGGAGGCCAAAATGTCTGTTGTCTAGGTTCTTCACTCGTGCATGAATTATCCTTATTAGGTTAGAGCTTGCTGTGGTAATACAGATGTAAAGACTCAGATGATACATTTTTTGTTCAATTTATGGGATCATATAAGGGTAAATAATAGTGGGGTGTGACGAGTATGAGGGCTTACAGGGATTTAATAAAAGCGCACCATAAATTTTTCATCATTGATGCTTATTTTATTTCATGAGATGACCAATTCCTTGGATATTTAGTCCGATTATAAAGTGCTTATTCCATTTACTCTCATGGTTGTCGTTGATGAATCTTTCTTTTTGTTGTGTACGTACTTTTTACCATAACGTTAATCAACTTGAAGTACATACATCAACTTTGGTTTTCTGTTCCTTTTACCTGTCATCTTCGTAACACTACACTAGAAGCATTTTATATCATGCTACAGCCTTTGTTTTGAGGGCACGTGTGCTAATTTTTATATTTTAGCAGGCAACATAATTTTGAACATAATAGTTGAATTAACTATTACTCTATTTTTGTTGAACTACCATATTCGTTTTGATATGGAAGCTCTTAGGTGACGGAACATCAGATAAACAAATGTGCACTTGCTTCCTGTGCTAATTTTCTGCATAGGAAATAGTATTATATGTTCTTTGAAACCTCTTTATCACAAGTTACATTTTCTTCTCTTTGTTTCAAATTGTGGAAAATTTTATTGTTTCATCTTTCATTTTTCAGATTGTCGAAAGCTTAGCTGGTGCAATAGAAGGTGGGTCACGTGACCAACAGTTGGATGCTCTGGTTGGTATCCTTTATCCACATCCAAAACAAATGCTTCCTAAGCCGAAAGTGTCACTTTTTACGATTGCATGCGCTTCCTTTACGTTGGCATCTAAATTTCGATTCGTGAAATCTTAGATTTCCACAAGTTACCTCGTTTTCTTGGTTTATTAGTTCATAAGGCAAGATTATGCTCTTCAGCAAATTGGAGGTCCTGGCTTAAGTTCGTGAATGTCGGTGAATGTATTGTATATTATATCATGATTCTCCTTGATGCTCTAATTAACAGTCTCCAATTAATAACTTATCTGTTTCCTTATATTTCCATTTTTTTTAATTTTTTAATTTTTAGTTTCCTCTTTTTTAAAATAATTGAAATCCTGTGTTGCACAGAAAATAGATAGTCATATTTAGTCACTTGGATATCTCCTTCTTTTTGGAAATGTTCAGGCCTCAAAGGTTAAGAATTGGTTAATCTTAGATAAATAAATATGATCCAATAAAAAAAAAACTCGAGATGAGGAAATTTGATAATCTACAGGCGCTTGGCCAGAGCTGGCTTGCCTCTACACGAATTCACAGCAAGTCGTTTGTGTCAATAGCTGTATGGCTTTAAGAGGCCTTGAAAACCTAGCCTCTGTGTTTATCTAAACTACTGAATTTGTGTTATGTTGTTTGTGTCACATCAAATGTCCAAATCATGCATTGCTAATCTGTGAACAGTATTAATTTCAAAGCTCACCTTTTAGTGGGATCTGGAGGATGCAAAGCTTGCCTTCTTTGAAAAGAGTGAGGTATAGATGAATCACGGATTGCTGGTTTGTGAACAATTCGCCTATTTAAAGGAGTTGAGGAGGGAGCTGGAAGATACCAAATTAACTTTGGTCTTCAGACACGAACAATGGAAGTAGATTCCCACAAAACAGTTTGATTGCAAGATTTTTGATAAAACCTTGTTTCTCTCCTTTTCGGTGGCTGTGTTCAAACCAGTGTATTGATTTTACGTCTTGAGTGCTCTCCTATCCTTTAAACAAAATGTTTTTAACGCAATGCCTGAGAGGGAGGGTAGCCTACAAGCTTGAGAGTAATGACAATTTTTAATTAAAATAATAAAGTAAATTAATTCGCTATTTTTTTTAATAAAATAATTATCTTATTTATAAAATTTATTAAGATATATTTATATTTTTACACTTTTATTTAATTCAAACCTGCTTATGTAAATTTTTTAAATACTTTGATGAAGCCAGTGTTCATTGTATGTGTGCATCGTTATTTCTCAAATAGTTTTGGTTTAATTTGATATTTAAATATTATTTTCTAACATTTATAACAAGGCATTGCCAATCGTCTCTGCTGCTTGTTACCATGCCATGAACTGGTTGACTTCCGCCATAAAAACCATGGATAAATCCTTGATACTTAACCATGCTGCATTCAGTTACTTTGTTTAGTACTTTCCTCTGTGAGGAATGCCTTTCTCTTGCTGTCTTGTAGGTTAATGAGTTGACCAGCCACTTCAATAACTGTCAGCAGCTGCTGAACTCCATCTCAGGAACCATTAATGCAACACCTGTGGTAACCATCGCTCCCTCTCCCAGTGGAAATATGCAAGGGAATTCTTCATGATTTACATTGTTTGATGATCTCTATAACTGAATATAGTCAGTATCTTATCTTCTTACCTTATATAAGATCTCGTTTTTTCATTATTATCTACTATTTTTTTTTCTAATTACATATCTGCACATGCTATTTTGCCCACCTAACCATATTATACATATTCTGGTAATTTTTTCCTATGAAGATGAACACTCTAACAGCCATATATCTCCATTGGGGCCTCCGCATACTTTGGTTGTCTACATACTTCGTATGATTCATGCTCAATTATTATTAAGATTATTTACCCTGTCTACTTCTTCATGGCTGGATATTAAGCCAACTTCTCAGGAGAGAAGCGTCCATCGCATCAGTGTTTATGTCTTCTGTCTATCTTCATATCCACACGTTCTTCATTTTTTTTTTAGGTTTTTATTTGCAATAAATCAGATTAAATATCTCATAGATAATAATTTCTTATATGCATTTATCCATGTTTATACAATATCGACAGGGAGAAAATTTCCCATTCTGCCACTTCCACATGTTCTTCATTTTTTTTTTCTTTGCAGTAAATCAGACTAATTTCTCATATAGAAATTAATTTCTGATGTGTATTGTCCTGAAGTTCCAAATATAGGTTTATTTATCCGTGTTATAGGATAATATTCTTCATTTTTTTTCTGTGAAAATATTTTACAAAAAATGAGATTGATTTTTTCCATGGAAGAAATAATGTTTTATTTATCTATGCTGATCTGAGGATGCTCGCTTATTGTGATGAGTTTTCTGACAGACTGTCGAAGGCCAGAAAAAGAAACTCGAGGAAGCTGAGCAGCAGCTGAACCAGAGAAGGTTTGCTCTGAAATTGCTTCAGAAGTATATTCAGTCCACCTGTACTCCAGACTTCATCTCTCTTCGTTGACCTTTTTCAGGGACCTAATGAACAAGTACAAGAGCTGTGTGGAGGACCTTGTCAAACCAAACAGACAGAAATAGATTGGATCTCACTGCCCATTTCGTTGAAGTTTGGCAATTGTCTACTCTCTCTCTCTCTAACCATCTTGGTTCTTAGGGTTGTGTCCTTCCAAACTGCAAGAAATATAGCAGAAGAGGGTGTGGAGATTCAATCGTGACTGACATCAAGAACCACTGCTATGAGAAGGCTGACCTAGGTCTATATTACCTCCCTCTCTCTCTCTCTCTCTCTCTCTCTCTCTCTCTCTCTATTCTTCTCCTGTCAGGGAAGATGAGGGTTACCATTTTTGCTTGTGATGAACGGTGGGAACGTTGTAAGATACTACCTTATGCTTCATATGGTGCAGATCTCTCTCTCTCTCCCTAAGATGTATAAAAAGTCAGAGAAGAACGATGATTAAGTCAAATCCGCCGGGATCACGATCCTCGATCCTCGATCCTCGAGCTAGTAAAGAATGGTTCAGGCAAACCTTAAAATGCACCAAGATCAGAATGATGCCTCCTTGAAGTCAACAACAATTTATCTACAAGTAGAAATAATTTTATGAAGAAAATTACAATTCTAGTACGGTTGACTACCATCGATTTCACAGTATATCAGTCTTTATCCTATAAATATATTTAAATTGGTTATTATTTTTCTCCTAAGAACTTGACAAATTACCCAAAAAAAAAAATTAATGTCTTTTTACTTATATTGCAAAATTTACATCTTATAAATAGAGTTTGAACCTTTTTAGTCAACGTCCCTGGGAGGTCCAACCCGGGTTTGAGATGGGGGAGAGAGATGGGCTTCCTCCAAGCCCAAATAACCAATTGTCTTATTTAAACGTTTCTTTAATATTAAAATTGATTAATAATTCCTGCAAATTAAAACATCTTAAAAAAGAAAATTATAACATTTTAAAATTAGGAGAAAATAAAAAATCTCAAATATTTATTGCCGTGGACGAGACCTCTGCAACTCGCGGCCACGGGGAGGTGGAGCGGAACTCGAGGGCGGCTTTCGCCGGCAGACTGTGTCGTTCCTTCTTCTCTCTCGAACCCTAGAAGGAGGTCACCGTGGGCCGCCGCAGCTGGGGAGCTTCTAGGGCGGCGAGAGGAGACGACTGAAGGTTTGGTATTCATTGCCTCCGGCATTCGCGAGGCTTTGTTGGTTATCTGGCAGGGTTTCTGGGCGATATTTGCTCAGTTGCCGGGATTTCGGTATTGGTGAGTGTCGTATTCGTATCTTTCTCTGGAAGAATCGTGGCCCTGTCTGTTGAGCTTATGCTTTTGGAAGCCAATCATCTTTGAAGCTTTGCTATCATCTGGCTCGAAATTTCGCTCCTGTTTCCACTCGTCTGCGCTAGTACACCCTGTTATTGGTTTGTTGTTCTTTCTACTGAAAAGTTTTATAAATTCTTCTCTTCTATGCGTGCTTACGGATCCGCCAGCAATTTTATTTTGGAGTTAACACAAGAGCCATCATTGCTGCATTTCAAGGTGATGGACTGATCCGCAGGGTTACGTAGCTAATTGTCTCGCTTGATGGATTGTGAGGGGCTCAGTTCCAGTATTCCAGCGGTTGGCTAGAAATATTTGTAGATTGTTCTATAGTGTGGACGTACGATATTTTAAAAAGGCCTCGAGTCTTAATATCATATTTTAAAATTATTCTTCCTTTGAGAAATTCTTGTATAACCTGAATATGGATAATATGTACTTTTTTTCATCGAATTCTTTAAAAAAATTGTATAAGCTGGTTGTGTTCTAGCCTTCAAGCACTTGGTAAGCGTATATGAATTTTATTTTAATATAATCCTTGAATAAATCATTACTGAAATTGTCAGATATTCCTTTTTTTTGTTCTTGTGTCTTAATATAGTGCTAGAGTGATTTTTTTTCTTGAACTGTCAAAGGCTGAATAATTTTTTTTGGATAACATTTTCCTTTTTGTTTTTTCTTTACCAGCAGCATCTCACCAAACTCGGATGCAAAGCTTTGGACGATATTTTGGTGTCAGCGGAGGAAGAATAATAAGCATAAACAGAGACCGCCAAGAATCTATAAAATAGTCTTGGAAGGCGTGTTTTTTCTTTTAACCCCCCTCTCTCCTGAAGCACGTTGTCCGTCAATAGAGCTTGATGGCTTCTTTTTCTTCTCGCATTTTCAGAAAAACCAGATCCCTGTCGTTGGCTGTTAAAGCCCGACCTCTTTCCATCTCTGCCCACTCAGAAACATCTGAAAACTTCACTGTGGGCTCACGCTTTGTCCTCCACAGTCCATCGAAACCTAGGCTATCTGATCACTCGCATGTCCTCCTTTTCCCTCAGATTCGCATCTCAACCCTGCCTAATGGTATTCGGGTGGCCACCCAAACATCTCCGTTCTCTGCTACGCACACAGCTTCTGTTGGTGTTTGGATCGATTCTGGGAGTCGGTATGATGCTCCTGATGCAAGTGGCACAGCACACTTTCTGGAGCACATGATCTTCAAGGGGACTCATCGTCGCACAGCAAGTTCTTTGGAGGAGGAAATTGAGAACATGGGTGCCCGCCTCAATGCCTACACTTCACGTGAGCAAACAACTTTCTACTCTGATGTCCAAAGTGGTGATGTTCCGATTGCCATTGACATTCTTGCTGATATCTTGCAAAACTCAAGATTTCCTGACCATGCCATTAGACGGGAGCGAGGTGTTATTCTTCGGGAAATGGAGGAGGTAAATTTTTTCTCTTGTTTTGCTCTATGTTTTTAACATTCTCTCCATTTTTCTCCCTTTTTGTGTATCCATCCACAACTCTAAATTTATTTACGCATGGAATATCCTGGAAGTTTATCTGAACTTTATCTGGAATATTTATTTATCCATCTTTTGTATTTTTCAAATAAACAGGTTCAAGGGCAGATAGAAGAGGTACTTTTTGACCATTTGCATTCAGCAGCATTCAATAATCATCCTTTGGGAAATACGATATTAGGGCCTGAAGAGAATATCCGGGCAATTTCTAAGGCGGATCTACACGAATACATTTCCACTCATTATACAGGACCAAGGATGGTATTTCCAAAACAGATGAACTTTAATATCTGTTAATGATCACAAATGCTTCTTCCTCTCATTATATTCTGGTATGAAACAGGTCATATCAGCTGCTGGCGCGGTCAAACATGAGGAGATTGTTGATCAAGTGAGTAAGCTGTTTAACAAGGTGTTCCAAGATCCTACGACTGCCCATCAGCTTGTCAAGAAAAATCCAGCTACCTTCACTGGCTCAGAGGTTTCTTCGCTCATCAACTTCTCTTTGACAATACTGTCGATTTTGCCCTCCGAGTTTTCTCTTACAGCAATCAACTCCATTCCTTGACATCAGGTTCGGGTAGAGAATGCTAGCATGCCATTCGTGCACTTTGCATTAGCTTTCAAGGGATCATCATGGACTGATCCCAACTCTATTCCATTAATGGTGATCCAGAGCTTGCTGGGATCATGGAGCAAAGGTGTTGTCGGAAGTTGTTCTGGGTATATCACTATTTCTGCGTATGAGGACCTGATTGCTGTTGATTTATATTTTCTCACCCTGAAATTACGTTCAGTTGCGAGTTAGCTCACCGAGTCAGTGTGGAAGACTTGGCTGACAGTATAATGTCCTTCAATACCAACTACAGCGACACGGGATTGATAGGCATCTGCTTCACTGCCATGGTGAGCACTTTTTTTTCATTCGCTAGTCTTTCTCCCATCCTCCCGGTGCACTGTTCTGACAGCATAGGCGTATTCCAGTAATCATGTCATGGCAGATTTGGTAACGTATCTCTTGCAATGATGTACCGCAGTTGCTCTTTGAATTTCATCTATCTAAGATTTAATAGAATAATTATATTTTCATAGGTATTTGCTATAACTTTCTCCTTGAAATTGAAACAGATTTGAAGAATCATAATTTTTTTATTCAGGAATTTTCTTTTGTTCTTCCATCTCTTTCCAATACCAGCTTGCCTTCCGAATCAATCTTTTCAGTGATCCACATTCTATTTTTTCTCATTATTTCCCGCTTTATGAGAAAATTATCCTTTATTCCCATTGTTAAAATATTATGGGGGAGCTATGTATATCCAAGATCATCAAACATATACTCATGAAAACCATCTTACCATGATCAAAACTTGGGCATCGAAATTCATGCGGGGATATCAGTATAACAGCATGGGTTATAAAGTTGGAATTGACCCACCCTAGCATGGGACGGATACGACTTACTTCAATGAATGTTCTGTCTTTGGACTTTTGCATTTTTTCGCAGCCTGATAGACTTCAAGATCTGTCCCTTGTTATAATGGAAGAACTGAGAAGACTGGCTTGTGGTGTATCGGATGAAGAAGTTATACGAGCCCAAAACAAGGTGAGCAGAGCAGCAAAGTTGTCTGTTAGGAAGAATTTCTTGAAGAAAAATGGCGACAGGCGGATCTTGGATACTAATTTCTATAATCTCATTAATTTCTTGGGACTGATTTCTTGGGGACATTAATTTCCTTGTGCAGTTGAAAGCTGCCCTCTTGCTTCACATCGATGGAGCCAGTTCAGTTGCTGAGAACAATGGCCGGCAGGTGTGGCATGCTCTTTTCCTTTTCTTTTTTCAATTGGTATTTATATATATATATATATATAATGCATTAATGCCGTGGGGTCCGTTGACTTTCAGTTGCTGTCATATGGGAGAGTGATTCCGTTCCTTGAGCTCTTTGCCCGAATTGATGCTGTGGGGCCCGAGACGATCAAGGAGACGGCAAGAAAGTTCCTAATCGACAAGGCAAGGCCTTTTCTTTTATTATCATAATCTAGGATTCTTTGCCCTTAAAATACAGTATTTTCCTTGTTCGGAGCCCAGTAGGTTGGCCCGGCCCAAAAGCCCGACAGCCATACCGGGCCCGGGCTGGAATGTCCAGAAGGCCCGGTCTTGCCCAGGCCCACTGACGACCCCCAACCGTTCACCATTGGTCTTCTATTAGGCCTTGGCCCTCTGTCATGTATCTTCGTCTTGGGAGCTTGTCAAATAATCTTCACCGTCTGATATTGATACTACGTTTCAGGACATTGCGATCGCCGCCATAGGACCAATCGATCAGCTGCCGGATTACAGCTGGTTCCGTTCTCAGACTTGTCTGAAATGACTGGACCAAGACGTTGACTACGCTTTCAGCTTGGATGCTGCTTATGGGTGAGCTTTATCCCATCTAAATACCCTGTAGGCGTTGACTTTAATCACCCTGCCGTCTTTTTTTTTAACATCACTGTTTCCTCTCTGTTTAATGTATACGAGGACAATGGAAGAAATTATTTGGAATTTATCACTACAAAAGGCCATGGAATTCATTGGAATTACATCACTTTTTTGTCTAATTTTCACCCTTTCCCATGGATTAACTCCTTGCCAAATCTCTTGAGTTTAGAGAGAGAGAGAGAGAGAGAGAGGAGAGTTACACAGAGATTTCCTAAAGTGGCAGTTCATCTCATAATATTTCCTTAGAAAGTAAGGGAAATCCACAGAGATCATAGGGGCACCGAGGTCTCATGCCGATTCAACCAAGGAGCAGTCGTCAGAGGGAACTGCGGCCAAAGAAAGAGTTCGATGAACAGATTACGAAATATCCCATAATGATGGATGAACAAAGCAACATCGAAGGTTACGGCCTACTATGTGATTAAAAAATTACCGAAAAAAGCAAATTTCTTCATAGAGTAATCTACTGGGAGAATTCCTTTCTCGATCCATCCTCCGAGGTTTCAAATCCTACAGAAGTAGCTGCCTCACCTCTGCTGTGCCATCTCGGGAAGAATGCCAATGGGGGTTAGGGCCGAGAGAGCTATTGTGATTTGTGTTGTGCTTGGCCGAGGTCGTTCTTGTCTCCCCCCTTGGGTCCTGAGACGGCGGCGGTGGCGGCAGCCGTCATTGCGGCGGCTGCCGCCCCGATCTTCACGCCTCCTGCTGCCTTCATAGCTCCGGCAACTTTCGCAAAGGCTGCGATTCCGCTGACGAGGACGGCCCTCAGCACCACCGTCGGCTTCATGCTGCACGTTTCAAAAGTATCAAGCTCCGCGATCTATAAGGATCTTGAAGAGAGAGAGAGAGAGAGAGAGAGAGAGAGGGAGAGAGAGAGAGGTATGGAAGTCCGGTTGTTCAAGAGAGGGCTAGAGATGAGAGAGCAGTTCACCGATGAAAGAACTGCAGCAAGGATGGAAGTCTTGCAGAAGCTAACCTATTTTTTTTTTCCTATGGAAGAAGAACGACGACAGATTTGTTGCATCTGTTCATTCGGTGATCTATTTTCTCAATCGCGTTCCTCACTGAAACAGAGGTAAAACTTTGATATGTTCATTCGAGATTGTCTTCCTGATCGCCAATCTTTCCGAGGATCCCGACAGGAGCGGAGAGGAGATCGCGAGGGAAAGAGGAGGAACGAGATGTAGAATACAGATTTGAACCTTTACAGAGGAAGAAGAAGCTCGGGGGAAGCAATCCAGGAATGTCCATCGTTCATTTCACGAATCCAGAAACTCAGCATGAAGCTGGGATGAATAAATCACGCAGATCGGCTGGGGCAGCGGAGATTCCGATCATCATCATCATCATCAGGTCCTCCGCGCAGATAATCAAAACTGTGCGAGGAATCAAATCCTAAGGATCAGAGGGCGCACCTGCGGAAGAGCAGCTGATCCCAGGGCACTCCTCGCCGGCCTTCTACCGCTCGTATCGTCCTCTCCGGCCACAGGGAACGGCGACAGATTTGGGCCTCCGTCGCAGCGTCGTGAAGAGCTCCTGGACCGTCCGATCTTGGATGGACGGTGAGCGATCACCTTTCCACGACGTGGATGGTATCTCCCACCCTCACTGCAACGCGAATATTCCACGCCTCGGACGCGGGCTGACGTGGCCCATCCGGGCCGGGCTGGGTCCTAAGAAGCCTAGGCCCATCTCAGAGAGAAGGCCCGGAAAGCAGCCTCCCCATCAGATTTTAAATTATTTATTTCATTTAAAATGACAATGAACTGTCAAATGGAATAAATAAGTTTTCGGATCTGGGATTGTATCGAACCCGGGCTAGTGACCCCCTTCATTCTGACTGTTCTTCTCTCTTGTACGTATGGTAAGCGTGTGGAGCGATGCGCAGGAGGTGTCAGTGGTCTCTATTTCCCTGGTTCTCACCCCGGACAGCCACGACTGCGAGCTTCGTGCTGCTGAGGGTAGTCGTCAACGAGGAAGGTGATTGTGGATGGTAAAGCTTCGCGGCGACATGACTGCGGCGGCGGTCCCCACCGCCGCAGTTACTTCCTTGCAGCTTCTTCCTCACGGTCTCTCCCCACTCCGCGTCTCGTTGATAGTATTTTACTGATTGAGGATCTGAAGAAGGCCTGAAACTCGGAAGATTTTCCCGTCCGTCACTGGTCTTCTGGTGATGGCGTGGGGTCCGGATCCGTCGCCGCGAAGGAGAGCCTCTTGGTGTTCAGGACGCGGACGAATGGCGTGAGAGGGGCGGGCCGCGGCTCTCCCTGGCGCTTGCTGCAGCATGACGACGGTGAGCAGGTTCCGCTGGAGGGGGAACCAGATGCTGAGGTCGTTCTCCCATTCCTCGGCCGTGCTGTTCTTTCTCGGATCGGCTATCGTCGCCAGCTTTGTCGGGATCGTGTTCTTCTGGCTGGCTATTTCTTCTTTCCAGCGCCCTGAAGCTGGGGCCATCGGGTGCCAGCTGGACGGGGAGGGGTCGTGGTCCGTCGGAATTTATTATGGGAAAAACCCGTTCTCGCTCGTCCCCATCGAGTTGGTAGGCTCTTGATCCTTGTGGTTTTCATTTTTCTGTTTATGGTTTTCTTCTAATTATACATGCTCTTGGTTTTGTTCGATGGACAGGCTGACAAGCAGAATGGCAATAGTTCGGCATGGCCAGTCGCTAATCCAGTGCTCACCTGCGCGTCAGCGACTGATGCTGGTTTCCCTAGCAACTTCGTCGCGGATCCTTTCCTTTTCATTGAGGTATCAGCGATCCTTGTGGGATTCTTCGTGTCGATTTTGTATTTGCTGTGTTCGTTGTGGTTGAAGTTTGAACCAGAAAACTGTGGCCCTTGTGTTGTATTTAGCATTGAAAGTTTGGCATCGCAGCTTGTAACTGTACAAGTATGGAAAAATTATCTACAATTTGATTTCAAGGCTTCTAATGCTACGCCGTATTATGTAGATCATCATTTTTCAAGATTTGATTTCATGATTCCTTGGACGTAGATAACCTGCGCTTGTTTCTGGAACCTAAAGCATGCTGTAATACAAGCAGGATTATAATTGACTGGCCCAAGGCTTGCCGACGCTCTGACACAACATGCGTTCAGATGTGTTCTTATTTCATACATCTGAATCTGTTTTCCAGATGCCAAACTTATTGGGTGTGCGGACGAGTCGTCCACATCTTAGTTTGAGTGTTTGTATTCAATCACAATATTACTGATCTTCGCTGAATGTATTGAATACAACACCAAAAACAAATGGTCGCGTGTTAATTTTTGCAGAAGAAGAAGGAAAGTTCCTTATAAGAATTACTGTGTCTTTGGTTCATATACACTTTCCTGAAAGGTTTACTTGGATGTCTTTTGAAATTATTTATTGGGTATTCAACAACAGGAAAATCTAGTAAACAACTGGTGGTGGGCCGTTTCTGCCTGTATCTTTGTACAAGGTTTTTTGTTATACATTTTTTTGACAATATTTCGTCTTCATCTATAGTGGATTACTGTATATGGGAATGAGTTTTAATCTCGTACTTTTCTTTTCTGTTTCTGGATTTTGTTAACAAAATGATCTCTCTCTGAGTTATCTTATTATAGTATCTGCGACTGTTCTGATTACAAATATATTTCATACTGATCAATTATTTTTTGCTGGAAAATTTAGTTTTGCCCATTTTGGAATCCCAAAGAAACCATCTTTGTAGGCTGTGATGTGGTAATTTTTCAATTCATAAATGCTTTTCACTTATCTGTCCTCTTCATCTGCCCAGGCTCTCTGAGAAACAGTAATTCGTGATCTACATCATTTGTCTGTCTATGTCCTTCACATCAATGAGTATCATTGCTCACTTTCTTATAGGTGCCATCCGTTGCCTACATGCATATCCGAATGCTTAACCGAAAAATAAGCTATGCTGGTATCCTAAGTTCCCCACACAGGTCACAAGGAGATGTAGACTAACTTACGACTGTTCACTGAGGATAATCATTTTGGAATTAGTCAGGAGTCGAAAGGTACTACGATAGAGAAAAAAGCTTATGAAGATGAGCGTATCACAGCATGCAGTCTGCTAACCAGTGACGTCTCATATAGATTATATACAATAAACTGAGTTCAGAAAGCATCATAATAATATATATATTTTTTAGACATGTCATTTTCAAAAATGATTGCACGTAAACACCTCCTGTGGTAGAACATGCCTGTTGTCATTAAAGTTACATTTCCATGCCGCATGACATCGATCTTATTGTTTATTCTTCACTACTTTCAGGGAGATACTCTCTACTTGTTCTTTGAGACGAAGAGCATTGCGACAATGCAGGGAGATATTGGGGTCGCGAGAAGCACCAATCAAGGTGTCTCCTGGGAGGTTCTGGGCATAGCCCTCGACGAGGAATGGCATCTGTCCTATCCATTTGTCTTCAAATACAATGACCAAGTGAGCCCGACCAACCCAAGCATTTGTTCCCCTTCAGCCATTTGTTTCTCTTGACGGAAAGTAGTGAGACCCAAACATGCCAATAACTCCTTTCTGCTCTTGGACGAGATCATCTTCTTCCTCCTCCATTACCCGTTGCCTTAATGGGTCTGAATTTGTTTGTCACACAGGTGTATATGATGCCAGAGGGGAGCAAGAATGGGGACCTCCGCCTGTATCGAGCCACCAAGTTCCCCCTCCAGTGGACGCTGGAGAAGGTGCTCATCAAGAGGCCGCTCGTGGACACCTCCATGGTCAAGTACGACACGCACTACTGGCTGTTCACTTCGGATTTCAAACGCTTTGGTGTCGAGAAGAACGCAGAGCTTGAAATCTGGTACAGTGAGTCCCCGCTCGGCCCCTGGAAACAGCACAGAAGGAACCCCATCTACAAGTCTGGCAAGAGCTTGGGTGCCCGCAATGGCGGCCGCCCCTTCATGTATAGCGGCCATCTCCACCGCCTGGGGCAGGACTGTAGCGGAACTTATGGCCGCGACCTCCGTGTCTACCGGGTGGAGAAGCTCACTAAAGACGACTACGAAGAGGTCCCTGTCACCCTCAACGTCGAGAAGCCAATGAAGGGGCGCAATTCATGGAATGGCATCCGCCGCCACCACTTAGATGCCCAGGAGCTGCCATCTGGCGGCTGGATCGCCGTCATGGACGGGGACCGGGTCCCTTCTGGCGATTCAACACGGCGGTCCCTCCTGGGCTATCTATTCATGGTGCTCTTCTTCCTGGTCCTGGCAGCCGTCGGTTTCCTTGCCGGCGCTGTGAGCTGTGGCAACTTCGGCAGGAGGAACGACTGCCTCTGCTCCTTTTGGTCGCGTCCTCAGTTCACCATGAAGCTCCGGAGGACTTTTGCTGGCGTGAACCGGTATGGTGCCGCCGTCAGATGGCGGCTGAACCCTGCAACATGTTCTGGCAAGTTGGTCATCATCTTCCTCGCCATTGTCGCCATCGGGCTGATCTGCGCCGCTGAACATTTTCTGTTCGGGGGCAACGGCGCTGAGGAGGGCTACGCCCTGAGAAGGCACTACTCCCAATTCACCATGGTGACCATGACCTACGAAGCTCGGCTATGGAATCTGAAGTTCTTTATCAAGCACTACTCCCGCTGCGCCTCGGTGAGGGAGATTGTCGTCATCTGGAACAAGGGCAGGCCCCCGAGCCCAGATGACTTCGACTCAGCCGTCCCTGTCAGGGTCCGTGCCGAGGAGCACAATTCTCTCAACAATCGCTTCCGAGTTGACCCAGCGATCAAAACCCGGGCGGTGCTCGAGCTGGACGACGACATCATGATGACCTGTGGTGACATTGAGAGGGGCTTCAAGGCCTGGAGGCAGCACCCGGAGCGGCTCGTTGGCTTCTACCCGCGCCTTCTGGAGGGCAAACCCCCCAAGTACAGGGATGAAAGGTACGCCCGCCGGAGGAACGGCTACAATGCCATCCTCACTGGCGCCGCCTTCATGGACAGTGAGGCCGCCTTCCGGCGGTACTGGAGCGAGGCGGCAGCCGAAGGGAGGAAGATAGTCGAGGAGAGCTTCAACTGCGAGGATGTGCTGATGAACTTCCTCTACGCCAATGCCAGCGGCTCCGCCAGGACCGTGGAGTACATCCACCCTGCATGGGCCATTGACACCTCCAAGTTCTCTGCCTCCGCCATCAGCCGCAACACGCAGGCGCACTATGACATCCGGACAAGCTGCCTCTCCAAATTCTCCGCCATCTATGGGTCTCTTCCGCCTCTGCTGGAGTTTGGCCTCAGGGAGGATCGATGGGACACCTAGCCTTGCATCTTCCCAGCGTTGAACCCACGGCGTTGACCCTTCTGATCGAGCATGGACTTCACCGTTTTGTTTCAGCTTCTGCAGCCATGGAAACCTCTGGTGCAATTTTTGGAGGAGATCTACCCCTTTTGCTGGGAAGGCAGCCAGGTATGACTTGGACGCATGTGCCCTCAGATTAGATCGTGTGAATGTACGTAGGAAGTAATTCTGCCGCATGTTTCTCATAATTAGGGAGGTGGGATTATCATGTGTACAAGTGGACTTATCTAATTTACCTGTTAATGAATTGCATCAAGTACGTGCCCTTTTTCCACGCCATCTTCGCTACGCTTTAAGCCACCGGATTCCTCTGATCAGTGTGAGTGATTTGCTCTCGTCCCCGTCCGATCTCCTCAGAAACCATCACTGTGAGTGGTCTCCCACAACCCACATGATTTCTTCACCTCATTGTCTGACTGCTCTATTGCTAGATTAAGCAAAGTGCTTGTTCTAGCCGCAGGGTCTGAATTATAATATCATCCAACTGTGCTACCCGAAATCCCCCAATCCAGAGCTTCACACATGAAAATTCACGAATTCTCAGTTGCTTCTTGTTGGTCTTGTGATATGCTCGCATGATACCTGGATGATGTGTTCATATGGAATTGGTTCTTGCTTTGAATGAAATAACTTGTGAGATTAAACTAGGAGAGGCATGTGAGAGAGATTTATTTATTTATTTATTTATTTACTCATTTAACTAGTCAGGAATTATAACACCCCAATGAATAAGGTGGATGATATAAATCTACTCTCTGTCTCTCTCGATCTTGCTCTTTTACTCTTTTTTCTTTTATATAAAGAGTAATGCTCTACTTCTTCTATTTTTGATATTTATTTTCTACTTGAAAATAAATCTTAAACCTAAATCCTAAACGCTAAAAGATGTTCTACATCGAGGCCAGGAGAGAAATCCAGATGTTTTATAAGGTTCTGTTTCTATTTTTCTTCTATCAAAGAAATATGCATAACTCTCTGTCCATGGACATATGAAGATTTATTTGTGTAAATATCCACAACACTTACTCCATTATAGTTTTGTTTCATTTGAGTTCAATGTTACCATCTTCATTATATTATCTTTAACATTTTTGGGCACATCCATGCTTACGTCGGTGGCAGCTATTTGTGTACTAATTTTACCAACTTTTATACAGAACAAAGGGAGAGAGAGAGACAGAGAAAGAGGGGGCAGTTATAATGGCCCTTCTTATTTATTGGGCCGTTTATAAAGGCCCACAATTTTAATGAATAAAAAAAAAAACAACAGCAAGAATATATCTGGCAATACTGGAGCATTGGCTCTGTCTGGGCCCGGCCTCTGGCAGAGCCCAACTGGGCCCATAACATCCCCACGGGTATTATATTTTTAATATATTCTCTCTCCTCGGTCGTACTGTACCCCCACGTGGCCGAGGAAATCCTGGACCCGGCCCGTTTACTTAATGGGACCAGCAGTTGTGTCCCCCCCCCCCCCCCCCCCCCCCCCCCCACGCCCGGATCTGGAAAACGGCACGTGACATTCTGGGTATATTTTATTTCTCTATTTATTATTATCATTCTATTTCAATAGATGGGCCGGGCCTTGGGGTGCCAACTAGCTAGGTAACCCAAAGCCCATCTTGGGTGACGTCAGCGATGGCCCCTTAACCCACATGGCACATGGCCTTGGGCTAAATAGTATGGATCAAAATTAGATTCAAATCGAGCCTTTCCCCGGTCTGCGTTTGTACGGCTCTTTCCCCTTCGGTAGCCGTGATTCGAAAGTTGGAAGTGTAGCGAGAGAGAGGGAGTTCCTATGTGTGACAATAAGTTCATCCACGTCCTTCTAGTTTGACTTCTTGGGTTCGAGACCATTCCTCAGTGGAGAAGAGAGAGAGAGTGAGAGATAGAGATAGAGAGAGAGTGTGTGTGAGAGAGAGAGATAGAGAGAGAGTGTGTGTGTGAGAGAGAGAGAGAGAGAGAGTGTGTGTGAGAGAGAGAGAGATAGAGAGAGAGTGTGTGTGAGAGAGAGTGAGAGATAGAGAGAGAGAGAGATAGAGAGAGAGAGAGAGTGTGTGAGAGAGAGAGATAGAGAGAGAGAGAGAGAGTGTGTGTGTGAGAGAGAGAGTGTGAGTGAGAGAGAGAGAGTGAGAGTGAGAGAGTGTGTGTGAGAGAGAGAGAGTGTGAGTGAGAGAGAAGTGAGAGATAGAGAGTGTGAGTGAGAGAGAGAGAGTGAGAGATAGAGAGAGAGAGAGAGAGAGAGAGAGAGAGAGAGAGAGAGAGACAAGAAGAGAGAGAGAGAGAGAGAGAGAGAGACAGGAAGAGAGAGAGAGAGAGAGAGAGAGAGAGAGAGAGAGAGAGAGAGAGAGAGAGAGGAGAGAGAGGGAGAGAGAGGGGGGAGGGTAAGAAAAAGAAGAAAAAGCTGGGGGAGGGGCATCGTGGGGTGTGTTCCTACGGCAAAACTTAGAAATCTACGTCTCTGGGTTTGCTTTTTTTTGTTTAATATGCAGCAGCAGAGAGCCCTGCCCCTGCCGGGCCATGTAGGCAGCAGCAGCAGCGGCAGGCTTTCCCTCGGCGATCGCCGGACTGCCGGGGCCTCTGACCTCCGCCACCGCTGCCATTGCATGCCCTGCTCTCCGCCATGGACCACCAGGATCCCCCCCATACGAGGGAAGAAGAAGAGCCGCTTCCCTAATGCGAAGAGATCTCGCCGGAACCTACAACTCCTAGGGAGATAGACGCAGATGATAGAGCAAGAGAGAGGGAGACAGGGAGGGGGGGGGAGAGAGAGAGAGGGAGAGAGAGAGAGAGAGAGAGAGAGAGAGAGAGAGAGAGAGAGAGAGAGAGAGAGAGAGAGACTGTTTCCGCAGAATGATTGGCTGGCCTGTTTGTTGGGATACCCTTGTCTCTCACTCGTAGAGGACTTGGGTGTGGGCCGAGGAGGTCTGCTCTTCGCACCCTGACGAATCACGGAGCTTTTTCAGAGCTTCCTGTGGCGGGCGAGGGGGGGTTCATTCCGGCTAAGGAGATGGATACTATTGCCCTTCTTTTGCTAGATAACGGGTGATTTGATATACTGCGGATGAAGCCACATCGTCCCGTGTCCCATCAGCGTCTGAAAGGTGGGGGTTTGACATTAACGCGCCGGAGTGGGCGATCGCTCAGAAAATGTGCGTGGGGTTGGGTGGTATTTTATTAGGGTTTGCGAGGGTTCGGCGCCGCGTCCACGTCCATAAGAAAACATAAGAAAATTTCCCTTAAAAACTCATTTTACATGTTTGAATCATCACCTTGTTCTTCTTCTTCTTCTTGGTAATCTGAAAAGGATGAGGAAACCCTAAATCCACAAGACCATCTAGGGGTCACCATCAAAGTTCGACCCAAGACCATCATATCTGTTAGTGTGAGAGAGAGAGTGGTAGGCAGGGAGAAAGATGATCTCTCTGGGTTCATCAACATCGACGGCAGCGGGATCGTCTCGTTCTTCTTCTGAACAGGATTTAGAAACACTGAAAGCCGCCAGACCAACACAGTTTACCCAACACTGTATTAATTAAGAAGCGAAGAGGAGGGAGAGAGAGAGAGAGAGAGAGAGAGGGAGAGGGAGGGAGGGAGAGAGAGAGGGAGAGGGAGAGAGGGAGAGAGAGAGAGATAGAGAGATAGAGCGAGAGAGAGAGTTTTGTCGCTTGGGTTCTTCGGATAACACGGAAAATGTGTGGCTGTTGTGAAAGACAGTCTGCGCTTTATCTTCGCAACAGAAAGAATACATGCAATATACGACATACGAAAGAAAAACCTTACAATAGAAAGGAGGTGGCGTGTGCTCGCCACAGCCACCGATTCACCCGTGAAACTCCAGATGATCTCATCCTCTCAGCGTCATCTCCCTTTGCGGAGCCAAGCATGATTCCGGCAACTTGCGCGGAGAAATCAACGATCGGTGATCATATAAAATATCTCCCATTAATTGGAATCGACGGCTCCTTGTCGGCTATTTCTCTTTTCGGCATAAAGAATGAGAATTTAAGAATTTTGTGGATCCAGAGCCTTGTCTTCTCCGGTGGACCTGCCGGAGTTCGTAGCATGGAGGAAGCCTGTCCTGTAGCTCCCCGCCAATGCTGTGAAGATCTGTGAGAACCCAAGTGATATCTTCTGTAATTGACTCCCTTCGTGGCGCCACGCCTGTCCCTTTCGTGCCCTCTGTCCCTCTCTCCCTCTTCCTCTCTCTCTCTCTCTCTCTCTCCTCTTCTCTCACTCTCTCTCTGGATCTATCTCTCTTGGAGCAGGAGTGACTGGGGGGTGTCGAACGTAGCCATGCTCTTGATCACAGAAGTTATCTGGGATATGTCGGACCAGGCGATGTTATCCACTGATCAACGTGGCGAGATCTATTTGGCCAGTTGTTGGTCTGAAATAAACAAGACATCATGAATACCGATCTCCTGGCCTTTCAGATATTTCCGCCTCACTGATCTTGTACCAGTTCATTCATAGATGAGAGAGAGAGAGAGAGAGAGAGAGAGAGAGAGAGAGAGAGAGAGAGAGGCAATGATTGGACGTGAGTATGCAGGGGTGTCTTTCTCTTCATTTACTGCAAATGACGAGAGAATGAGAAAAGGATAGCCTGAACAGGTTTAGAGATTTCCCCTTCTCTGGTGGACCATCATTAGAAAAACAATGATGAACTTGAGAGACGGATAGGCAGAGAAACTGCCGGTCTCGAAGACTGGTGGCACCGTCAGCAGATGGGTTCTGTCCCGAGAGATGGGTAGAGAGAGAGAGAGAGAAGGGGAGGGGGGGCTGCCGATGGTAGCAGTAGCTACAATACAAGCCATTTTCTCATATATTGGAGGCAATAGGCTCTAAAAATTTACGACTCGAAGAGAGAAAGAGAGAGTAATTTCTAGACTGATAGTTTGTTCATATCTCTGATCAGATGGGGTTCTAACCCGAGAACGAGAAGAGAGAGAGAGAGAGAGAGAGAGAGAGAGAGAGAGAGAGAGAGAGAGAGAGAGAGATTCTTGATGTAAACAAGAAACACACGGCGGTTGATTTCTGATGAGTCAATTATTAACCACATACGCTAAGAATAATATATATATATCTATATATCTATAGCGAGAGAGAGGGAAAGAGAGAGAGAACTGAGGCTAGCAGTAAATACAAGGTGGTACTTGAGTGATAATGTCATAACAGTTGGGGGATTTCAAATTGGCTGCATGTGGAGGGTGAAACCTTGTTCTTTCGTCTGATTCACAGAGACCAGCGGCCCGTGCTCGGCAGCGGAACGAGAGATGGTCCAGCCTTCCCACTTCCCTCTCATCTCTCTGCATTCTCCTCTGGCCCTCAGTCCTTTGTCCAGCAGATATTACCCCCCATAAATGCACCCCCCTCAACTCTCTCCTATCTTCTCCTTCCCCAAAACGCCAAGAATTCAGAAGAGAAGAAGACGATCATTCGCTGAGACCCATTTGGCAGACCGACTTCAAATGATCATCCCACGCCATATCTTTCTATTTTATATGAGAATGGAAGGCGGCGATGTAAAGAAGACCAGCCGTTCTACCGAAAATAGAAGACTTTCAATGGAGTAAATCCGTGTGTTTAGACTTTTGGGGGGAAGAACTGGGAGCGAAGCAGGAGAAGGTGGCCGCCGCCGTTCCCTCGTTTGGAAGATAGATGCCACAGTTTGTCAACAATAGGGCGTCCTCTGGGTTCTCCACGTAGCCATTTATGGGCTCCCACATGCAAATCTAATCTCTCAGATCCCCACATATCCCTTCACATATCCCTTGAAAATAAAACTCGAGCTATGCCCTCGTAAGTGGACTACATGTTGACAGGATCCTTGTTATCTTCTGCGTCTTTCTCTCTCTCTCTCTTTCTGCCTCTCTCTGTCTGTCTGACCACGTGAAGGGGTTTTGGACGAATCTCAACGTTAGTCGGCTCTTGCACCTATTAAAGAGACTTGCCCCTTCGATATACCTTCTGACCGGCCTGTACCTTCTCTCTACCCTACGTCTTCACCGCGGCCGCAACTCAGATACATCACTTCCTCGACGAGAGAGGATCGTCCTTTCCCTATACGTCTCTCTGTCTTTCCCTCTCTCTCTCTCTCTCTCTCTCTCTATCTCTCTCTCTCTACACTCTCTTCTACCGTCCTCCCCATGAACCAGTTCTCTCATCTCCCTGCCTCGGGGGACGACCACGATCGGCAAGTCTATCTCCACCCCTTCTTGCCCACATACGAGACGTCTTCTCCCCTCCCTTGCGCCATCTTCTTCCGCCCTTGCGAGGAAGGATCAAGTGAGATCGATCATCAACGAAGTCCCCCTCCACAGCACGAGGTAAGAGAGAAAGCTTCCAAAAAGAAGTAGATTTGTGGTCGAATTTGAATTAGGGCTTGACCTTCTGGATCCGTTTGTTCTTGCGATCTCTCCTCTCCAGGCCAAGGTGGAGTTCTTCTCCACTGGATCAGACAATTTGATGGGTTCTGTAGCGACCACCGGAGACGGCGAGAGCTCCCACAAAGACGGCGATGGAGAAGAGTGCAATCCCTTGGACGGCGGCTCCGGCAAGTGGATGTCCTCCAAGATGAGATTCATGAGGAAGATGACTGGTTCCGATAAGGTCGCCTCCGGCAGGCCGAGAAAGAACGCTTTGGGATCGAACGATCATCTCCGGAAGTTTGCGGAGAACAACGTCAACAACGACAACCACAGTCTGCCAAATGGTTCTATCAGAGTCTGCTCAGAGTGCAACACCACAAAAACCCCTCTGTGGAGGAGCGGCCCTGGGGGCCCTAAGGTATCGCCACTCCCCACTTCATCTCTCTCTCTCTCTCCCCCCTCCCTCCCCCCTTCTTGTCGGTAGAGTAGGAAGCTGCGAATTTTGGAAACCTGCACACACATTATGAAGCTCTGCTGAGAATATATTACTTCTCTTTACCGTGGTCAATCAGTTCACCCCATAAAAACTAGATCTATTTGCAGCTGGGAATTATGTACGCCTGATCTTGCTAACGTTTCAATCTCTCGTCTTCCTGCGCTTTTACTTTGCGGTGCAGTCTCTCTGCAATGCCTGCGGGATACGACAGAGGAAGGCGAGGAGAGCCATGGCCGCCGCAGCCGCCGCCGTCACAGGCGGCTTGATCCCGGCGGTTGCACCGGTGGTGAAGGTGAGGAAACAGAAGAGATCTGGCGGCGCCTGTGCCGTTCCCTTCAAGAAGAGGTTCAAGTGCTTCGCCGCCGCAGAAACTCGCCACAAGCTCCACTTCGATGAGCTCACCATCGCTCTGAGCAAGAACTCGGCCTTCCATGGCGTCTTCCCACAGGACGAGAAGGAGGCGGCGATACTGTTGATGGCGCTCTCCAGCGGTCTCATCCGCGGCTGAGCCTCCGGGTCTCTCTTCTTCCTTGAATTCCCTCTGTCTGCTCCATTTTTATCCCTGGGGAGCTTCGTGAGCTTGTTCTTTCGTTTCCGGATCGAGGTAGAGCGATCCAGATGAGAGTAGAAGCAGTAGCAATAATAAGAAGGAAAGAAAATATAATCCTTCGCTATTTCTTGTCGGGTAATGTCTTTGAGTTTTTTTTTCTTTGAGATTCTTGCAGGTGACAGAAATTCTTCGTTGTTGTAGCCGTATCTTCTGTGGGTGGGTAGTGATAGTATTCGGCTGCCCTTGAAGTCAGCAAAAGATTGAATCATCTTAATGCTTTTGATTGTGCGTGACTGCTCAAAATTCTCATTCAACTTTCCTCCATTTCTCCCTCCCTCCCTCTCTCTCTCTTCACTTGTTCCTCGTACCATCTCTCTATTGCTCTCTCCCTCTCGGTCGCTCGTTCACTATTGCGCTATCAGTCTATCTATCTCTCTCCTCCTCCGTTATCTGTATATCTCTTTCTGCTAGGCTAACTCTCTCTCTCTTGTATCACCCTCTCTCCATTGTTCTATCTCTCACTCACTCTCTCTTTCACTGGATCGCTTGTCCTCTCGCTACTGCCCTATCAGTCTATTGCTCTCTCCCCCCGTCCGTTAACTGTATATCACCTTCTGCTCGGCTAACTCTCTCTCTCTCCATCGTCTCTCTATCTCCATTGATCTATCACTCACTCTCACTCTCATATCATATCTCTGTATCTCCATTGATCTATCTCTCTCTCTCTCTCTCTCTCTCTCTCTCTCTCTCTCATATCATATCTCGGTATCTCCATTGATCTATCACTCTCTCTCTCTCTCATATCATATCTCTGTATCTCCATTGATCTCTCTCTCTCTCTCTCTCTCTCTCTCTCTCTCTCTCTCTCTTTCACTGGATCGCTTGTCCTCTCGCTACTGCCCTATCAGTCTATTGCTCTCTCCCCCCCTCCGTTAACTGTATATCACCTTCTGCTCGGCTAACTCTCTCTCTCTCCATTGTTCTACCTCTCTCTCTCAATTCATCTAGCACTTTCTCTCTCTCTCTCTCTCTCTCTCTCTCTCTCTCTCTCTTATATCATCTCTCTGTCTCCATTGCTCTCTCTCTCTCTGGTTCTCTCGATACGGCCCTACCAGTCTATTTCTCTCTCTCCCCCTCCGTTATCTGTATATCTATCTCTGTTGGTCTCTCTCTCCACTGTTCTATCTCTCTCTCAAACCGTCTCCCTATCTCCATTGATCAATCTATCTCTCTCTCTCTCATATCATCTCTATCTCCATTGCTCTCTCTCTCTCTCCCTCTGGGTCGCTCGTTCTCTCGTTACTGCCCTATTAGTCTACTTATCTCTTTCACCCTCCGTTATCTGTATACTCTTTCTGTTGGCCTAACTCTCTCTCTCTCTCTCTCAAATCATCTCTCTCTATTTCCATTGACATATGTCTCTCTCTCTATCACTCTTATCATCTCTATCTCTATTGCTCTATCTCTCTCTCTTGCTCTCATATCATATCTCTATCTCCACTGCTCTCATATAATCTCTCTCACCTCATCTATCTCTATCTCCATTGCTCTCATATAATCTCTCTCACCTCATCTCTCTCTATCTCCTATTGCCCTATCTGCCTATTATCTCTCCCTCCATCTCTCTATTTATGCATTTCTCTCTACTGTTCTATATCTATCACTCTCGCTCCCCCCATTACTATATCTGTGCATCTCTCTTTCCCTCCACTGATCTATTCCCACTTCTCCTGACCTTTTCTCTCTATCTCTCCTTCCTCATCTCCTCTATTTCTCTCTACTTCTCTCTACTTCTCTCTACTTCTCTCTATCTCTCTCTCTCTCTCTCTCTCTCTCTCTCTCTCTCTCTATCTATCTACCCTCATCTCCTCTATTTCTCTCTACTTCTCGCTCTCTCTCTCTCTCTCTCTCTCTATCTATCTACCCTCATCTCCTCTATTTCTCTCTACTTCTCTCTATCTCTCTCTCTCTCTCTATCTCCATATCTTTATTTATATATCTATCTACCCCTGCCATGGTTGCATGGAAAGGGCGAGCCTGTGTGGGCCCGGTGCCACTTTTGGTTTCTCTCGAGCCTTATTTGCCGGTTCGAGCTTTCTAGAAGGCCGGGCTTGGGCCGGACTTGGGCCGGGCTCGGCAAGTTACGACCCATTTACATCAGTATTCATTGCCAAAAAAGGCCATTGCGTCAACGGAAGCGTGGCCCACTAGTCCAGTGGGCTCCATTACGTTCTCATCTGGACGACCGACATTAGACAGACTAGTGGTTTGGCCCATATTGGATACATCCAATAATCAAAGTACCCCAGTGGGCCCAAGGAAGACCAAACTTTGGGCCCATAATGTCTTCTCAAGGGAGTTGTAGGCCCAATAAAGGATCCAGAGTTTGGTGTTGCGGGCCTCTTTTCGAAGCCCAAGACGAACAGGGGGCCCACAAGGACTGTGATACCTCGCGGGTTAAAATAGCTCTCTCTATGGACAAATAACAGCAGGGGATCACATGATCGTGCGGTGGGGCCCGCCTCAGACTGAAGCCCTTCTTCTTTATCATCTCAGACTGTGCTCGGACTTCTTTCAGTGCTGAGCCGCTTCCTCCACGTCCGCGCCCCCTGCTAGGGTTTTCTCTTCGGCATATCTCTCCTCCCGTCGCCTGGGCTGTACAGGATAAGGGATCGGCGGTGGTTGCGGGAGGAGGAGCAGGTATGAGCAACGACCAGCAACAGGAACCCATTAACCTCTCCGATCTTGGGGCATCTCTCCCCTCGAACATTGCTGGTATTTTTTATGTTCTTTTTTATTTTTTGCTGCAGTGGCGTGATCTTTCTAGATGGATTTTGTAAAATTTCTTGCTTTGATTTTGTCTAGGTCTGAGTGCCGAGGACCGGGCCGGCATCGTCACCGCTCTCAAGGTCCAGCTCCTCCCTCCAGTTATCATGCATTCTTGCAGCTGCTCTCTCTATCCGCTTATCTGCATTGTTCTCCTTTTGTGCTAGTGGATATGCATATCCCTATGACGGTGAAGTTCGATTTACACTCTTCCTGCTTGCTATGTTTTTATCTGACGCAGCTCTGAATTGACGGTTGCAGAACCAGCTCCAGTCACTGGCCCGGCAGCACTCGGATGTACTAGAGTCACTGTCGCCCAACGTCAGGAAGCGCGTTGAGGTCCTTAGAGAGATTCAGGTTCGCTCATTTTGTTCTCTATTTTCAGCTAGGGTTTAAGGATAGCTTCTGTCTATTTTGTCTTTTATGATCTCATTACACGTACGTTGCATTGGACTGCACTATTTCTTGATGCTTGTCTATGTCCCTGCCATGTCTTTCACCGTTTCTTTATTCTTGATGTAAACTCCGGTTTTTTTTTTCTCATTTAGAGGGAAAGCGTTCTCTAGAGTGATACTGTTCGTCAACTTCTCCTCCATGGCGAGTTCCGTTCACTTGTCTTTCAAACCAATATCTGCTATCCAACATTGATAATCTAATTATGTTCTCGGAGATGTAGCCTAAGAAACCAGGCGAACTGCTTGTTTCTCTCTAGTATTATATTCGTGTTCTTAACGAAGCAAGGACTTCGTTAGTGCAAATGCTTTGCAGTATAACGCCATTCCTGATCTCATTTATATTACCACCGTCCTTTTCGTCAGAGTTCATGTTTCTCAGCATAACGAGGAAGGGAGTTTTTATTTCTTGACAATTGATACTTTTATGATTCTATTTTATTTTTATCATTGTTTTTGTGTCCAACACACGTGATCAAGACAATAAGATTCATTGGATCCAGCCAAAAGCCTCGAAAATGACAGTGTCAATTTTTTTCTCCTTCAAAATTTGTCCAATGGTTCTTGTGACTGTCATGTTTCACTTGTTACGAGAAATTGAATGCCTGGGTATGTTTTTCTTTGGTTGATGGATTTCTGATAATTTAAGTTGTGAATCAAACGAAATTTTACTTCATTCCAGGTATTGAAGCTTAGTCGTTTGCCATCCTTTTTGTGCGTGGTCTTCTTTCTTGATACCTTTGGGGGCTAGTTTTTTTTTGGGATTTTTCTGGACAATGAAGTTGTTTTTTGCTAGTCATAACATATGTTTATGATTCTAACCTTCATTGATATATTCATATTAATATCCAACTTCTGTTGTTTCATTGTTGAATGTTGGTGTAGTTAACCTTTTGCGTTCCTAGTACCCTGTTTTTGGTTTTCCAATCTCTGTTACTGTGTGATGCATTTTTATGGGTTTATCCGTTGGTAGACTTGTCTGTGCACAGTTGATCTTGGCTGTGCACGATTTTAGGCTGTGCTGAATGTGAAGTTTATGCACATCACCATGGAATCTCTATGTGGATATATGTTTTGCCGATGCTTAAAACTTGTTAACCGCCATTCATGTTTCTCTATTCATACATTTTCAGCTATTGTCTAAGTAGTGTGACGACCCTTCTTTTCATCTGATATTTTTGATGATGGCTTGCAGGGCCAACATGATGAGCTTCAGGCAAAGTTTTTCGAGGAAAGAGCAGCACTGGAAGCAAAATATCAGAAATTATACGAACCACTGTACACCAAGGTTCAATTATTTTATTGTCACTACGGATATCTTATTTTTTTAATTATCTTGAAAAATATGCAATTGTACATATAGAATATGTGTTGACTGCGTAACAAAGGGACAGGGTGACAAAGACGAGTTATGCTTAGAGGCATGCTTCCGTGCGTGTGCTGCGCACGTTTTATGTTCATTTTTTTCTATAGACACAAAGTTAGTGGAGTGAATTGAGTTTGCCTTTTTCATGGATTTTTAGCGTTTTGAGATTGTGAATGGTGTCGTTGAAGTGGATGCCAACAGCACTGGACCAGGGGAAACTCCTGCAGGTGAGAAAGTGGTCGAAGGTGTGTATATGAGTTCTTGCGAAAATTACTGTTGAAAACCACTTCAAAGATACTGATGTTATGTGTCTACTTCAGAGAAGGGTGTACCAGACTTTTGGCTTACAGCAATGAAAACGAACGAAGTGCTGGTTGAGGAGGCATGTTAATTTTCTTCATCCAAGTTGCATTCTTGAGACATTTCGTGATGGAATTCTTATCGTTTACGTTCAGATTCAAGAGCGTGATGAAGGGGCCCTCAAGTTCCTCAAGGATATTAAATGGTCGAGAATTGACAGTCCGAGGGGTTTTAAACTTGAATTCTTCTTTGACTCCAATCCTTACTTCAAGAACACAGTCTTGACTAAGACATATCACATGATTGATGATGATGAACCGATTCTTGAGAAGGCAATCGGGTGCTTCTATTATCCTCTAGTTTTCTTCTTTGGGTAATTTATGTTCATCAGATAGATCATGACTGGTGGGTCCTGTTCTTCATTGATGCTTCTTCAGGACAGAGATTGAATGGCATCCCGGGAAGTGCTTGACCCAGAAGATACTGAAGAAGAAACCCAAGAAGGGATCTAAGAACTCCAAGCCCATCACCAAGACAGAAAACTGTGAGAGCTTCTTCAACTTCTTCAATCCCCCCCAGGTTCCTGATGATGATGTCGATCTCGATGAAGATGCTGTAAGCCTCCTGTTAGCACTGCGTTAGGAAAGTCTTTGCCTTTTTAAGTATGTTAATTGTGGTTGTGATGTCACATCTGACCTAACTTGACAGGCTGAGGACCTGCAAAACCAAATGGAGCAAGATTATGATATTGGGTAAGTGTGGCCATTGTTTCTGAAGTTGCAGCAAGCTTCTGTTCAATTTCTTTCTATTACTATGAAGAGAAATTTCTCATATTTATGTTAGCTCGTGGCATTAATGGATGCTGAGATCCCGCAGGTCTACTATCCGCGACAAGATAATCCCCCATGCTGTTTCATGGTTCACCGGAGAGGCTGTCCAGGGTGACGAGTTTGAAATCGGAGACGAAGAGGACGACGAGGACGAAGATGACGATGAAGACGGCGACGAGGAAGATGACGATGACGAGGAAGAGGACGATGAAGACGATGAAGACGATGAGGCCCAGCCCAAGAGAAAGGTGCCCTCCCCTCTCTCTCCCTCGCCCTCTCTCTTTCTCTCTCTACCCTCTGCGCAATATCTAACCTCTCGTCGTCTTCTCCCTCTTGGAATTTCGTCGAGCAGCCGGCGACAAGCCATAAGGTACACTCTCCGGTCTTTATCACCTTCCCTCTGTCAGAAGAAAACAAAGTCGCTTTTGAATACATTTACCCAGCTATTCATTTTCTCTTTGTTATTGCTCGTATAAGGGGACGAAGGGCTCCGGCGAAGGCCAGCAGAGACCACCCGAGTGCCAGCAACAGTAGCAGCAAGGACTTTTGTGCCCGGGTGCGGGCGGTGCCCTTGAGAGAGTTTCATCCGAGCCTTCCCTTCTTAAATTGAGCCCCCCTCTCTCTCTCTCTCTCTCTCTCTCTCTCTATGGTGAATGATTTGTGGGCTGATGGTGTCATAGCGCTAGCTATCAATATATGTTGAAATTCAATTGGATCCAAGAGTATGTGCACACATTTCGTATAAATCAGAGATGTGCCTACACCGAACCGCTTCTCTCTCTCTCTGTCTCTCTCTCATGCTAGTGTCCGGAAATGACCAGCGTCCTCTCTGGCTCTAATGTCTTCCGGGCTCTACTGTATCTAGAGAGAGAAAGGAAGACCTTAATCTCTTAAGCCGACAGGGACGCCTCTCGCCATCCGCTACGGCAGGCAAACCTGCATGGATATGGACTTCACAAGGAATATGAGATTGAAAGAGAAGGGTCAGACGGCTTACCTACATGGTGTAGAGAGAGAGAGAGAGCAACTCGCCGAGGAAGATAAGGGGTGACAGAGAGAGAAGTGAGCACGCATGGCTTCGAGCATGGTACCCCCTTTGTGTCTCTCTAACCATGCAAGAAAACACCTTGTGTGCTCACTCTCTTCTGTCACCCCTCCCGTCGCCCTGCGAAAGAAAGGGTAAGCGGCGACTACAGCGAAAGCCCTACCATTTCCGCCATAGGAGACCTCGTGTGAAGGAGACGAAGTGACCCTGTGGAGGTGGAGTATATATGGGAGCGACCCCAGGAGAAGACAAGGGGGCGCCCTCTCTCTCTCTGCACGTGGCGGTGTCTAGTGTGAATGGAGGCGAGTAAGCAGCTATCGCCACCCCCGTCATTAAAATATCGACGGTTCGCATTGCACTTACCAACGCTCCTTGTGTTTCTAAATACCTGCTCCGCCTCTCCGCTGCCCAATTATCTCTCTTTCTCTCTCCGCTGCCCAATTATCTCTCTTTCTCTCTCCGCTGCCCAATATGTAAGGATAGGCCTGACTCCCCGCCTCGTTGTGGAATACAGGCCTTGAGACGTAGGGAGTGACTGCTTTATTCTATCTACATAGATTATCAGGAAGAAGCGAGAGAGAGAGAGAGAGAGAGAGAGAGAGAGAGAGAGAGGAAAAGGAGGAAGGCCCTTCCAACATATGCTCAAAGACATTCTCTCCAGCACCAATGAAGACGGATGACCCCGCCTTTATGATAAATCGACCCTCAAACATCTGCTTCAAATGCTCAACCACATCCTCTCTCTCTCTCTCTCCCCTCCCTCTTTATTTATCTATCTATCGATCTATTATCTATATTTATTTATCTATCTGAGGATGTGGGTGGTGCAACTTTTCCCCCCCCCAGCTAACCAAGTAGAGCCCAAAGTGAGAATAACACTTTAGACCACGAAGAAGACCCACATACCCCAGATTCCATGCAGACTGCCCTCCCTTCGGGTTCTTATTGGACGGCTAGGAGGTAAAAGCAGTCACCATCCACACCCACAGGGTTATAGAGAGAGAGAGAGATAGATAACGGTGGTCAAACGTAATATGGGTCCCACTGCCCCTGCGAGTCAAAAGGCCGGATCTAATCCGCAGAGTGAAAGGATAGGATGGCATCGGGCTCAATCCCGACAGCGACCTATACTCTGCCTCATGGCCTCCGCCATCGCGGTTCCCATCGAGACAGGCCTTTACTTTTATTACTTAATTTGGGGGCATCCGGTCAACATTGTAAACAATCGTACCTTCGTATTTTCCAATCCTAGACCAAAAGCTTACGTGTAATAAGTTGTTATTGTCAACACCACCCCCCCGCCCCCTCTCTCTCTCTCTCTCTCTCTCACACACACACACACACAGCCAATCCCTCGGTCGTGGGGAGAACCTCACGGGCCGTGGCCCCGGGGCCCGATGTCATGATATACCCGTCGGGGACCAATAAATTTGATCGAGGCCTGACTTTGAACTTGACTGGGCGAGGAATCGACAATTGACCTGTACCAAGTTAAGACCTGTTCGTGCTGGTCGCCGGTCAAACTATGTTCGCCGTTATTTTAATAAGCGCGGCTTCAATTTCTTAGTGTGAATTAGAAACCACAGACATCGTGGGTGATCTGACGGTGTAGGTGTGTGTCTCTTTCAGGGCCGCAGTTGATCAACGGCCTCAACAAAGAGGCCATAATGGGTCACATCGACCGGCCCAAAATAGCTAAACTGGGCCATCTCACCGCACGCAATTATTGAGACCCACAGGTGTAAGACCTTCTATAGTGCGATCTTTTTCATAATTATACCGAGTATTTTATTTATTTATTATTTTCAACAACTAATAATTCTTTAAAATATAAATTCCCCACAAAGAGTATACGAAATACCTCGTGTCAGAAAAAACTTGGATAAATTTACAATTTACTTTAAAATTTTTAAAAAATATTCTATATTTTTAACTACATATTATATTTTAACATAAATTTTGTAATATTTTATTATTATGAAAAATATAAATGCAATATCACACGTCATCACTAGTGTAAGAAATTTGCGCACACTACTCTAAGAAGAGCTCTTTAAGAAAGAGTAAAAACTTGGTATTTTTATACCAAGGTCCCTGTGTGGTCAAACTATTGATGCGCGTAGGAAGGATTTTCCAGGTCCATTTACGAAAGGGCATTTCATACATTAATAATAAAAATGGGGTATCTTGCAAACAACCCCCTTAGGCTTGCCGTAGCCGTCCTTTCCGTGGACCTAGTACGGAGGAGCATCGAATCCCAGATCCGGAGGCCGAATAAGCTGTTGCCTGAGTCGGTATGGTTGTTGGGTTCGCCAGCTTGGCAGTGCTGATCTGTGTTTTCCGGCACTCCAAACACCTGAAATAAATAAATAAGTTGTCATTTACGCACGCGACGATGGATAAATTAATAAATATTGCAAATAATAAAGTAATAACATATACGGCGTAGAGTACCAACGACAGTAACGTAATTCTACTATGCCATTAATTATTCGTATTTTCAATAATAAAATGGAATTTATACACCGGCGAGAGAGAGAGAGCTGAAGTGCAAACAGAAGACGAGGGGGTCTGCAAGCGCTTAGAGAGGGGAGACGGAGGAGAGGGAGAGGCGGGGATGGAGAGAGAGATGGGGGACGCAGAGGAGGACGTGGAGAAGGGGGTGGCAGAGGAGACGATGGGGTCCAGCCTGACGATGGAGAAGGTGGCCGCGGCGAAGCAGTTCATCGAGAATCACTACAGGAATCAGAAGAAGAACCTGCAGGAGCGCAGGGAGAGGTGAGGAACTAGAGTTGCAAGGCATCGCCTCGATGCTCCTTTTCATGATCTTTGGATCTTTCAGGATTTATGCTGCTGCACCCGATCTCGGCTGGCAGATCTCTTGAGATGAAATCCTCCTTCGTTGTTATATTGCTCCCGAGTTTGGAAATACACTCTCCTGAAAGTACAATAGGAAGGATAATCTGGCGAGAAATTTTCTTATGCCGATATTTCGCTTTTTCTGCTTGCTGTTTGCGCATGCTTTTCCTCTTTGGCATCTAACCTTGAAATGAGTAAACAATGATCCAATAGTTGCGCTTATGATGCAATTGAGGTCAGTTTTTTCTAAATTATCTGACTCCCATTCTTCAACGTGTAAACGGAAGTTCACCATTTACGCTGTCCTGAACGACCTACTACCTACTACTATATCATCGTTCGATCAAATCTGATTTATACATCCCAGTCGTCACTTCGCTGACGCTTTGATTGCCTACTTTTTCACTCGTCTGGGAAAGTCATAACATGCACGAAGCTAAGATTGGAACGCGTATTTTTTCTCCGTTGGTAATAATAAAACAAAATTTTCTCTTGAATTATCTTTGGGGCATTATGTGCCTACATGCTGAAGGCGTCTGGAAAACCTTTTTGTTTTATTTTATCGAGATTCACTATGCTAAGATGAGATTTTTATTTTTCTTCAAAAAATGAGGGCTGCATGATCACAGGAGAATAACAACTGTTGCTCATCTTCGTAATTTTTTTTGACCCCTACATATTTCGATCACTGAGTAATAGGATGTGAGGACCTTTATATCGTGAATCCTAATATTTCATTATATTATTTTCTGCCATGTTTCTCTAACATCTTTCTACCCCTTGATCTTATACTTCTGCATGCGTTCTGTATGTTGGGAGTGCCATGAACCGGAAGAATCCGTTATACTAAGAGGCTATTCAATATCTTGTGTCAGTGTCTAGATCGAGCATGTGCCTATAGACAGTGCCAGTGAATTCCGAGGGAAGTACAGACTCAAGCGTGCATTTCCAGCAATCTCGCCAACTGGGGGATGGCTTTTATTGTCATGTGTGGGAGTGAATGGAGTTCATCTCTCCCATCAAAAACCTACGGTTCTGGAGTGGTCTTTATCTGTTCGAGATTTGTCATTTCGTTTGCAGTTGGAAGATCGTTTTCCTCACCCTTCTCAACCATTTCTTACTTTTCGAAGTATAATCGTTCCTGTTAATTTATCTTTGTCTAAGATATTTTATTTCACTATGAGAATAACTTCAATGATCACTGTCATATGCTCTTTCCTCACCTTGCAGCTTACCCAAGTTTTTTTTTCAGACGCTGGGTTCTAGAAAGAAAGTTAGCCTCCTCTGACGTGCCTGAAGAGGAACAGATCAATCTAATAAAGGATTTGGAGCGGAAGGAGACTGAGTTCATGCGACTTAAAAGACATAAGATCTGTGTTGATGATTTTGACCTTTTAACCATTATAGGCAGAGGTGCTTTTGGAGAGGTGAGTATTTATGTTGAAATCCCATATCGATTAGTCATTGTGTCAATATTTATCGTAATTCGGCACGAAATAATCTAAATATGTAATATAGATTAGGATCCTTTTCATGTCTCTGGAATACGTTAAGCAGGACTAAAGTTATGTGCCGAAGTCGGAGTTCGCGGGAATGTTCCATGGATTTGGCCACCTTTGAGATGATTGTCTGTAATGTTTCCTCTATTTTTTAAATTTGTAAATGACAGGTTAGGTTATGTCGGGAGAAATCCTCTGGGAATATATATGCAATGAAAAAGCTCAAGAAGTCTGAAATGGTTAGCAGGGGTCAGGTGATGCTCCATACCTTACATGTGATTTAAATTCTTTGGAACTTTTAATTGGATCGTTTTTGATACGTGTCTTAAATGTCCAAATGAGGCTCAATAAGTGATTCTCACATCTTTGTTGAGGAAAGAATGTCATAATGTATCTGCTGATTGACATTTAGTTTTTTACTCGTTCACGGTCCATTTGTCAACGAAATTAGTTCCATTTCTCTCTCTAGGAAGTCTGGAAAAGACAGCAAATTGGCCAGTACATTTTAGTCTTTAGGAGTTTAGCAACAAACTGCCACCTTGTTGTGCTTGGAATCATGCTCATAGTGGCATGGTGTTTAGTTTGGTCAGCCACAAGACCGAAGTGGAAAATAACGTTTTTTCTGCAACATGATCAAGATCAGATTGAACATTAGAAACTGGTTTTCATTGCATATAACGTCTCACAATAGTGCAGTTATAGTAATCGGTTTGGTCAGACTCTTCCATAACTGACATGTGATGCTCCATTGAACTCCGAAAGTCTGATATTGATGTCGAACACTCGCTTTCAGACTATGGTAGGGGAATAATGAGAACATTCACTTTCAGCAAATGGCTGGAGAGCAATGAGAATCATCATACCTACAGGAAATATTGCAGACAAGATCTAATGGTAGTTGGTGGTATGCGTAAAAAATAATTATCCATGTAATGCCATCCTATCAAATTTGGCATATTCTACTCTAGAGTTCTTGAACTGCTTCACTGAATTCCCTCGCACATTCTGGTCCCCTCTGTCATCTCTCTGCATTATTCTGATTGACCCACTGGATAGTGACATGACACAATGGGCTGGTATGTCTTATATGAGATGGAGTCTCATTGTATGATCTTATTGGCTATTTTATCACGATACCATTTTCATGAACTTCTTTTTTCTTCCATTGTGCTCCTGTTGCACCATAGGTCGAACATGTCAAAGCGGAAAGGAATTTGCTTGCTGAAGTTGCCAGCCATTGTATTGTGAAGCTCTACTACTCATTTCAAGACGCTGAGTACTTGTATCTCATAATGGAATATCTTCCTGGAGGGGATATGATGACTCTACTCATGAGAGAGGACACCTTAACTGAAAGTGTGGCTAGATTTTACATTGCTGAATGTATTCTGGCCATAGAATCCATTCACAAACATAACTACATCCACAGGTTTGTAGAAAAATCTTTATTTTACTTCTTTAAATAAGCCATTATGACAGTCTTTCATACATTTCTAGCATAATGGCGTCTAACATTAGAACGTGACTTACGTTCTTGAATAATGAGTTCTTCTCAGGGATATTAAGCCTGACAACCTACTCTTGGACAAAAATGGTCACATGAAGCTTTCCGACTTCGGATTTTGCAAACCTCTTGACTGTAGAACGTTGACTACCTTGAATGAAAATGAACCAATGGGTGATGACAATCCGAGGGATTCGATGGAGATTGATGGTGGCTTTTCGGATGCTAGCGATGGCCACCGTTGGAAGAACCCTCGTGAAAAACTTCAGCATTGGCAGATGAATAGGAGGAAACTGGTCCGCTCTCTTTTTTTTTCTTTCACTATCTTTTAATGTAAAATTTTAATAGCCATCATTCCTCACAATTTGCATTTGTCCACATTTGATGCGTGCTCCCTTTACGATCATTGTAGCCCAGACTAACAGCTGCAGGTTTGATTTCCAGGCATTCTCAACTGTGGGAACACCAGATTATATTGCCCCAGAAGTTTTACTGAAGAAAGGCTATGGCATGGAGTGCGACTGGTTTGTCTATTATGCTTTAAGCAACCCATAAAATTACTGATTTTTGGATATTATGCTGGGCCACTTTGTTGTGGCCTTAACCCGCACATTTGAATCCAGGGCCACTTTTAGTTTGTAGGACAATCCTGATTCAGAATGGCTAGGAGTAGTTTTCTTCTGGTCAATTGATCACTGCTCCTAGAAAGTAGTTCCGGAGCTGACTTTGGTGGGGCCGTCTTTTGCTAGGGCCGTTTTTGAATGCACGTCATACACCACTAGAATATGCCACAATGCAAAACCGGTATAATGTACAGCTCTCTGGAACTTTACCCCCCTTTGATCACAACACAATGATTAAGGATTGAAACATTTCTTAGTTTCTTGTCTACGATCAATATGATCAGTCTCTGTCAATGCTTGTTCGTGTGATTTGGGATGGGAGTCTGCTGTATGTTTGGAATAGAGATCTGGAGCCTTTCTTCTTATAACCACGAATTAATCTCACGCAATCTGCGTTCTCCAAAGGTTTTCTACAAGCATGCCAACCTGAAAAGAAAGAAAATGGGGATACATGTGAACCTACAAATCTTTACTACAAAAATCTGATTTGCACAATACTTGTTCAGATAATTACGCTTTCTCGTGAATATTACATCCTCTTTTAGTTTTTCTTCCATTATGGGCTGCACCTTTTACTGAAACTTCCAGCAGGGAAAGGATTAGTGACTATTCTTGAAATTCATGAAAAATATCTTATTCTCTTTTTGAAATGGGTATTTCGGTGTCATTTTTCTACCGTGTATATTTCTTGAAATTGTTATGCTCTTTAGTTTCATTCCATTTTCTAAGTCCGCATTTTTGCTGAGAAAATTTAATGGGAGGTTTATCTATCTGTCCTTGTGTAATATGTCCTTATTTTGAGGACTCTTTGCAGGTGGTCATTAGGTGCAATCATGTACGAAATGCTTGTTGGCTATCCACCATTTTACTCAGATGACCAGATGACTACATGTAGAAAGGTTGTCTTGCTGTGTCTCAAGTTAATATATGCGTTGACTTGTATATGTATTCAATGTGTTTGAATATTTTGTTTTGTTTATCTAAGTAAACAACATTTTTCACTAGTCCATACTCCATTCACCTTTGTTGCACCTAGTTTGGAACGTTGTTGACTAATGTCATTGGTATTATTAGGGATTTGTCCTATCCACAACTCTGTCGGTTTGATCTTGGATGAAAGTTTAGTCATTACTATAACCTGGAACTAGCACCTTCTGTTTGACGAGTTGTCTTCAGCTACATCGAATGGGGTGGCTAATTATGTTGACATAAACATTAGAGAAAATGGGATTTAAGAATCCACTTGAACATGATTGATGTTGAACATCTGCGTTTATACAATTCTTGCTGGAACAATGGAGTTTGTTTTTTTTTTTTAAATTTTTTAATTAGTACTGAACAATGCTGTGTCAAAATCATTCTCAGATTGTGCATTGGAGAAATCACTTGAGGTTTCCGGAGGAGGCAAGGTTGAGTCCTGAAGCAAAGGATCTGATTTGTAGGCTACTTTGTGATGTCGACCATAGACTTGGTATTGGAGGAGCTAACCAGATAAAGGTATCTAACGAACGAAAAGCTATCCAAAGTGACTCATTCTTGTCAATAATATGTTTTTTTTTTTTTTTTTTTTTTGTTTTTATCTCATACGCTGCCAGGCTCATCCTTGGTTCAAAGACGTTGCATGGGATAAACTCTATGAATCAGAGGCAGCATTCAAGCCCGAAGTCAATGGCGAGCTAGATACGCAGAACTTTATGAAATTCGATGAAGTATGTGTCCTATTCTTAATTCCTTCTGTTCAAGGTGCCTGAACCATTTATAGATTTGATCCATTTCATTTCCCAATGCGTCACATTTGACTTTCTATTCGCAATTATATTACGTTTAAATTATCATTTGAGAGCATCTTAAATGGAAGGCGGCAATAAACATGCTATGATAGGAAGCTTGGTCTTTAACTGTTCTGATTATTAGATTTATTTTTCAGCATATTTTTTTTTTCACAATGGTAGAATATTTTAGCCTGCCCTGTCAGTCTTTAAACACATTCAAAAACCAATAGTCAAACATGATACCATTTACATTTCTACCTCAATCTTAGTAAAAAAATGAGCGAAATCTACCCATCATGTAATCATAGATTGTTTTATTATTATTTATGCTGTAGAACTGGTCTTCATGTTCTATGTGGATTTGCAATATTTTTAATTCGATGATTTATTTTATAATCATGGCTTGCTCAATGCACACTTTTTTCAACAGACCACTATATTAGGTCAAACATTTGATATAAGTAGTTCGACCATGAAGAGCGTATTTGCTATATATGCTAATGTGAAAAATAATATGCATCGTTGACTGAATCATTTCTCCGTGTCGTGCCTCAGCTGAATCCCCCTACGCCTGCACGAAACGGATCCGGGCCCTCGCGGAAGGTAAGACTCTACTGATATTACTAATTATAGATGGGCATCATCTGGACAGGCCTCATCTTCTACCAGATATTCCATTTGTTAACATAATTTTGCTTGACCGTTGACCTCGAAATCATTCATGGAATCTTGACCGGATTCTCGTCTGCAGTCAATGCTGACCCCCAAGGACCTGAGCTTTGTCGGGTATACATATAAGAACTTTGATGCTGTCAAAGCATTGCACCCATCATTTGGTAAGAAAACTCTCTCTCTAGAAGTCCCCCAAACGCTGTCAGATATCGATTTCTTTGCTAGTTTTTGATGGCGGTTTGGATCTCCTAATTGCCTGATTTGGTCCCCTTCATCTTTGTTCTTTTCATAGATCCGAAGAGGACTTCCTCGCCAAGGCGGCCTTCCATCGGCTCGATCTTCGGTAGCCTGAATGCTGCATCTCTCTCTCTCTCTCTCTCTCTCTCTCTCTCTTATTCTCCCTCTATTTCTGAAGTAGTTGCTCATTAATGGCCAGGTGAAACAGCTGGAGAAGCCTGTGGCAGGCCACTGAGGGAGGAAAGAGAAGTGGACATGGCACCATCCACCACCGACGATGCCATGTCGCCATAGGTGGCGGTGGGGCCGCGCCCATAGCATACAGAATGCATTGGATTGGCGAGATAGAGGTTGGGTCCTGCGATGTGGGTGGCTGTTGGGAGGAGGACCCTGCATGTTTTTATCCAGGTTGCCCCCCCGCCCCTCCTCAATGCGTCATCGCCTCTAGTCTCGCTCCCCCAGAAGTAAGCTTCCTGTAGAACCCGCCCTTGAGTGCATGGCCAATGTGCAGGCAGTGGCTACATGATGATCATGATGTTGATGATGGTGCTGATAGAGAGAGAGAGAGGGAGAGAGAGAGAGAGAGAGAGAGAGGGAGAGAGAGAGAGAGAGAGAGAGAGAGAGAGAGAGAGAGAGAGAGAGAGAGAGAGGGAGCTGGCTGCCCAGGTGGTCGTGAGAAATCATGTCTTCTCTTGAGGCAGCTTCTGATCTTACTGTCACTCCTGACGGCAGTAAGAAGACCAACGGCACCATGTTTTGGATCAGAATGATGGTGGTGGTGATGATGATGATGACGATGATAATGTATTATTATGTTGGCTACAACCATTCATCAAGTGGGCCGCACTAGGCGGGCCGGGCCTTGCCTTATTACATGATTATGTTCCCTTGATTGGATGATGTGACAGACCCCAGGATTCATTTGTGAATACTCTCATTGGAAGGATACTAGGCTTGGGCTGGGCTCAGCAATCCCCAGCCCTAGGCCTGGCCCGTTAATACCCCCCCTCCCCCTTTTTGGAAAACGGCGATTTCAGCTGGGGCCCGAAAACTGCTTATTGAGCTTTGAGAAGTCAACGAATGATCGGGCCCGAGTAGCTCGGGATCGCTCAAATTTATGCGGTCTGTGACATCAGAATCGTTTGGATTGGATTGGACGCGTGCGTCTGAGAATCCGATTCGTGTCGACCGTCCGTTTCTCTGGGCCGAATGCCGTAGTCACTTCACATTAATTGGGCTGGCCTTGTGCGGTGGTTATGAACTTTTCCAATATGCACGGCCCGCTATTTCCTGGGCTTCTGATAAAAAAGATTAATGGGCCCCTTACCGCCCACTACTGTGGCCCGGGCTTTGAGAAGTTTGTTGCTTAGTCGGTATCCGATATACAAAAGTATATACTCTTAAATTTAGGAATATTTTCAATAAAAAAATCGTCCAAAATGAGCGAGAGCGAGAGAGGGAGAGAGAGAGAGAGAGAGAGAGAGAGAGAGAGAGAGAGAGGTGCTTCTGTTCTATCCATCTGTTGACTAGTCAGCGAGCGAGCGAGCGACAGAGAGAGAGAGAGAGAGAGAGAGAGAGAGGAGAGAGGTGCCTTTGTTCTATCCGTTTTGTTGACTGGTAAACTGCCACATCTCCACTCTCTCTTCCGCCGCCGCGGGGTGCTTCTCGGATGGACGATCGGCGGTAAAGAAGGGTTCGGAGGGTGAATGATGAGGAAATTAGGAACGGAGAGATGCAGAATGATGTCATTTCCCAGTAATTTTCTCTTCTTTCTGAATATTTTATTGGGGGCTGAGATGGATTGCCGCAGATCCAGGTAAGCAAGATGGCGAGATGTCTCTCCAGGGCTTCGCTATGATTCTTCTCCCTGCCTTTCGTAGGTTCTTCTCCTCTTCTCCCCCTGCCCCCGTGCTTTTCATCGTGCTTACCGATAAGGGTTTGATTCCCCACTTTTGTAGGTCTGAAGTTCCTTAACCTTCATCTAAAGAGTTCTCGCAATCGATGTGCACACCTTTAGATCAGGTCTTCTTTCCCGTTTCTCCTTTTCTCCACCGTTTTTGGCAGACTTCCTGATCGATCCCCCCATGGCACGATCATCCAAGATTTCGAGGTTTCGTTGATGCTGAAGCTTCAAATCCTCTGTGATGGAGCCGTCCGCCTGAGTCTGTCCAGATCTGGTGGCGTTCTACGGAGGAAGCTCCGTCAATTCCTGCCCGTGGCCATGTTGTGCCGAGGAGACGGAGTAAGAAGGCGCTTTTGAGCAATGACGCCTTGTGCGATCTCCACGGCGTCAGACGGCGGTTGTTCCCCGAGCGGACACTTCTACTTCTGCTTCTGGAGCCACCGGTGTCGCTCAGACAACTTCCGGGGAGTTTGGGGAATTTATGGAGGAGATGTCTCCCTCTGGTACTTTGCCATTTAGGGTAGGCAATTCTTCTGCTGAAAACAAGAGACGAAAGTTGACGAGGGACAGTGTGGACTCGATCTCTGACCAGACCGCTGATCTGCGGGAGGAGGTTTGTTGCGACAACTGCAGCAGCAGCTGCTGCTGTAGCTGCGGACGGGAGGAATATGAGACGGTAACGATGGAAAAAATTGCGGACGGTGTTATTGTGGAAGATGGGGCAATCCAGAGGAGTGAAGATGATGATATACTCTTAGCGTCTGAGCAGTCACAAGGGAGCTCTTGCTCCCTTTCTTTCATCAGTGATGCCAGCAGCATCTGGATAGCAGCCGAGGACTTCCGTCTGTTGGATACAGCCTTGGAGATGGGAACCCCAGAATCTGTGGATTCTGTGAAGAGTGTGATGAGCAGCACCTCGATAGCTGCTTCGGGTTGTGCTTCAGGAGAGTTGGGCAACTCCTGTGTGAAAGTGATGCCCACGGTTGGACAGGAAGTGGTGGAAATCCAGGCTTATGGGGCAAGCCCTTGTAGGCTACCCCTCTCTGAACTGCCACTCTGGGGTCTCGTTTCCATATGTGGAAGGCGACCAGAGATGGAAGATACCACAGCAGTTGTCCCTCAGTTTTCGGATTTTCCTCTGTGGATGCGATCAGCTGCTCCATTGGTGGATGATGGAATCAATGCAAGTTTGACTCATTTGGCTGGCCACTTTTTTGGAGTCTATGATGGCCATGGTGGTGTTCAGGTACTATCCTTCTAAAAATAAAAGATTAAAAAAAGAAGAAAAAGGGAAAAAAAGAAAAAAAAGAAAAAAAAGAAAAAAAGAATTCAGACTATTTTTTAATAATATCTCACGTTTTTATGGTACCTACCTATACAGGTGGCTAAGTACTGTCAGGAACGCATGCATATGGCATTAGTAGAGGAGATGAGAAGTCTTACAGAGGGTGATGGAGGCAGCAACGGGGACGACTGCCAAAAGAAGTGGGAGCGTGTTTTCATTGATTGCTTTTTAAAAGTTGATTCTGAGGTTGGAGGAAGAGTCACCAGAGGTAATGGTCCCCCTCGGGAGGATAGGACTTCTTGTTCTGCAGAACCCATCGCACCAGAAACTGTGGGATCTACTGCTGTGGTTGCTGTTCTTTTTGCTTCTCACATTATTGTCGCAAACTGCGGGGATTCAAGGGCAGTGATTTGCCGTGGCAAGCAACCCATTCCCTTATCAGTAGATCATAAGGTAAAGTATAAATTAGGGGTCATCTTTTATGTTTTCATCTCTATTGTGTTAATCCCATGGATTAATGTCTGTATGCTTCAGCCCAACAGGGAAGACGAGTATGCAAGGATTGAAGAAGCGGGAGGGAAGGTGATACAGTGGAATGGTTATCGTGTGCTTGGTGTCCTTGCAATGTCTAGGTCAATAGGTAGGTGCTTCGCTGTATCTGTGAAAAATTTGGTCTGGCGTGCTGCTGATGCTTTGTGGGCGTTTTGGATGAATATTAGGTCGCTTGCCTTGTATAGTATAACAGATTACCATATCCAAGCAAAGTACATTTCTTGGATCTAAGCATGCAAATCAACATCCCATCACTGCTTGTACTGGTTAAGTGTGAAGTGTGGACCTCATGGACCAAGAACCATGACACTGGTTGACGAAAGTTCTGATAAGAATTTATCAAAATCTCTTTAGACTTCATGTTCTGATCTCTAGACTAAGATGCTATCTGCATAGATTTAATTTTTTCAGAATAAGGTCAACAGAAAAAACTGTTTATGAAGAACGGAGATTTTTGTTACGTTGGATAAGTCAAATCCTAGATTGAAACTTCTTTGTTTTTATGGTGAATTCGTATTCAGTATTCTTATGTTTCATACCCTATCAAACATCATCTCCAATCATTCAGTTTCTATATGCCCTTATGATCGGCCATATTTTTTCTCATAGCAGTGACTAATTACTATCAGCTCATTTTTCGCTGTGACAGAAAGAAAATAAAATCAAAATAAAATGTAAGAATAACATTTCTAAGGCTACCACAGTCTGCCCATCTTATTATATAGCTAAAACTACTAGCTACCATTCCACGTGATAAATGCTCCTGATGAAAACTCTTAGAAATACGCAATAATTAGCTTTATCTTTAAAATTTTCAAGCCATTTGAGTTTATAATGTTTTTACTTCATTGTTGCCTCTCCAGTTGAGGAAAGAATTGTTAGTATCGCTGCCCCACCCACATGCTGACATGTTGAAGGTGTAGTGTGGTTGCTCATGTTAAGGATGCATGTTTCTGTGTAAATACATTTTTTTTTTTCTTGACATCTGTAATGAAGGGTGGATATATGTAGATGATCAAATATGCTGCTCGATCAAGATCCACCAGCTGAGCTGGTAAAAGGTATAAACCGATTATAAGGCTGAACCCTTGGAAATTGCTTCGTCAACACAAGTTTTCATGTCCCTTGTTTTATAGACTGTCACCCAGAGTTATCATGATGCTGATGCTTCAATGCCGTTGACATCTTAAAAGATCTGCTCTGTCTAAAGATCTTCTGATGACCTAATTTATTTGCCCACACCGAGAAAATCTTTCATGAAACATCAAAGACGAGTCATTCATGCTAAGAGAAAATCTTGCCTGTTTTATTCCATAATTTTCTTTCGAGATCCGCAAAATGGGTTTTTTCTGATTTTCCTGGTCTGGTGAGACGAAGAAAAAAAAGAGAAAAACGAGAAGTTGACCGGAATAATAGTAAGGTCAACTTAAGCTCAACACCATGTGGATAGTCGTGGGAAATTATGCCATTTATTGCGTCTTCCCTTCTCTGCTTATTTCTTTCCTACAATTGTTATCGCTCGCCTTCCCAAATCACCGGCTGCTGCTGCTGCTCCTCCTCTTTTTCTTTCCTTTTTTCTTGGAGCCATGGACTGCAGGAGTTGACTTTACCGTTTCTGCATGCTATCATCATCTTCTTATTTCTTTGGACCTAGAAATGCATGACCCAGATAACACCATCTGGGCACATGACAGCTGCAGTTATCCACCAGATATTTCTTCTCTGGGAAAAGAAAAGAAGAGAAAAAAAAAATTCTATTTGCAAATCCCTGGATTAATCCATATCTCCGGATTATGCAGGTGATAGATACTTGAAGCCTTGGATCATCGCCGAACCAGAAGTCACCTGCCTTGCTCGGTCCAAAGAGGACGAGTGCCTCATCCTTGCTAGCGATGGCCTGTGGGACGTCTTGTCCAACGAGGAAGTCTGCAATGCAGCTCGCAAGAGGATTCTCCTCTGGTACAAGAAGAATGGCGGCGCCGCCTCCCCCTCGGAGAGAGGGGAGGGGGCTGACCCGGCGGCCCAAGCTGCCGCTGACTATCTGTTGAAGCTGGCCATCCAGAAGGGAAGCAAGGACAACATCACGATCATTGTGGTTGACTTGAGGCCACGCCGGAAGATCAGGGTCAAACCCCTGGTCGGGTCGCCACAGCAGGAAGGTGGAGCACTGACGCCACCGGGTCCTTGAGTGGGGCCATATTTAGTTGGATGCATAGATTAGCCCATATATATTTTTTTCTTTCCATTTTGGGCTTAATTGATCAGTAGAAATCTTGCTGTAAATGTGCATAAATCTATGCCCATCTCCGAGTCATTTCATTATAATTCTTACTGAGCTCTGATGTATGTCACATTCCCCCACTAATTTTTGCCAAGAAAGGACCCCTTTTTTCTTTTTTCTGGCTGTGAATGATTGTGTAGATGGGGCTGTTAATGGGACGGGCCTTGATCAAGACCTGTTATAAAGTGGGCCCTAGTGCCATTGAGGGCGAATTTTTGACTTTGACTTTGACTCTGACTCAGACTCTCTCTCTCTCCCCCCTTTTTCACTCTCCTGTCTCTCGAATAGGTCAACAGAAGAACACCGAGCTCGTCCCAGGCTTCAATCGTTTCCGGGCCGGAGCTCATTTTCAGGCTTTTTTGGGGCCCGCAATAAGTCTCGGTCTTCTTCAAGTTATTGGATTCTCGTTGCGTCAGGTTTTAGTTTTCCATTTCGGACCGGGCTGCCCCTCGTGTAGGTTGCACTCAGCTGGTGACTATTGATGCGTAGTTCATGGGTTGGCAAGTAAACGGGCCAGACCGGAAATGCTTATGAAACGGGGCCCAGGCCCGAAAGAAAAGCCCAGAGGAAGCAGCGTACGACACAAATGTTACAAAAAGGCAATTAATTATTTTTAAGATGTAATAACTGGATTAGTATTTGTTAAGGGGCTAATCGTAAATATACCCCACACCCACCTCCCCCGATTGCCGAGACGAGAAGAGCGGGAGGCACATCGTAACGAACGCCCGGCAATCTTCTTGTTCATCCGAAGGCATCTCTACGCCCATATCTCTTCGCCATCGAGAAGGATCAAGAGGAAGGTAGGCCGTATAAGCTTCTCGCGAAGTGAGTCTGCAACGTCGGAGAAATTTGTGCGGGGAAATTTTCATTTCCTCGTTAGTTCTGTCATTGTTCGGATGACTGATTCACATCACAGATGGCAATTCGTCTTCCGACGAATCTAAATTTTTCCCTCCGAATATTCTTATAACCTAGTTGCGGTGCCAAACATTTTCCATTACATGGATTTTCTTAATAGTGGAGATATTTCAGTCATTCTTCTCCCTGGAAGTTAGTCGTTCTTCTATTCTATTCTCACTTCGCCGGCGGTTTCTCTAACAAGATCTTTTGATAAATTTTGAAATTCAGTCTCGTTGGGGAGCTATTTCGAAGACTAAAAAAGTGAGAACTCTGGAGTTTCGTATCTTTTAATTTTATTGGCCATCCATCACGTCGTAAATTCTCTTATTTTTCCTGATTATGTTCGACCATGTTGAGGGACTGGAGAGTAGTTTTTTTTTTTTTTCCTGCACAGAATATGGTTTGATGGTTTGACTTTATGCTGGGGTAGCCTTATGTACCATTCTAGTCATTATTGTTCGCAATCCTGTTCGATGGAGTCTAGTATTGTCTGGCATAGCCATTTGATGAAATATCCAGGTTTATTTTCCTCTGTGTTCTAGTTGCACTTTGTCTATAGATTACTGAGGAATTGGAGCCTTCTAACGATGCCCTGATTGTATCCTCAGGTCAGAAATGGTGCTAGAATTTTACAATCTCAGCTCACACTCTGGCCTTCAGAAACTTGATGAATATCTTCTCACTCGTAGTTACATCTCTGGGTAATGCTGTCTGCATTTTACTGTCCTTTTCCAGTGTCGCATTATGTTCTTGATGGCCCTCCTCATCACGTTGAGCTTTGTTTCAGATACCTACCTTCCAAGGATGATATCACTGTCTATGCTACCATTTCTTCACGACATTCTTCAGATTTTATAAATGTATCCCGCTGGTATAACCACATCGACGCCCTCCTGCGTTTGAGGTATATTCAGCTATATATTTTTTTTTATATATGCTCATGTTGATCTTCCCCTTCTTGGCAAACTCTTATTTTCTTGTTTACATCTTTTATCTATGCAGCGGTGTGGCCGCAAAGGGAAAGGGCGTCATCATCGAGAGTTCTTCTTCATCTTGAGAGGAGGTGCCAGGATCCCCTCCTGTGGCTTCTAGTCTGTCGGATGTCTTATCTGTAATGTTTTCGACCGTTACACGCTCTTCAAATCGGACTAAAATCCTTACTGTGCTGAACTGATGTAAATATATGATGCATTACTACGTGAAAAGGGAGAAAAATTAATCTGGTCGTTAAATTTTTATGTAATTATGTATTGATTTTGTGAAAAGGTTTCCAGTGAAGTTACCACAGGAGAGTGCAATCTAACTATAGCTCATGGAACTGGCGTCGTTAGAGTAAATCCTTCTCAAGATAATGTATCAACGATCAAGATATTATCTGATGGTTAAGGCTTTGGGGGCACTTTTGTATCTGGCCCATATTTTTTCCCCTTTTTTCTTGGGAGAACTCAGTAATTTGTAGGCCTCAGCAGCTGGGATGCAGGGGATGACGTTTACCTGCTTGGCGAAGAAGCAGAGGAAGAGAAGAGGGCAGCTGAAGAGCAAGTTGCAGCTTCAAAGGCTTCTGGAAAAAAAAAAACCCCGTAAGTTCTTAAAAGAATTAGTCATGTGGTTGATAACAGATCAAGAAACCCAGTGGCGGATACAATTGATGGAAACATATTTCCATCTCACATCAGCCTCAGTACCTCCATCTCACTTTGCATTGACTTTTTCGAAAATCTGCATGAAGCTTCCAGAATTTCTTGTTTCAATTAATTATACTCCAGAATGTCGATCATGATCCAGGCCGATTTATTCTTCAACTGCATATATCAGCTGGAAAGTCTTCTGTGCTCCTAGACGTGGAGCCATTGGACGATGAGACCGACATTAAGAAAAGCTTGAAGAAGCTGTAAGGGGTGTCCACCTGGAAAGCTTGGTCATGGGCTCCTGTGGGTCAACCCCCTCCTAGTACTTTGAGAGAAGAATGCTGGTCAACGGGTTTGATTCTTCTGATCTGTTCCAGCTCATGAAGAAGCGTGAAGAAGCTGCAAGGGGCTTCCACAAAGCTTGTGGGCACGTTTAGGTCAACTCCCTCCTAGTATTATGATAAAAGAATGCTGGTCAACAGGTAAGATTCTTCTGATCTCATCCCAGCTCATCCAGCCGGGCTCAGTAGATATATATAGCGTAGTAGATTGGCCCGTAAAAGCTCGACTTTTGAAGCAGGGTCGCGATTCACACGTGTGATCTTCGCGTCGGTCCCGTGTTTATTTTGCTGCAATTTATCTTATTCGTGTCTCTCGGAGAATGAAATATTACAGCTTATACCGTACCGTTATTTATATTTATATATTTGTCTTTATGTATTTTTGTAGTTAGACCATACTGTTTATGAGGTTGTCGGAGTCGGTTTCGGCATCAGTGAAATCGATTAAGCAGATCCGATCCTCTCGTATCCGGTCGGTTTAAATCTGTGTATCCGGTTTCGTTCTCTCTCTCTCTCTCTCTCTCTCTCCTCTCTCACGAGCTAACGGCTCTCTTGTCGCCGGCGGTCTCTTCTCCGGCGAACTTCGATCAGAGCGGCTTCAGTAGAGTCGCCCTGTGTGTTCAGAACCCTCCGCGAGCTGATCAGAGAAGACCCTCCCTGGTCATCGGCTTCCTTCTCGTCTCGCCCACCGGAGGGGGATAGCTACCACAAGCGGCGTCACCTGCTGCCTCCGCTTCCCCGGGCAGCTGAACTCCGACCTCCGGAAGCTCGCCGTAAACCTTATCCTTTTCCCCCAGCTCCACTTCTTCATGGTGGTCTTCACCCCGCTGACTTCTCGCGGCTTCCAGCAGTAGCGGGCGTTGACCGTCCCGGAGCTGACGCAGCAGATGTGGGTCGCCTAGAATACGATGTGGGCCGCCGGACCCCGCCACGGGCGCCACCTGACCGCGTCCGCCATGTTCAGCGGGGAAGATGAGCACCAAGGAGGTGGACGAGCAGATGATCAACGTGTAGAACAGGAACTCGTCATACTTCGCTTAGTGGGTCCCCAAACAAGGTCCGTCCAGCATCTGCGACATGGTTCCCCCGGGGCCTCTCCATGGCCGAAGACGGCGGCAACAACTCTACCTCCGTCCAGGAGATGTTCCACCGGGTCAGCGAGCAATTCACCGGCATGTTCCGCCGCAAGGCCTTCCTCCAATGCCACACTGGCGAGGGCATGCATGAGACGGAGTTCTCCGAGGCCGAGAGCAACATGAACGACCTTGTCTCCGAGTACCAGCGGTACCAGGATGGCACCGCCGAAGACGACGGCGGCTACGACGAGGACGAGGAAGCAGACGCCGAACGCGTTGCCATGTTTCTATCTACATCTTCCGCTTCCTACTTCTGGGACGATGCGGTCGTGCTTCTGATAAAACCATGGCGTTGCTCGCTGCCTCTATTGATCCATGACCGATTCATGAACGAAATCCCTAGTATAGCATAAAAATAAAGTATTGACGGGGAGAAGAGAAGGTACAAGTTTCGGCACTTTCTTCTTCTTGAAAGATTTGCAGAAAACATAAACTCGGATTAATCGACGACCCTTCTACCCAAATAATGAGACGAACAAGGAACCCGTCTCAATCCCTTCAATCAACATTCCTCCCCAAGAGAAGATTTACTGATGGAGAGAAGAGAAGACAAAAATTTCTGTGTTTTTTTTCTTCTGGAGAGATTTGCAGCAAACTTTACTTGAATTAATCGACGACCCGACCAATGATTCGTGGGAGCAGATTTATCCGTGACTAAGCTGTCTCAGAACAACCACTGACGTAACGCATTAGGCGGGTTCATGAACGAGATGCTCACCATGAGAATACCTGCTGATGGAGGAGGAGAGATGACAAAAAAAATCTGCGTTTTCTCTTCTGGAAAGATTTGCAGAAAACTTTACATGGATTAATCGAAGACCCGACCAATGCATCAAATCACATGAGATGAAACAACAATCGTCTGGTTCTCTACTACAGACATTCCGAAAATCTGACCACGAGGCAGAGAAAAAAAGAAGCCCAGCTGTGGAAGTCACTCCACGGAAAACTGATCAACGCCAGCGTCGTGGTTCCTTGGGATCGGGCCCCGGCTTAGGTGCGTCCTTCAGCGACACGATGTGAACCATCCTCATCTTCTTCGCTGCACTCCCGGAGAAAGACGGCGTCCCCCGGTTAGCGTCCCATCGTTGGCTCTATCTTAACATAAAAAGCTTGTTCATCCTCTACGGCAGAAAGTAGAAATCCACTCACCGTCGCTGGCTTTCTGGTACCCAGCGTGGAGCTTCCTCTTGGAGTTTTCAACTTTGTCTCGGACCGCCATTTCGGCGGCGTCGTCGGTCGTCTGCGTTTAATGAAAAATAACGAAAAAGGACGTCTTGTGAATGAATCGTTGCGGAAAAATCGCCTGAAGCAGAACGATTCCAGCTATTAAAGAGAAACTCGAAGGAGTGGAAAAGATTGAAGAACCGAACCATAAGAGCTTTGTCCTGTAGCAGAGTCTCCGTAATCTTCAATATATCCCTAATGATCTGGCTCCTGGTCTCCGTCTTTGTGGGATCTGTCACGGCCTCTCCAGCCTGGGGGGCGCCGCCGTTACTACCAGCCTTGATCTGCTTCTCCCGGCCGATGCGATCCAGATCTACTTTCTTCTCAGGGAGCCCGTTCCTTGTGGGTTCGTCGCATCGCGAGAGCTCGGGCGGGTGAGGTGAGAAGAGCTTCTCGGCGATGCGATCCCTGCGGCGACAAAGCTCTGCGGGGGAGTCCGCTGCGGCCACCCGGATCGCCTGGTCGATCACATGGAAGATATCCGGGGTGGCGCAGCGGAAGAACTTCCTCCAGTAGTCCAGCTCAGGGATCTCCTTCGCCATTTCTAACTGACGGTGGCTCACGAATGATCAGAGATCCTCTCTCTCTTCTGGGAAAAATAGGATCGGAAGGGAAAGAGGGGTGGAGAAGGAGAGCCGAGGAGATGAGGGAAGAGGGATGGGGGAGCAAGAAGGAGAAGAAGATGGGTGGAGGGGGGAGAAGGGCGGGAAATACTGGTAGAGAGAGGACTGTTTAAACCCTTGGCGCGAACTTCACCTGTCAGGTATATCTAACTCAATTACCATCGCATATTTGTTATTTGTATTTATACTCCTTTTGACGTGTGGTTAGGCCTACCCCTCAACGCCCTCCTCCGACAGCGTCCAAGATTACAGCTTTGAGCCTATAACCTCACTTATCGATGCGACAGTAACAACGGCGGGCTTTTCCGCAAGAAGCTTGTGATCTCCACTGGCTTTCGTGTTAGATCGTCGGCTTGAATTCTGTTTCTGTTTATTTTTAAGATTTAGAGCCCGTCTCTCTCTCTCTCTCTCTCTCTCTCTCTCTCTGTTTCTCTCTCCCACTACCTCTCTCCTCCTCTCCCTCTCTCTCTATCTCTCTCTCTCTCTCCGTTTCCCCCTCCCTCTCCCGCTCTCCCCCCCTATCTCTTCCTCTCCCTTCCTCCCTCTCTCTCTCTTTCTCTCTCTCTCTCTCTCTCTCACCCTTTCCCCCTCTCTCTCTCCCTCTCTCCCTCTCCCCCCTCCCTCTCTCTTCCTCTTCATCTCCCTCTCTCTCTCTCTCTCACCCTTTCCCCCTCTCTCTCTCCCTCTCCCCCCTCCCTCTCTCTTCCTCTTCCTCTCCCTCTCTCTCTCTCTCTCACCCTTTCCCCCCCTCTCTCTCCCTCTCTCCCTCTCCCCCCCTCCCTCTCTCTCCTCTCTCTCTCTCTCTCTCTCTCTCTCTCTCTCTGTGCCCCTCCCTCTCTCTCTCTCTCCCTCCCTGTCTCTTCGTCTCCCTCCCTCCCTCCCTCTCTCTCTCTCTCCCTCCCTCTTTCTCTCCCTCCCTGTCTCTTCGTCTCCCTCCCTCCCTCTCTCTCTCCCTCCCTCTCTCTTCCTCTCTGTCTCTCTCTGTCTCTGTCTCTGTCTGTCTGTCTCTCTTCTCTCCCTCTCCCTCTCTCTCTCTCCCCCCCTCTCTCTCTCTCTCTCTCTCTCTCTCTCCCTCCCTCTCTCTTCCTCTCCCTCTCTGTCTGTCTGTCTGTCTGTCTGTCTGTCTCTCTTTTCCTATTCCTCTTTCTCTCTCTCCCCCTCCCTCTCTCTTCCTCTCTCTCTCTCTCTCTGACACACACACACCCTCTCCCTCTCTCTGTGTCTCTGTTTCTGTCTCTCTGTCTGTCTGTCTGTCTGTCCCTCTCCCTCTCTCTCTTTCACTGCCGGCGACCAGCTAGCCGAAATCGTCACCGAAGGATAACAGTTGCGCCGCCGCGTGTTGTCAGTTCTCCTCTCGATAAATTGGCAACCCAGATGGAAATTAAAGGCCACAAGGAGGATGAAAGACACATTTATTGATCACAAAATTTCTGCCAGCTTCGTACGCAGCCCTAGTGAAGATGAAAGCTTACAAAGAGAAGTGACAAGGAGATGCAACAAACCCACTGAAAAATTCTTGGCAAATCTTCCCCTTCTCCTTCCAACAAATGTCCCACAAACATACCAAATTCCGAAAGTGCAGCCCTCAGATATTCAACCATGTTTCTGTACTCTTCCTCTCAGGGCCCGAGGGTGCTTCAGCACCCTCAATAACACACCGGTAACATCTCCTCACCTGCAAATCTTTTCATCATATGTCGTACCTGACCCCCGCTGCTGCCACCGGAGAAAGTGAGCCGCAGCCGCTGGCCACCACGACCACTGCCCATTAAACTCATTCCTGGAGCCTTTAGATCCACAGATGAGATCTGGGTCCTGAGTCTCATAAGCAGCACCTACATGCTCTCAAGGTTCTGGTTGAGCTGCTTTATCTGCACGAGTTGATTCGGAGGAAATTCCGCGCCTGTCAGCTCCGCGACCAGGGCGGAGCACTGGCCTGTGAGTCAGATAGTACGGCCTCCAGAGAAGCCATTGTTGAGTCGGAGGCCTCCCTGGGGATTCTGTAGGAAAAATAGCGGAATAAACCTGCAAGAGAAGCAATCGTTCGGGAGAGAAAATAGATGGGAGAGATAGTAAGAGAGGAGACGGTTCCGCGTGCTCACAAACCCTAGAAAAGGACGAAAATGAGAAATTCTATATAAAATGAGAGAGAGAGAAGAGTATTTATAGCCACACATTAAATGGACTGGCCACTTATGGCCCACTAAAAGACAAAAAAGGCCTAATATAGACGAAAAGAAATACTTTCGCATTAAATACTAACACTCCCCCTTAATCCAAAAACGTTTAAGACCAAGAGCTTCTCTAAATTTCACGAATTTAGAATGTCCCAGCACCTTCGTAAAGCCACCTGCCACTTGATCCAATGTTGAACAGAATTTCATTTCAATAAAATTTTTGGCAACTAAATCTCGAATAAAAGGATGCCTTATCTCAACATGCTTTGCTCTTCTATGAAATATTAGATTCTTCATCATAGAAATAGTTGACATGTTGTCACAATACATCACTGTAGGCATTGACTATGGAATATTAATATCTTGTAAAATCTTTCTCATCTATATTGTTTGTTGTGCAGCCAATGGTGCAGTAATATATTCAGCTTCAGAAGATGATAATGCTGTAGATTCTTGTTTCTTAGAAATCCATGAGATTACACCTGAACCAAAGCTGAAAACAAAACCACTTGTACTTTTTTTGTCATCAATGGAATTTACCCAATCACTATCTGAATAATCAGAAAAATAAATTAAGCAACATGTTGATATAGAATTTCATAATTATAGTGCCACACACATATTGAAGTATTCTTTTTGCTACTCTAAGATGATGAACAAATGGTGAGTGCATAAACTTTGAAATCAAACTAACTGAAAAGTATGAGTTAAAATACATCAAACCACCAACAATGCTTCTATAAAAGTATTCATTTATTTTTGTAGTCCTATCAGCAAGACATAATTTATCATTTATATTCATAGGAGTAGAGAAAGTCTTGCAATGAAACATATTAAATTTTTTTAGCAAGCCATATGCATATTTCTCTTGTGAAATAAATATATATGATTATTTTGAATAATTTGAAGTCCAAGAAAGTAATGAAACACTCCCAAATTTGTTGTATCAAATTCAACCATCATACCATTCTTGAAATCTGAAAGTGACAAAGAAGATCCAGTATATATATAAGATCATCAACATATACACATACGATCAAAATATCTTTATCTTGAGTCTTGATATAAAGTGTTGGCTCATTCTCATTTCTATAAAAGTGATACTTGTGAAAATATGAATCAAGTCTACTATACCATGCTCTTGGTGCTTGTTTAAAGTCATAAAGTGACTTCTTTAATTTATACACTTTGTTCTCTTTTCCTTCAAGAATAAAACCTATTAGTTGCTCAATATATATATCTTCATTCAAATAAATATTCAAAAATACTGATTTAACATCAAATAGAAAAACTTTTCATTTCATTTGAGCTGCCATAGCAAAAACAATATGACTGTTTCAAATCTTGCAACCGAAGAAAATGATTCAAAGTAATCAATACCTTGTTGCTGTGCATATCCATTCACTACTAACCTTGCTTTGTATTTTTGAACATTACCATCCAGTTTATACTTCACTTTGTAAACTCACTTGACTCTAATTACTTTTGTCTTTTGTGGTAAATCCACCAACTTCCATGTGTCACTCTTCTCAATTGCTGTAATTTCTTCTCACATTGCCTTCTCCCATTCATCTTTGCCTTGTGCCTCTTTATAGCTTGTTGGTTATACAATCATAAGAGTAAAAGGACATGATTCATAAATATCACATAAAAATTTCATCTTTTGTGGGCTTAATGATTCTAGACTTGAATCATTTTGGCCATTAATACTACTTGCATTTCTTGAAGAAGATCTTGAAGGTGTGACACATGAAATAGAAGCGTCACCTATTGACTTTTCATCATTTTGCATAATTTTCTGTCTATTTTCACAAGAGGAAATTTGACGAATTGGATCTGCATTTTGATTCCAGCAAACATATTCATCAAATATAATATCACGACGAATCAATAATATTTTTGTTTCAGGATTATATAGTCAATAACCCTTACTCACATCACTATATCCAAGAAAAATACATTTTTCACTCTTTTTGTCCATCTTATCACAATCATCAACATCAATTAAAGTGTAAGATATGCAACCATTTTTTTTAAATGACCAACATTAAGCTTTCGATGATACCAAGCTTTATAAGGAGTTATATTCATCATCACTTTTGTAGGAGACATATTTAAAAGATAAATCAAAGTTGCAATGCCTTCAACCTAAAAATCATTAGACTCACTAAGTATACTTTTAACCATTTCCACAATAGTTCTATTCTTCCTTTCAACAATACCATTTTACTCCAGAATTTTTCTAATAGTGAGTTGTCTTTTAATTCCATGCTTCTTACAAAATAACTCAAACTCATGAGAAATAAATTCTCTCCCTCGATCTGTTCGAAGAGTTTTAATAATATGCTCACTTAATTTTTTAGCAAAAGCCTTGAAATAAATAAACTTCTCAAATACTTCAGATTTATGAGAAATAGAATAAACCTAACTCATACGTGTGAAGTCATCAACAATCAATAAAAAATATCGACTACCATTTAAGGATAATGTCCCCATTGGACCACATAAATCAGCATGTAATAATTTAAGGAGAAATTTTGCTCTCAATGATTGCCAATAGGAAATGATAATCAATGTTGCTTACTGTAAACACATCCTTCACATACTTTGTCGTTTGCTGAAATAGAAGGTAAATCAGTAACCATATGCTTGTGATGTAATAATTTAATACATTAAAGTTTAAATGACCATAACGCATATGCCAAAGTGAAGATAAATCATTTTCTTTTGTAATTATGCCAAAATTAATGTCTTGAAATATCAAGAGGAAACATCCTCTTTCTAACCTTAGGAATCAACATTGGAGACATGCCACTCTTCTTATGCTTGATAACACATCTATCATATTTGAAATGAACAATAAAGCCACATTCTAATAATTGACCCACACTAAGCAAATTATATGCCAACTTTGGAAAAAAATAAATATCATAAATTAATGTATGTACCCCTGATTTAGTATGAACAATAATAGTACCAATGACTTTAATTTTCACACCATTTTCATCACCAATAGTAACATCACAAATCATAGAGGTGTCAATATTCTGAAATAAATCTTTTTCCCCTGTCATATGATTGTTGCAACCACTATCAATAAAACATATATTTGATGTACTTGAGCTTGAAGAAATATTAGTTATAAACAACTTATTTTAATCATTTTCTTCAACAATATTTGCTTGCTCCTTTTTCTTGTCCCAACAATTTGCTTCAATATGATCATACTTGTAAAAATTACACATTGGTTTAGAATTCTCTTCTCTCATGTTTTATTATTGTTTTACCTTTTCATAACAATATGCTTCAATGTGACCATATTTCTTACAAAAATAACATTACATAATCTTGTAATTTGGTTTTTGATTTTGTTGATTTCTTTCATCCTTTCTTTGTTGCCCATAATATGATCTACTATGTCCTCTTCCATGACCTCTATTTTGATAGTCTCTTCTACCATGTCCTTGTTGTGTAGATGTACCTTCACTATTTTTCTCATTATTTGAAATTTCAACCTTTGCTTAGAATGATTGTTCAATAGATTTTTTCTTCTGTCTATTAGTCTGTTATTCCTATGCTAACAATGCTCCAATTAACTCATTTTGGCTATAAATAGATAAATCCTTAGATTGTTCAATGGTAGCAATAAGATGATAAAATTTAGAAGGCAAACTTCTTAAAATTTTTTCAACAATTCTTTTTTCAGAAATATCTTCACCAAATATTCTCATTTGATTTATAATAATGGCAACTATAGAAAATAAATCATGTACTAATTCATCTGATTTCATAAAAATATTTTCAAATTCTCGACAAAGAGTTTGAAGCTTCATATTTATAACAATGTTATCACCATGAAATTCATCTTTCAAAATTTTTCAAGCTTCAAATGAACTTGATGCATTAATAATTTGTGGAAAAATTACTTCTGAAGTTGATTGCTGTAAAACTAATAATACCTTAGCATCCTTTTTTCGAAATTCCTTATTTTCTTGTCTTGAAGTCTCTCCTTCTTTATTTCCACTCTCAACTAACTCCCATAAGTCTTGAGAAATAAAAAATATCTACATTTTGATACTCCAAAAATCGTATTTTCTCCATTAAAAAAAGAACAAGAGGCTGTGATAGGTTTAGGGGATTACCATTTGCCATTTCACTGTAGTGATGATTCTTCTCCACGTAAATGTTGATTCAAATCTTCAAAATCCTTGCTATGACAAGAAATCTCCAAAAACCCCAAATAAATTTCACAAATCTTGAATTTCTTATCTTTGGATGATGCTGGCCGCTCCACAGAAAAACCAACACCCAATATGCAAACCTAGAGCTCTGATACTACTTGTAGGAAAAATAGCAGAATAAACCTGCAAGAGAAGCAATTGTTTGGGAGAGAAAATAAATGAGAGAGATAGTAAGAGAGAAGACGGTTCGCATGCTCACAAACCCTAGGAAAGGACAAAAATGAGAAATTCTATATAAGATGAGAGAGAGAAGAGTATTTATAGCCACACATTAAATGGATTGGTCACTTATGGCCCACCAAAGGAGATGGCAACTTTAGCTTACTAAAAGACAAAAAAGGTCTAATATAGACAAAAAGAAATACTTTTGCATTAAATACTAACAGTTTCTGCCACCCGAGCTTGGAGAGGGAGCAAGGCCAATGCTCCCAATACTAGTGCACCTGATAAACCTCTTAGGGGAGAAGATCCTATTGATGCTCTCTCTGTCAACAAGGCTTCATGATTTGATCAAAGCCCCCAATGTCACTATAGGGGTGGTGGACGATGCAAAAACAGCATAGGTAGTTGAATGAATAATGCATTGACCACTAATAGATACTTTTAAGTTAATGAGATAAGAATGCATAAATAGGTTTTTACAAAATATTTTTGGATATCATTAGAAGACTTAATGGGTGAATGGTGGATGATTTTGCCTCATTCTGAGGCCATTTCAGGCCGTACCACTATTGGAATGTTTCCAAAACCAGTTATTGGTGAATGGATATAGCCCATAAATGAATTAGAGAGTTTAATCCATCCCTTGCAACATGGTATTGTTGTGGTGTTTCCTTCATATGATTTTCCAAGGCTCTAACAAACAGACAACAAGGAAAATTAATTGGAGTTTTGATATGGAAACTAAGAGTGAAAAAATAGAGTAATTTGAAATAAGCAGATTAGAGGTATCTACTTAATCAAAGGTATTTGGTGAGGGTCTAAACTCAATGCCCTCCCACTCTCCACTACCACCAAGACAAGGAACTTGATGGAACAAGGATTTGTTAAATACATGAAATATTAGTTTTTATGATAGAAATAATTTTGTTCTTACCAAGATTGATGAGCTGGTCTATGGTAACCTGGCCAACTAATTCATTAAGTTTCATAAGTCCCAAAATGTAGGACAGTCTTCCCATTCCCATCTTTTTTTTTGAATCATAGAAGAGTCAACGTGAAAGAATTTTTCAACTAAAAAATTATTTTCTCAAGGATTTAGTCTTTGAAAATATTCTTCTTTTTTTTTTAGGCCATGGATTATGAGATTTCGGTTCTTTCTCTTTGAGCCACTTCAATGGAGTGAATCCTGATCATGTGATTTATTTTGCTGACATTCATCAATATGTGCTAAAAAGCTAATCTATTCTTTATGTGGAGGAAGGGGAGTTATTGATCAAGAGAAATTAAGCCAAATTCAAGGGCCTCATTAAACTAAATTGTGATTTTTAATCTAGTTATTCACATGCATCTGCATATTGTTGTGTATATTATTATTCTAGTAATAAATAGGTCAAAAAAGTAAATATAATTTTTCAAACATATTTCACTAATTATATGCACCACACTCTTATTCAAGAATTTCTCTTTCTCTATTTTTTAATCTATACTTCAGATTACAATCTGAAATTTACTTTTTACAAGAGGGTTCATCATTTTGAATAAAAATTTCCAACTATGGCAATAAATTGTGCAGAAATAGATTGGAGAATAGCCATATTTAGATCCTATGAATGCTGATAAATTCCTTCTTTTCTTAAAAAACTTGATAATTCATCAGTTGTCTTGGCCTTTTTGTTAGCCAATTGATTTGTTGGCACTAAACATTCCAGATCACTTCTCTAAATCCATGTATTTAAGAAGAAGCTGAAGAGTGCATCATATCAGGATAAACCTTATTTTTCTGTAGATATAAGGCTCACATTTTTTTAAATACAATAAAACACAATTCACTATTTAATGGTTATCACAAGATGGGGAGGTATCAAAATAACATGTTCAGAAAAAGTGGTAAAACTCAAAAAAATTGTACAAAGGAAGAACTACTAGCTCAATAGAAATTGATTTAATCTCAAGGAAACCCCAAGAAACGAAAAACTTATAAATGATGTTGGCATGAAGGCCTATAACCAATGCTTCTGTCAGCCAATCATCTCCTGAGACCCATTGATTGGCAAATATTGATAAAAGATTTGACAGAATTATCTAATAAGGGTATGTTAGTCTAGATTCAATAACTCCATGTCATGTCATCTATTTAGTTGCTGTTCATCCATATGAGATAGAAAGCTAACCTATTCATTTTACTTGAAGATATTTGGAAGTAGGAGAGTTTATTGATAAGAGAGGAAATCAGTTAAAGTCAAAGGGCCTAATTGAACTAAAATGTGATTTATAACTAGTTTTTCATTTTATTTGTACACCTGCATATTGTCCTACATATCACTATTCTACACAAGTAATGGGTCAAAAAGAACAAGTTTTTCTTATTCTATTTATGCTTTCTTTCATGTAGTCTCAATAACTAGAGGTATTAAATGATGTTTCACTGATGGTATACATTAGACTATAATTAATATATTTTTCCTCTATTTTTCACTCTACACTTCACATCACAATCAAATTTGCTTCCCCTAATAAGTAATCATGAGTTAATAATTTATAATAATATATTTAAACCTTAAATCATGATAAATATATTTATATTTATATTAACTTGAGAAAAATAAGTTTTTAATTATTTAATATATTTTTTGATTAATTTTATGAATTTATATAATTTTTATATAAGGATATTTTTATATAATTTGTGTAAAAAGTATATAATTTTTATAAGGATATTTTTGAGATAAATTAAAAAAATAGAAAAAGGGGGGATCCATTGATTAGTTAGGCTTGCATGTAGGTCAGAGGCATAATTGGGGGCTCTACTAGCTGACTAGATCCGCATGTGGGTTGGAGTCATAGTTAGGAGAGCCATGAGCTCAGGGGTCAAATGGCAAAGAATTAGTTGGCAAGACAAGGCACATATTCATCACTTCCCTTCACGTCATCGGTGGCCAACTAGGCTGGGGCAAAGAGTGATTGTACACAAGTGAGAGAGAGTACATTGGTGACAAAATATAGATGTTGATATGTGTCTCAAACATCAGAAAATAGCCAATGTGGGAGGTAGGTTTTTGCTTTTTTAAAACCAAAAATTCCATTGACTTATAAGAAGCAAAATGCCTCCATGATGTCATTAGGTAAGGGTATATAGGTAATTCACATTCTTTTCAAGTAACCTAATGACTAGTGAGAGTTTGAATTTTACTAGAACCAAAATTCATGTTTTCTTTGTTTAAATCATGATTTTCCGACAGAGTGCTGACCAACTATTAAGTCACCATAACCTCATCTTAACCACTCAAATTCATGCTTCATGAGATAACTTGTCACCCTTCGCAGCCGTTGATAAGTTGGTCTTCGCAATTTCAATAGATTATTTATTATTTAAAATAAAATTTATATGTATCTTATAACAATTCATTCTATATTCTCTCTTCTGTAGATTAAATTGAAATATTACAGTGGTGTAAGATATGCCATTGTAAGTTAATGTTTATACTGACCTTTTTTAAAATGACATATGGTAAATAATTATTATGAATGTTAATTTGTTGTACATAATGATAATCAAGATTTTCATAATTTTCTAAATTTCTAGTTGCTCTTTTGGGGTCTCTTCAATCAACTTGCTCTTAATGTAACTATTATTATTATTATTATCAAATTCTCTTAACAATAATGCTTCATCAAATATCAATTGGCTCAACTATGTATTAAAACATAAGTATCACAAATAAATATATAGAGATTAGGATAATCCACTATTTGCAAGACAAAGTCTCATGTGTTGTCTCGAGTCCAAATATCATGGAATCTGAGATTCACCAAAGAATAAATCTTATTAATTATCTTTGCCGAAACATGGTTAGAAAGTTTCAAAACTAGCTTCATACAATATGCTCTATCAAACAACATCTAGTTTATCATTTTAACTACATTCTACTCTATTGTGTCTAGAATAGTCAATTGGTCAATATATATCTTTATGAAAAAAAATCCTCAAACTCTTTTGAGGTGTCCTCACAACAACTGTTGATATATAAAAAATTAATATATTTTTCTATTTATTTTTCAACATTTTCTAAAGTATAATATATGTTGAACATTATAGTTATGACTATTCTCTCAAACATCTTGATTCTTTCTTCTTATCAAAAAAATTTAATTTATATATTATTATTAATTATAACTTCAATGATATCATGAAATGTACTTGTCAAGCCATCTCTTCATGACAAGAACAATGAGAATCAATAATAAAAGTATAGTAGTCCCTTCTTGAGGAGACTTTGAGAACAAATATTTTCATTATATAAACTACATGCAATGTTAACTTCTATGGGTAGCTAGTTACACTATTGTTTAAACCATTAGTTAATTCCAAGTTCTTTATTCCATTACTTTGACTTAAAATAAAGGTTATTATCACCTTTATTTTCCAGACATCATCTTTCTTTTTACTGAAAAACTTTAAGCGCAAATGGAAGATTTCTTTATAACATCATTAAATAGTAAAATACAATTGACTTGTTTCATCTTTAATGTGCAAACTAAGTAGTCATTGGACCTAAAATAGAGAGCTGGGGTGTTGATACAATGAGAGAGAGAGAGAGAGAGAGAGAGAGAGAGAGAGAGAGAGAGAGAGAGAGAGAGAGAGAGAGAGAATATGTTGAAAGAGCCGGTGAAGCATTACGTCATAAACTTAGAGGTATGACATGGATGCCCTTTGGATCCATCAGGCCCTCTAGGATCAGAGCCCAGATTGAGGATTCGAAACCTTCAACGCCACAACCTGAAATTTTCTCATATTCTTAGCTGAACTGAGAGAAAACTGCGTCCCCTAGTGAGCATCCCATCGTTGGCTTCATCCAAAGATAAAAGTAGTTTTGTCTTCGATGCTAGAAATGGGAAATCCACTCACCATTACCAACTTTTTCATATCCTTCTCGGAGCTTCCTTTTATAGGCCTCTACCTTCCCTTGGACCACCATCTCGTATGGGTAGTCGATCATCTGTAGGTAATATAATATATAGGTGATAGCCTATGAGAGTGAGGGAAGGAAAAGAAAGGGATGGCCTTCGACGGAGAGGAGCTGCTACAAGCTCGGTCACCTATCTTGCCCCCCCCCAAACTTGCGCTTCTTGGTCTGCTGTGTGGGAGGGCTCATTTGATGTGGTTTTGCTTCCTCCTTCCCCATAGAGGGAACTTCGGTGGAGACTTTCTCATGTTCTATGTTGAAAGGGAAATAACAAGATAGGACAATTTAGTAAAATAATTATTTTATAAAAATCTCAAGCCGATCAAGATCATCCATTCTAGCATGAGAGTAATTATACTACGAAAAGTTGAAAGATATCCTGGGTAATGCACTTCTTCAATAGCTTCTTTGAGTTTATCTTCAATAGCTTTTATAGTATAACTACTCTCATGCTGGAAGGGATGATTTTGATCGGCTTTGGGAGATTTTATGAACCATTATTTCACCAAACGTCCTCTTTCATTCTTTCTATTTCAACAAAGAGCAGGAAGAAGGGTCTCCACAAAGATTCTTCTATGGGCAAGGAGGAAGCCATAGTCAATAAGCACACCATAGCAGTCAAAGATGGGCAAGTCTCAAAAGGAATCGGTAGGTCACCTCACCCTCCATTAGCTCCGAAATTTATTTCCCTTCAAAGGCCATCCCCTTCCTCTCTTTCCCTCACTTCTCATATTCTCTCCACCTATATATTATACTATGCACGGGTGATCAACTATGCCGACGAGATGTAAATCTAAGAGAAGATAGAGGCCTCCAAGTGGAAGCTTCACAACATATATGAGAATGCCAGCAACTGAGTAAATTTCCAATTTATGGTGTAGAAAATGAACTTACTTTTATGTTTAGCTGCAGCTGCTCACTTGGGGACCTCGTTCCGCTCCTCGTGCAGCGAAGAAGATGAAGATGATTTGAGTTGTTGAAGGATGCACCCAAGCTGGGTACCAACCTATTAAAGCTAGATTTTTGTATTTTAATTAGGTTTATTATTTTATTTTTGTGTTAGCTTGCAGAATAAAAAAATCACTACCTCAGTGGGCAACTAGTGTGTACTAGGGTGGACCACCTTTTTACCTTCTCTCAAGATGGTCCTAGGCATTATTTTATTTTGAGAGAAGGTTGTTGAAAAACCGTAGCTTTGATTTATATTTAGCTCATTCGTCGAATTATTTTTAATGTGGGACTAAAGTTTCTCGTGTGTTTCAGTGCAGCTGTCTAGAGCGTGGTGTCATGTAGTGGTGTTCAGTGAGCCATGTCATCAAATAAGTCAGATCCTATAAGTGGGCGAGCCACTACAATACTAGATGTGTAAAATAATTTATTGACGGTTTGCAATTCCGACATTGCTCAACACACACATGGCCTTAAATGATGATCTGACAACTAAGGAAGTGCCATGATACCAAGGACTTAAGTCGGCAGCAATTCGTGGCCGGTTGATCCTACATCACTCAGTGCGCTACGTGACCAAGTAAATCTGATCCAGCAGCTTGTAAAGCGCCACAATACTAAGAACTTGAGTTCTCACATGTATTCACCATTAGACATATAAATACAATAATCAATTGTTTTAGATAAAATAGATATTATTGATTATTTATAAAATCTCAACAATAGTCACAAATACGACAATTCATTTTCTCCCTCCTTTCACACGATCAAGTTTACAGTAAATTATTTCTACTTTGTATATGTTTTGATAGAAATGAGTAGAACTTAGCAAAAACTTGATGAATGTTTTGTTCTTTGTTCAAATCTTTTGAAACTTATCTAAGATTGAGCTAAGATCATTTCTAACTTATTTTCTATTGATTTTCACAATCAAATCTCGATACATTCATGTTCTCGATGTTCCACACAAAGTGAATATCTTTCTATTTTTGAATGAGAAATGAGTGAGATTAAAGGTTGATTAATGAGCATTGAATTGTTAAAACAAGGTGGAGACATTTATGGCTGACCTCATGTCATATCTGTAAATTCTCGAGCACACATTCATTCGAGAATCATGGTCACTATGAAAACAATTCGATCATGTTTATCTCTTTCTTAATTATTGTCTTATTTCTTTCTCTCCTTCTCTCATGAGACATTCTTCTCTCTCCATCTCTCGTGAGATCTCTCTTTCTCTCTCTCTCTCAATCAATCTCCTTCTCTTTTGCAATTGATCTCCCTCTCCCTCTCTCTTGTGAGATGTTTCTCTCTCTATCTCACGTGAGATTTCTCTCCTTGCATCTCTTTCTTGCTTTCTCTCGATCAATCTCTCTCTCTCGTGAGGTGTTTCTCTCTCTATGTCTCACATGAGATTTCTCTCCCTTTCTCTCTCTTTCGTGATATCTCTCTCTTCTCTCCTTCTTTTCTCTATTTTCCTTCTTTTATCCTTCTCACCTCATCCTTTTATTTTTTATTTTTGTTACATAGTGATAAAATATTTAAAATATTTTATATATAACTAAATTAGTTTTCATGATAAATTAATCACTCTTTGTGTTTGATTTGAGACTTACATCTATACTAATATTTTACTAAGTCTTAGTTATAAATTTTATTGGATAATGGGTATTTAAACACAAGGACAAGTGCATTTTTTTTTGTACTAATAATGAGGTTACCTCTAGTTGACTACTAGGGTCGAGCTTCATTTTTTTTCTAGCTCGACATTGGCACCTAAATGTTCATAGAAGAGATTTAGACAAGTTGCTGATTCATGTTAATGATTGAGCAGATGGGTCATCAATTAATCCGAGTAGATCTGCATTAATGTTTTGAACTTTGCAATACAACATAGAGTTCATTGAAATCATTACTAGCTGGAGGTGGAGAGCTGAAAGATTTGGAATGCACAAGACCTTGGCAATAGAGGAAAATTCAGCACAACATAAAAGAAAGTTTGACCTTTGAAGTCAAATGATCAAATGCCATCTAGATGCAAACGATCTAGAAATTTCTTAGGAATGGATCAGCATTATCTTGCTGTATGTTGTCCATAACTCCAATAGGGGAATCTGGATTTCCCTTCAGTGCTTCACTTAATATGAGACATACCCTCCATTACCTAATAATATTTAAAACGGTGGAGTTGACAAGAAGATACCAAG